GAAACAAACTGAGGGTTTTGGAGGGGAGGTGGGTGGGGGGATGGGTTAGCCTGGTGATGGGTATTAAGGAGGGCACATACTGCATGGAGCACTGGGTGTTATATGAAAACAATGAATCATGGATCACTATATCAAAAACTAATGATGTATGGTGACTAACATAGCATAATAAAATAAAATTTAAAAAAAAGAACAAATTCATCTATGTAGCAAAATAATGAGAAGATTTATAGGTAGAGGTGAAAAGCCCACCAAGCCTAGTGATAGCTGATTATCCAGAACAGAATTTTAGTTCTACTTTAAATTAGTTCAACCTAAAAGACCCCTAATAATATTAATGTAACTAACATGGAGAGACCCAGGGAAATCTATCAGAGATTGGAAATATGAATGAGTTTCAGACACATAGAGAATTGCACAAGAAAAATGTTGGAGTCCCAGAAGTAGTGAAGGAAGAGAATGAGGCGAGACAATATTTATAGAACTCCATAGCTGAGAATTCCCCAGATGTCAAAAAATCCAGGAAGCATAATGAATTCTAAGAAGGATAAATAAAATAGCTAAACATAGTGTAAAAGAATTCAGAATGCCAATAAGAAAGAGAGGATCTTAAAGTCAGTGAAGTAAAGACTACCTAAAAGGTACAATGATTAGATTGAAAGCAGACTTCTCAGTAATAGTAAATGCCAGCAAAGTCCACCAAGAGAAATGTCTACTTGGACTTCTGATCCAGCTAAATTATCATTTAATAACTACAGAAAATGCAGAACACCAAAGACAGAGACAGACTTTTCAAAGGAGTGAAAGACTGATAGCCGACTTCTCCATAGCAATAAGAGGTCAGAAGATATTAAAAAGATTTCTTTAATGGGCTGAGAGAAAATAACTGTCAACCTGGATTTCTAAACCTACCAAAAATATCTTCAAAAAGTGAGGGACAAATAAACATATTATAGACAAACAAAAACTGAGAGTGCTTGCCACCCATAGATCTTCAATAAATAAGATTCTAAAGGATGCCCTTCAAAGAACAGGAAAATGATCCATGAGGAAGGACAAGGTATAAGAAGAAATGAAAAGCAAAGAAAATGGCAAATATGTGGATAAATCCAAGTGAACAATAATTGCATAGAACAACAACAATAATACATTGTGGGTTTAAAAAACAAGGCAAAATTAAGATATAAGAAAACAATAATGTAAAAGTCAGAAAAATGTAAATGGAGTTAAAGTGTTCTAATGTTCTTGTACAATATAGGAGGAAGAGAGATTAACTTTAGACTTTGATAAGTGAAGTGTTCCTGCTATAATTTCTAATGTAGCCATTAAAATGTAGAGCATATAACTTACTTATTAGCAAAGAAGAAAAAAATGGAGTTATAAAAATAGTTAATCCAATAAAAAAGGAGAAAAAAAGAAATGAGTGGGTAGAACAAACAAAACACAAAATAAGATGGTAGATTTAAAATCTAAATATGTCAGTAATTTGACATGTTTAAAGTGACCAAAAAAAAAAAAAAAAGACTTTCAACCAAGAATTCTATAGCTAGCAAAACTATCCTTCAAACATGAAGGGGAAATTAAGACATTCCTGGATAAACAAAGACTGAGAGAATGCACCATTAGCAAACTTAGAAAGAAATTCTAAATTATAAAGAGATTCTACAGGAAGTCTCTCAGGCTGAACTGAAAGGACTTGAAGGTACATGCAGAACTAAAAAACTCTGGTAAAGGTAACTACATAGGTAAACATAAACTACAGTATAAGTGTATTTGTTGTTTGTAATTTTTCTTCTCCTAGCTGGGAAATGGCATGAAGCAATAATTGGAAATCTGTGTTGATAGGCATGCAACGTCTAAAGATGTAATTTGTATACTAGTAACAGCAAAAATGAGGGGGCAGGCAATGGGAGCTATGTAGGAGCAAAGCTTCTGCATACAACAATACTAATTAAATTAGTATTAATACAAAGTATGTTGTTACAAGTTAAAATGTTAATTGTAATTTTCAGAGTAACCACTAAGAAAATAACTTAAAAAACCCACAGTGAAATTACAAAGAAATTAAAATGTTACGTTAGAAAAGATCTATTTAATGAAAAAGAAAGTAGCAGTAGGAGAACAGAGAACCAAAAAAACCTCCCAAAACCCCAAAACTAAAAAACACAGGACCATAAGATACATAGAAAACAAATAGCAAAATGGCAGATGTAAAACCCACCTTATCAATAATTACATTAAATGTTGATTAAACACCTAAAGACAGATATTACCAAAATGGATAAAAAACATGATCCAACCATATGCAGTCTAAAAGAGACATACTTTAGATTCAAAGACACAAATGGACTGAGAGTAAAAGATGGGAAAAGATATACCATGTGTACAGCAACCAAACAGAGCCTGGAGTGGCTATCCTAATATCAGACAGAATAGATTCTGAGAAACAAACTGAGGGTTGTGGAAAGGGAGGTGGGCAGGTGGATGGGGTAACTGGATGATGGGCATTAAGGAAGGTACATGATGTAATGAGCACTGGGTGTTATATGCAACTAATGAATCACTGAACACTACATCAAAAACTGATGATGTACTACATGTTGGCTAATTGAGTTTAAATAAAAAAACTGTCATTAAACACAAAAAGGACATTTTATAGTGATTAAAAGGATCAATCCATCAATAAGACATAGAAATGATAAATATATATGCACCTAACAACAGAGATCCCAAATACATGAAACAAAAACTAACAGAATTGAAGGGAGAAATAGGCAAATCAACAATAAAAGTATGAGATTTCACTACCCCATAGAACAACCTGACAAAAGACCTACAAGAAAATATAGTGACCAATGCTATAAACCAACTAGAGCTCACAATCATCTGGAGAACACTCCACCCAATAATAGCAGAATACACTCTCTTCTCAAGTACACATGGAACATTCTCTAGGATAGGCCATGTGTTAAGCCATAAAATAAGTCTCCATAAATTTAAAAAGATTGAAGTTATACAAAGTATGTTCTCCAAACACAATCCAATGAAATTAAAAGTCAGTAACAGAAGGAAATTTGAAAAATTTACAAATAATATGGAAATTAAACAACCACTCCTAAATGATCAATAGGCTAAAGAAGAAATCGGAATGATTAGAAAATACTGTGAGGTGAACAAAAATGAAAACAAAACATACCATAACAGTGAGAGCAGTGCTCAGAGAGAAATTTATAGCTGTAAATGTCTACATTAAAAAGAAGAAAGATTTCAAACCAACAACCCAACCTTTCCCCTTAATAAACTAGAAAAAGAGGAGCAAATTGAACCCAAAGCAAACAGAAAAAGGGAAATAATAAAGTTAATGGCAGAGATAAATTAAATAGAAAAACAATAGAGAAGATAAACAAAACCAAAAGTTGGTTCTTTTAAAAGAGCAATAAAATTGACAAATGTGGGGGGTTCCTGGGTGGCACAGTTAAGTGTCCAACTCTTCATTTTGGCTCAGGTTCTGATCTCAGAGTCGTGGATTGAGCCCCGTGTTGGGCTCCATGCTCAGCGGGGAGTCTGCTGGAGATTCTCTCCCTCTTCCTCTGCCCCTCCCCCAGCTCTCGCTCTCTTAAATAAATAAATAAATAAATAAATAAATAAATAAATGGACAATTTTTACAGAGAGAGAGAGAGAAGAGAGAGGAGAGAGAATGATTCATATTACTAAATAAAGAATTAAAATGGGGACATTACTACCAATCAACCTTACAGGAATAAAAAAGGATTACTGAATACTATGAACATGAACAGCTGTATGCAAACAAATTAGATAATCCAGATGAAATGGACAAATTCTTAGATGTACACAGACTACCAAAACTTACTCAAGAAGAAGTGGAATACCTGAATAGAATTATAGTGAATAAATAGAATCAATCAATAATCAAAAAAACTTTCAAAGAAAAGCCTAGGACTAGATGACTTCACTGCTGAATTCTATCGAATTTTTAAAGAAGTAACACCAATCTTCCTATTCCTAAAAACAGAAGAAGAGGGACATTTCCCAACTCATTTTAGGAAGGCAGCATCACCCTGATACTAGAGCCAAAGACATCACAAAGAAAGGAAACCACAGACTGATATCCCTTAGGAACATCGCTGCAAAAATCCTCAACAAAATACTAGCAAGCAAAGTCCAGCAGCAGATTAAAAGGATTATATTTGTCCAATATATATACAACAAATATATTATATTTGTTCCCCGAACATAAAAGTGGTTCAACATATGAAAATCAATCAATGTAATACACCATATATTGATAGAATGAACGGGGGTGGGGGACAACATGGGCAGAAAATGCATTTGACAAAATCCAACACCATTTCATGGTAAAAATGTTCAACGAACTAGAAATAGAGGGGAAAATTTTCACTAGGAATAGAAGGGAAATTCCTCACTCATAAAGGGAATTTACATAAACTCTCCAACTAACATCATACTTAATGGTGAAAAATTGAAAGCTTTTCTCCAAAGACTAGGAGCAAGAGACAGATGTCTGTTTTGCCACTTTTTAAAAAATTATTATTAAGTAGGCTCTATGTCCAGCCTCCAGAGTCTGTGGCATTTCTGCTTCAGTCCTTCAAAAGAAAGGGGGTCATGTGTTGTTTTTCTGGAAAAGCAAGGAAGGGATAAGGTAGGAGACAGTGTCGCGCCAGGGAGCCTGTTGTAAAGGAAGGGACCCCCGAGGGCTGAAGAGGATAGTAATGTACCAGAGAGGAAGGAGAACAGGCCTCTGGCCTGGAAGAAAGACAGTGCATGAGTTGGTGTGGGAAGTAACCCAACAGGGGCCCAAGGAGCAGCCAGAGTGACTGTCATTGTGATGTAACACACACACACACACACACACACACACACACGCACACACACACACACACGAGGGAGAACATTCTTGGACGTTGGCCACCCCGTCAGTCTGCACGGGGGTCACTTGGAGTAGATGACATCTACTTACAGAGGCACTGGGGGCGGGGACGATCCCACGTGCCATCCCCCTGGCAGCTGAGCGCCGGGGTGCCCAGGAGGTAGAAGCCGTGGTTGCACTGGTAAGAAACAGTGGTGCCATAGCTGAACCTGTGTGGGCCACTGGCACGGACTTGACGAATGCTGTTTTCTTGGTGCCCAGGATCTGTGCAGTTGATGACTGTAAGGGAATGGGACAATCAGACACAGAAACCTGGATGTGAAGATTTTCTTATGCTTTTAAATGAGAATTCCTAAGTCCCAACAGGCATGCCTTCCCAGTAGGGCAGAATTTCCAGACCGAAACTGGTAGCACAGAGCCGATCCTGCCTGGGAGGGTGAGCTGGTCTTCAGGCTGCTCTATGTCCTGATCACCGACCTTGATCACCTGGCTAAGGGATTCATTCTTCCACGTCGGCTAGACTCCACGTCCCTGGAGAAGCCTTCCCATCTCCTCCCAGACTGGTTAGCCTCTCCCTCTGCAGTGCTCTCCTGCACAGACCTCTACTGCTAACTTTATCTGCCTTGATGGTGAGTTGTTTGAATACATGAGTCCCTGGAGGGCATGACTCCCTCGCCTCTGGGCGCCCCATCCCTGACAACAGAGGTGTCTGAGCTGACTCCAACAGGGCTGGTCTTTTTTGGAAACTGTTTTAACCACTTTGAAGAGTATTTCGGGGAAAGATTAATATCCTGGGGGATAAATTCGACTGCTACATGCTGAAAGTGTTTCCAAAGCAGCTTAACTCAAACTCAGAGGGATATTTTAGGATAATGACAGTATCATTCATAAACCATGATGTGCGCTTTTGCTTTCAAATCCTTACCATTGTCTCCTAATCATCATTTAGGTAGGTAGGACAGGTATATTTTTTTAAATCTTGGATAAGTTTTTGAAATATAAGGTATTTTTACCTTTGATGAGCCCCTCTGAGGCTCAGAGAAGTTGGCGTCACAAAACAAATACTTAGTATGTATTGATTCACACTCTTGATGGCCGTACACTAAGCGCCAAGCAGTGTGTTGGGCAGTAAAGATACCACGGAATTTTCAGTCAAGAGTAGGCTTTCTCTGTCTTGGCACTATGGACATTTTGGCTGATAATTCTTTGTTGTGGGGGCAGTCCTGTGCATTATAGGATGTTTAACAGCATCCTTGGCCTCTACCCACTAGATGCCAAGAGAAGCCCTCCAGGGGTGACAATGAAAAATGTCTCTAGACCTCTGTCCCCTGTTGGGGCAGGGGGATGGATACAATCATCCCCAGTTGGGAAGTGCTGGTCTAGAGAGAAAAGGACAAACCAGCAATTATTTTGTTTGATAAGCACTCTGATAGGGGTAGCAGAGAATGTTCCAGAAGCACAAAGCAGTACTTCGAGAGCCCAGTGTGGGGTGGTGGAGCAGTAAGGTCTTCCAAGAAGGGGAGATGTTCAAGCTGGTTCTCGATGGTTGGGTCAAAGTCATCCAGACCAAGGGGGACAGAGAAGAATGCATCTGAGGAGACTGAGGGAGTGCCCTGGGTTTGTGCATGGCACGTGATAGGACTGGAAGAGGCTCAGTGCAGCCAGGCCCCAGTACAGAGGTCAGGACGAAGCAGAGGACAGTACCTTTGTGAGGGCACTGGGAAGTCTGGGAAGGCATTTTTAATAGGGGACGACTCGATCAGGTTTGCGTTTTAGACAGGTCACTCTGTCAGCGTAGAGAATGGGCTGGCGGGAACAGGACCGGCGGCCACCACTTCTAAGATGTTACCCCAGCCCTTGGATTCCAAGATCAGTCCCTGAGCTTGTTACTCTGGGAAGGGACTGGTGGGGGCGGGAGCTAGAGTTACAGGAGAATTTGCATCTTGTGTTGCAGAGATGGAACATGGCTTTCGAGAGGGGATGCGGGATAGCAACACCCCGCCAGCAGCCAAGTTCTAAATTCTTTCCTGCCTCAGCAGATGATAGGAGGAAGGCACAACACCAGGTCATGACAGTTGTTCCTGTGTTTTCTGGAACCTTCTTTCACTCAAGATGGCATCTTCAAATGTTACCAGAGGGATGTTATTTTAGGGTTAGTTGGGATGCATCTTGATTCACTTGATGAGTTAACACCGGTTACAAATGACTTGTCACACGTTGCACAGCCAATTACTGTGCACCTGCACATACTGCAACGAGGAGCCAATCGTCCCAGGGACTCTGTGCCCTCACAACTATGAAGACTCAATCCACCCCCAGGTCAGGGCGGGACTCATTCATGTTCTGCCTGCGTTGATGCTCCACTCGGATGTCACAGAGTCTGCCAGGCTCTTCCTGGTACAAGGCAGCTCCATTTGCCCTTACCGCGTGACCAGACTCGAAAAGCTTTAGAAACTATTTCCTAAGTCGTCCAGATGGGGTCAGAATACCCTCTGCACAGAGTCTGCCTCTTGAGTTCTTGAGTTCTGTTCTTCCTCCCTGCTTCATCCCAACCCCTATGCTCTCAGCTTTGTATTTTTCATTCTAACTTTCCTGCTTTTTTCTTTCATCAGGAATGGGGCTCTATAGGATAATGATGAGTATTTGTTCTATGCAATGTAAACGAGAAGATTGCTTTCCATTTCTATTTTGAAAGGCACACATTTTTTGCTGTGCTTATATAACCAGTGATGAAATCTTGACACAGACGTGGCTGTGTCAAGGGGTTGAGAAAATCCTCATTTATGATGCTCCTCTGCTCTCAGTTTTCCCTATCTGTGTCAAAATCACGTCAGGACTGAATCCTCTGGGTCACATAACCCCAAATGGCAGCAGTACTGGGGGCCAAGTGGAAGAAGAAGGGTGACTCACTTCTGCAGGTGGGCAGCATGTCGCTCCACTGCCCGCTGGCCAGGCACTGGGACCTAGCGGCCCCCTCAGCCACATACCCGGGGTTGCACACAAACTTGACCACGTCGTTGAGGTTAAATTGGTTGCCCTGAGTGAGGCCGTTGATCGGGTTGCCTGGGTGTCCACAGGTAATTGCTGCAACCCAAACAGAAAAGAGGTAAGATCTCCTATTATTCCACATCCCCCAAAGCTCATCCTTTCCTCACCTGGCATTTCTCATGCCCATGAGTGAAGTTCAGCCCTAAGTCTAACTATAGTCTCTTTAGCAGCAAAATTTTTATCTCCTGAAATCAGCATGTGGATGCACCTTCTTCCATGAAGGCACATCTGTAGCTTGGACAAATCGAGAGAAATCATTCTGTGACTCCCCATGGGGACTTTGGCCTGGATTGTAGGTCTGTCGTCCAGGTAGTCAGCCCTGCCTCCTTTTCTCTGCCTCTATCCCCGTGGCTCACCATCTCCACTCTCCACCTCTGGATGTGATGACTACCCCTTGGTGGATTCAGACCCAGCCCACTTCCTGGGCCGAGCTTGACAGAGCCAGAGTTGATACTAACCAAGCCTGAACGGAGGGGTTGCTCCCCCTGCCAGCCTGCAGGAGCCAAAGGTGTTGTTGAGAGCACAACCCTTCCCCTCTATTCCTCCCAGATGAAGGAGTGATTTCTGGCCTTTCTCTGTGCTCTTTTACTTACTTTGGCCCAGGTCACGTGGAGTGGCTGAACTGTGCAATTTGGGAAGAATGAGCAGTCATGCTTGACCCAGTTCTGCCCCCTTCCTCTTGGGACCTAGCGACTACGGACAACAGTGTTCTCTGCTGCTCCTCTGGGGGCAGGCGCTCCCTGACAATGAAGGGATGCTGGCCCTGCATGTTTCTCTGATTGTGTGAATCCACCCCATCCTGGGTTTATTCAGCAGACCCTACTGGGCTCTCACATGAAGCTATTGCTTCCGACTTAGGCTTTATTAGTAATGAAAGTGATATTTTGGCATCCATGCAGGATTGTATAATTTCTTCAGCCACGGCCAGAGCACTAGTGGAGGACCTGGTGCCGGCAGGCCTGGCCCCAGAGTGCTCGGGTTACCCCTCTGTCCCAGCTTTCTTCCTTCCTCCTAGAACTGGAGTTCATCCCTCCACCCAGGCACTGGTCTCTCTGAGATTTCTCCAATAGAAGTGCCTGCTCCAGAGCCTTGGCACCTGCTTTCCCCTCTGCCAGAACATCCCTTGGCTCCTGCCCTCACATCCTCAGGTCTCCCCTCAAATGTCACTGTATCAGGGAAGCCGTCCCTTATGACCCAATAATCAGCCTCCCCAGCACTGCTCAGGCCCCGTGACTTCTCCACTTTTTTCCACAGTAACTGACACACTCCACACGTAGTTCTCCGTTTGTTCATTCCTTATCTCCCTCCACCTGAGGTTAAGCTGCACGAGGGCAGGGTCTTTGGTTCACTCCTCGCTACATCCTTGGGGTCTATAGCAGTGCCTGACATGTAGGAAGAGCTTGATCATTATCTGTCGAGTGAAGGAACATGTGAGTGTGGGAACAGATGGATGACAGGCCTTCTGCTTTGCTCCTCAGTCCTTCTATTGAGCACCTGCCTGGTATCCCAGTCTCTCTAGATTGAACTCTCAGGTGATGTTTTTGACAGGCCTTTCCCTTGGTTCTGGATCTTGAGGCTGAGAAACCATGAGGAATGTTTTCTTACCCGAACAACTGGATCCACAAGGAGCCCACCCCAAACACAGATGGTGTGAATGTTGATGGGGGGGCAAAAGCAGACAGCCCAGTTTTTGCTGTGGCCAACTCTGGTATCTGTCTGGGTCTGTTCTCTTGTGTAACTCTCAACAGTAGCATCATTGACCCTAGCGGCCAGAGCTGGGCAGAGGGGGACACATGTGGCTAGCAGACTGCAGGGGCTCGAGACTGCCCCGCGTGCTGGGACAGGAATGGGCTACGGGGGCCAGCAGACCAGGTCACCAAAGCACCTGCAAGGGAAATGGAGGTGTGGTCAGCAGGTAGAAAAAGAAAACTTGATGGGGGGTTGGGAGTGTCCCTGAAGCCACAGGGAGAACCTCAGGAAATGTCAGATACCCCAGAGAGCTCTGTTTCTCTGGGGACCCTGGCTGGTACAGGCTGCAAAGAAGAGGTGGAGAACACCCACTAAGAAGGAAAATCGAGGTCTTCGTGAAGCTTGAGGGCTTCCTTGGGGCTTGAGGGAAATTAAGAGAAAAGAAAGGTAAGCAGTATGGAGGAGAGAGTTAAAAGCAGATTAGGGTCACTAAGGAGGCAGAAAGGAGGAGATCCAGGGATGGATGGAGGGCACAGCCTTGTGCCTGGAGAGAGAGATTCTTCTACGGAGGTGGGAGGGAAGGGAGAAGGATAGACATGTGGGTGGGAAGCAGGAGGTAGAAGGAGTTAGTGTCTGATGGCTTCCATCATCTCTGCAAAATAGAAAGTGAGGTTATCCAATCAGCTAATAATTATTGGGGTCTATCTGCATTATTTTATTGAATCTCCACAAGCCTGTGACATAGGTCCCATCGTCATCCTCAGAGAAGCCTGGAGTCTTGTTCAGGGGCACAGTTTCTAGGTGGCTCACCTGAGCTCTGAACCCAGCTTCTGTGACTCCAGGCTGTGTTCGCTATCTGCCTTAGCTGTCTGCTGGGAAGGCAGGTGGAGGACGTGGAGGGCGGGGTCTTCAGGAAAGAGGTGAAATCGCACAGAATGTGTGGGAATGGACAGGAGAGCTACCGGAGGAGATGTGGGATTGCCGGGAAGTTTTGAGAGTGATGGATATGGAAACCTTGGATTGACACGTGGTGATGGCTCACATAGCGCCGACCACAGGGTCGTCACTTATAAATACTTGTTCTTTTCCTCTTGCCTTCCTCCTCCAGATGCCCCCCACTGCTCTGTGCTCTAGGACACAATGGGGTTTGGTCCAAGAGGTCCTGGATTCTGTCATGTGGTAGCATCGACTCCACCATCATCATAACGACAGCAAGAGCATCTGCTGCACGCCTCTCTCAGGCACTGTTTGGACTACTTTGGGTCCAAAAGAGCATTTATTTAATCCTCACAATTCTCCGAAGGTTCTGCTTCTTGTAGAGGAGGAAACAGACTTAGGCAGGTAAACTAACCCATCTGAAGTCATATAGCCACGTGATATGGGCTGGGAGGTCTGGGTAGGACCCAGGCAATCGAGGTCCGGGGTCCAAGTGTCCAAATACTTTACTACACTGCCTTTCAGTGCATGCCGGGTTTAAAATCAAACATCTTTAGGCTTAGGCAGACATTCTCCACTTATTTTCAGACCCCAACATTCCCTATTATTTATAACCCAAATCTCCACATGCATATTCTGTGCCAATTACTTGGAGGCATCTGAATTTGCATCTTCTGGATAAAACCAAATGTTTTGTTCACACCCATCTGGAAGAGTGACTGAATATAGATGGGTCTTGCTTTGTGTAAACCTAATACTTAAGCAGCTATTAAGACTAACTTTTCACGCATTGCTTATTCAATATGTCTCATTATTTTATTGCTCCATCTCATCTATGAAGAACCAAATGAAGAAGAAGAATTACAAACAAAAACCTGCCTTAAAAAAATTAAACAACAAAACCAACCCTGCACTTCACATAAAGGCTCACTTTGGGGAACTTTAAAAAGTGAAGAATTTTCCAAGTTACTTCCAGGCAACTGAGAAAAATGGTGGTCATCTAAATCCAAAAAAAAAAAAAGAAAAATTCAGGTTAACAAGAAGAACAAGTAAAACTATAGAAAGCCCAGGCCTGCAGCATAACCAAAGCAGAATGCTATAAACTTTAAATTATGTGTAAGTGGAAAAACAAGCACGACACCCAGGCAGAGCTGTTTCTCATGCTTTTGCTGCAAGCCTTTGTGGCGACCAAGACTGTATGGAAAAGAAAAGAGAGGGGCAGGGAGCGGCCCAATACTGATCTGAAGTCACTGCTGGCAAGAGAAAGTCCGTCTTAAATATGAACAAACTGAAAAAGGATCCTGATATGTCAGTGCATGGACTACAGAAAAGGGGTATGAAACTCTTAAATTCCCTAAATACCAAAAGAAATGGGAAAAAATAGTAAGGAAAACATCACACAGGGGCATCTGGGTGGCTCAGTCGGTTAAGCATCTGCCTTCAGCTCAGGTCATGATCCCAGGGTCCTGGGATCCACCCCTGCATCCGGCTCCCTGCTCAGTGGGGAACCTGTTTCTCCCTCTCCCTCTGCCCCCACCCCCACTCATGCTCTCTCTCTCTTTCCCTCTGCTGCTCCCCCTGCTTGTGCTCTCTCTCTCTCTGTCAAATAAATAAATAAAATCTTAAAAAGAAAAGAAAACATCACACAGTGGAAGAAATAGCCGCGTATATCTTATAACCCGTAACAGTTACATAAGACATGACAGACATAAGACCAAGAATGTAAGTCATAGGGTATATGTGAATGAGTATAACTAACCTATTAAAAGAGGAATGTTTCAAATGGGCTCGCAAGGCAAGACCCAACTCTCTGTGGTATACAAGAGTCAGAAAGGGTGAAATACAGGGATGGCTCAAAGTATACCAGGCAAATGGAAAAAGGATGAAAGTAGGGGTTGTAAAGCCTAATATCAGGCCCTAGTGCCAGTCAAGCTATAAAATACTAAAAGCGACAAAGAAGACATTTTAAAGGCTAAAATCACAATTTGCAATGTAGATAATAGTTCTTAACAAGTATATACCAAATAACACAGCAACTACCTTTATGTAGCAAAAACTACAGGAAATGCAAGGAAAAATAGATAGAAGGACACTAAGAATAGAAAGCTTTAAGACACACCACTCAGGGCAAAACAGGTCAAGTGGACAAAGTCAGTAAGCATACAGCAGGCACAGACGACATAATCAAGGCACATCTTACGATTATATACTGAACTTTATACCCTAATCCCCTTTCTCCTCAAATGCCCGTGGAACATTCAGAACACCTGATCAAATATGAGGACATCAAGAGAGCATCAATAAATTCCATGAGGTAGAAATATTACACAGTGTGATCATATCAGAAATGAATGACAAAATAAAAATAGAATGGCCCTTCTCCTTAGAAATTAAAAGAAAACAACGATGAAAAAACTTCTTGTTCAAAGAAGAAATTCATACCCAAATTACTATTAATTTCTAATAAACAATCAAACATTAATTGTTATAAGCTATGGGATCCGCTTAGAGCAGTTTTTGGAAGACATTTCCCAACCTTAAGCACTTATATCAATAATAATAATAAAATGAAAATAAATGAATTGGATTCCCAACTCTAAAGCTAGAAATGAGCAAACAAGTTAACCAAGGGGAATCACAAGGAGTGTGACGGTGAAGGCGAAAGCAGTAATGAAGGATGCCGAAAACTGAAAACAAGAGATGTAATGATGCGTCTTTCAAAAAAAATTAACAAAACATACAAAACCTCCAGCGAACCTAACCGAGAGCACAACGGAGCAAGTCCATGTGGAGCCTGAGCTCGTGACTAAGCAGAGTGGGTAACATACTTACGCACACAGAAAGGGGTCTTGCCCGACCAGAGGTGATCCTGCTGGCAGATGCGCACGGACATGCCGATCAGGCGGAACCCAGCGTCGCACTGGTATACCACGCTGCCCCGGTAGCTGTAGTTCTCCCCATTGACGTGTCCATTGACGATGGGCTCGGGAGTCCCACAGTGCCCAGCTTTGGTGGGAGATGAGGAAAGAGTGCAAATTGCAGAGGAGCTCATATAAGAGGAGAGGGGATGGTGAGGAAAAGGACCAAGGACCCAGCCACCCATCGTTTCCCCCCCTCCCCCTGAGAGTAGCCATCCAGGAACAGCTTCAGGAGTCCTAGACGTGATACAAGTGGCAAGCCCAAATCCCAATGCTGAATCCCCAAAGGCCACCCATCTCTGGGCTGTAGTTTCTGTGTCTGTCCATGGGTTAGAAATGATCGCTGTCACCTCCCTGCCTCTGGGATTGTCTCCTTTTTTTTTTCATCAACCAACATTGATGGAGCATCTACTGCGTGGAGGGCACCTCGGTCTACATTAAGGCTATCAAAGCCCCGTGGAATTGAAAATAACTATGTACAAATTGGTGGTTTGGCTAAATCCATCCTTCCTTCTCCTTGAGTGGCAGGAGACACAGAGAGTTTAACCTAGGTGAGTTACTCTATTAAATGGGGTTTAGGTAGAGCATATTCCTAGTATTTCCACTGGCATTCTTGGCTCTCTCTGGATATAACTCATGACTGTATCCCTAAAAGAGGCCTGGGACAGTGGGAGGGCAGCACTGTTCACTATGGAACAGACTATCCAATCTACGCTGTTAGGTCTGTGTAGCCGGGACCCTCCTTTGGACTTGAGGGATCCAAGAAAGAAGTGAGAGGAGAGAATACCTTAGAATCTAAGGTTTGGTAGGGAATGGATTGGCCATGGGGGAAATGATAACTCTGTCTTTTGTAAGCCAGGTTGTTTTTGTGCTTTTGTCATTTGCTTATTTTATACATATATATATGTGTATGTACATGTGTATACATATGTATGTATATATGTGTGTATATGTATGTGTATTACATATATGTCTATATGTACACGCATATATGTTTATATGTATGTCTATATATATGTATACATTCCTTCTATACATATGTATACGTGTGTGTGTGTGTGTGTGTGTGTGTTTATATATATATATATATATAAAAATAAAACTTTGTCTCACCAGACCTGAAGTTCTTCTCATCTTCTTGGGTGCCCCAAGAGAAGCAAGTTCAGGGTCTTAGTCATGGTGGATGCCCAAGAGCTGGTGTTTGGATTAAGCATTTTATGCCATAGGTAAAATGATGCTTTTAAAGACTGGGATCCAGCTTTAGAAAGCTCTGACTTGTCTTATGGAGGGAAAAATGGGCAGGATAGGTCTGGGGAGGTCACTCACCAAGGCAGCGAACTTCGGAGCCACTCCAGAGCCCATTGGCCATGCACTCCCGCACCCTGGAGCCCACCAGCGTGTAGCCAGAATTGCAGGAGAAAATGGCCGTTGCCCCGTAGACGGACAGTGTTCCAATTCGGTGCCCGCTGGGTGGGATGGGGAGCTCTCCACAGGAGATGACTAAAATGATCACAAAGTGCTCAGTGAAAAGCCAACGCCAAGAGGAGGGACACGTGCTGCTTCTGAGCAGTAAGAATAATGACAAAAATAAGACCTGTTTAACTTTACTGGGACTCATGAGCAGAATGTGGGGGCACAGGAGTGACCTGCATGGTGTTACACTGGAGCAGTGGTTCTCAACTGAAGTATTGCCAGAAGGACCCAAGGAGCTTCTAAAATGTTCGGGCTGTACTCTGGATCTATGACCCACAATCTCTTGAGATAAGGACCAGGCATATGCATTTTTAAGAAAAGTTCCTCAGGCTGTTCAGATGGTACTCTGGTTAGGAACCACCACACTAGAGGTTGAGATTCTGTGGTGCCCTGGGTGTCCAGGGAGGACACTGCCAACCAAGTCCCTTGTCCTTTCTGCTGAGAGCAGCTCCAGCCTCCCACTCCTTCCCAACAGAGCACTGCATATAGCCACTGGCTGATATGGGAGGTGAGGCCCAATGGCCAATGCTGCACTCAAGTGTGAGAGCCTTCATCGTGATGAAGCTGTTACACGCTCATGATTTCTGCTCTGCCACACACATGGTTATATTCCATGGTGGGGTCTAAACTTGGATATATAAAGACAATAGTGACTTGAATCATAGGTGTAGGGAAGATATAACTTCTTATCCCATCCGGTCTCAAAATTTCCACTCCTCACTGACAAGTTATTCTCTTCTACCTCATTACAAACACCCACCTCCTCTATCACATCCTTATTGATTAAGTCAATATCATGAGTATATCCCATTGTAGCAGGTGCTGTGATGGGCCACTCAGACCCCCATTTAGGATGGAGGATTTTTCCCCCCAGCTGTTGGCAAACAACCCTCAGCTGCTCACCCTCTTCAGACTGCTTTAGCTGAAGAGTCCTCCCATCTAGATCATGCTTCTTCCTGGGGTATCCTGTACCCAGTGTTTGGTCAGTGTGTAGGTATAAAGGCCTCAAGCCCCAACTTGTGGCAGTTCTGAAGGACCATCCCAGCTTCAGAGCTCCCTGTGGGGTCAGCAGAGGGCCACACTGATACTGCATCAGAGGTCAACTGTGCCATCTTCCCCGTACAGCCTCCTCACTTTCCCTTACACAAGATGGCGGAGATCTTAAGGGTACTCCCTAATAAACCTCTGTCTCAGAGTTGCTTCCTAGGGACCCTGACCTTAAAAACTATCTTGAAGAAACAAACAAAAACAATAATACAGAAGGAGAGGCAGACACTTAGGTGCCTACCCCTTGTGCTGTGCCCATTCCTTCTATATATGCTCCCATTACAGGTCTTGTCACACCCCATTATCATTGCTTCCTTATTTTGTCTGCCTCTCCAGCAGAATATAAGCTTCTTTGGGGGCAGGAACCACAGCCTTTTATCTTCATACTGCTACAATACCTGGCATGAATGTTGAACACGTGAATGAGTGGATACTCACCTGGACAAAGGCAACTTTTTAATAAGATGATAAGACACTGAGAAGTACTTCCTTAAAGGAGTAAGGCATCTCTCCAGCTCCTGATTCTAGGTGAGTGTTCAAAAAGAGGTACACTGCCATCCCTGGTGATACCCCTCCTCTCTCCTTCCCCATGTACGGTATAGTTCAAGTGGAAGGCACTGTGCCAAACTTGCCCACCCTCCCCTACTGGGCTTACTTTGGCAGGTGGGCATAGAGTTCCCGAGGCTCCATTTGCCATTGGCCTGACAGCGGATGACCCTTTGGCCAGTGTAGTAGTAGCCAGGGTCGCAGATGAGCATCAGCTGGGCCTGGAACTGGTACTGTGTCTCAAAGATGAGCCTCCATCGGCCGTGTTCCACGCTGATGCTGCTGACATCAGGACAGGTCACAGCTGGGGAGACAAGGAGCAGTGAGGAGGAGTAATTAATTAATTAATTAATTATGGAAGACACTGGAAAGGGTCCAGAGCTGGGGATTGGGAGACTGTAATGCAGTAATAAGAATCTTGAGTCGCCAGGCAGGTTTGTTAAATGAATGAAGTGGGCTGGGAATGGCGGGGGCGGGGGGGAATGAAACAAACTGGGATGGGCAGATCCACCAAAAAGAAAAGAAAGGAAGGAAGGAAGGAAGGAAGGAAGGAAGGAAGGAAAGAAAGAAAAAGAAAGAAAGAAAGAAAGAAAGAAAGAAAGAAAGAAAGAAAGAAAGAAAAAAGAAAGAAAAGAAAAGAAAAAAGAAAAAAGGGGAGGTGGTAATCAGTGCTGATTGTTAGACGTGAACCTTGTAATTTCTCTTTAGTCAGATCTTTATTTTTCAAGAGAATCCAGAAATATGGATTTTTTAATGTAAACTCTCCCAATTTTAAAATGCTGGGAGGCAATTCAGAAATTTCATAAAGCATACCACGGGCCAAAGAAACAAAACAAAACAAATCAAAAGTACAAAACGCTGTATCTTCAAACTCTATATGGCCCTGTAGGCTGCAAGTTTGTGATTCCGGCCTTAAAGCTGAACTGAACCTCTGTCATTTTAGAGTTTGTTTTTTTTTTTTTTTCCAACTAACATCATTTTTTTTCTTTAAATTCAATTAGCCAACATATAATACATCATTAGTTTCAGATGTAGAGTTCAGTAATTCATCAGATGCATATAAAACATTTTAGAGTTTTGTGATCAAAGGACATTCGCACAAATGTTCTGGTAGTTTTTCCTTCTAAAAGGAACTTATTCCTAAGTTCTATGATGGTTTATGGAAACATCTCAGGGTGCAATGGTCTATCAATGCTTTGAGAGCAATTTCAAATGGAAGCCCAACTTGGTAGATGACACTATCCACCTGTCTATTTCCCAAATCCCCAATCTCCATGTACCTGCTTTTTTTCTCATTACTGGGTTTTTAGCTCACTCCTTGTAGGAATCTTTTCAGCCACATACCCAGCCCCTCCTTATACCCATCTTGCTGCCCAAGGACTCACGGACACACTGTGGGGGGATATTGTGGTTGCTCCAAAGGCCTGTCTCCAGACACTCTGCTGTGGCCTCGGCACCTGCCTGGAGGTGGTAGCCTTCGCTGCAGCTGTACACAGCCTTGGTCCCCACTGTGTACTCTTTGCCAAACACCATTCCATTCTTGGGGGCCTCAGGAAGCCCACAAGAAAGAGCTAGCAAAGAGAAAAAAATATTATGAGCATGTCTGCTTCAAGATGGTATTCTGAGAACGTATTTTAATCTTCCTCCTCCCCCAAGGCCCTAATAAAATTATAGTAAAGACTAGTAAAGTGGAAAAGCCTCATAACAATAAACAAAATGGGAGGATCAGCAGCAGAGGAGATTTCAAAAAAAAAAAACGTTGGCAGATGGAATGCAGATCGAAGTGTGTTGATAGATTAAGTGGAGCTGAGAAGCTGCAGCTTAAAGTATATGAGGGAGCTATAGTGTGAGACCAGTTCTCCTCCCTCCTTTCCCACAAATACAGTGTAGAGGCATTCATGCATCTATTCCCCAAATAAAATAGAGAGGGTTTTCTTTCCCACTTAAGAAAAAAAATAAAAGGAGCTCCCTTGAGAGAATCAGGGCTGCTCAGGTGTGAGATGGCATCCCAAAGTAAAGCTCTTCTAATTCTAGGATTTAAGAGCTCTCAGCCTAAAGGTTGCCCCTCTGCCTGCTCATCTGTGCTACACACTCAACTCAACTTCTTATTCACGTGGGAGACCTAGTGGGCAAAGATACCTGTATATAATCACAACAAAGGTAACCCACATCTGCTCCCTGGAAAAATCAGCCTTGCCTTTCCTTTAAAATAGGATTAATCAGAGATCACTGTACATATGAAGAAAACCAGTAGCATGAAAGACATAAACAAAGATAAGATTAAAAATAGACAAATATAGAAATAAAGTTCTCTTTTAGGAAACAGAGCTAACCCAGGAAATAGAAGATACATAAGCTTTAAACTTTTGATTAGTAATATCTTGAGAAAGTTAGGGTGACATATTGTATTCATAAAGTGAGAACAGAGGGCTTTGAAAAAAGAACAACAACAACAACAGGACAAGGAAAAGCTCTCTTAAGAACTCTTAAAAATATGATTGCTAAAATAAGTATTAGATAGAAGGGCTGGAGATTAAAAGTAAAGGGAATTTCCCAGAAGAGAGATCAAAAAGACAGAAACTGAAAATGAGAAAAAAGGACTGAAAACACGGGAGGCCAACATCCAGGAGGTCCAACACCCAACAGGTTAGAGTTCCAGAAAGATGGAACAGAGATCACAGATGAGAATTTCCCAGAGCTGAAAAGACACAAGTCTTCAGATTGAAAGGGAGCCAAAGGGATGCAGAGAGAACCATTCTTAGATGCATCATCATGGAACTTCAGAAGATGAAAGACAAGTTCCTACAAGTTCCCAGAGAGAGAGAAAATATAGGACATTCCTGTGAAGGAATGAGAATCAGACTGGCATCACACTTCCAATCAGCAGCAATGGATATCCAAAGATAATGGAACAAATTTCTGAAGGAAGTGATCTGTAACCTAGAATTTTACCTGGTCAACCTACCAAGCATATATGAGGGCAAAAGAAAAGATATTTTCAGACATTTAAAGACTCAGGGAATTTCCTTTTCATGAACCCTTTATGAGGAATTTACTCAAGGCTATGCTCCATCAAAAAGGGGGTAAAAACCAAGAAAGGGTAGGATACGGGATATAAAAAATATAAAAAATGGTAGTGCTAACACAGGAGTATAAAGAAAAGGAATTTCAAGGTGACAGCTCAGGAGACAGGTATGCAGCACATGGCCATGGTCATTATAAGGAGTAGGGTCGATACTCTGTTTATTGGAGGAACACACATTACTTAGGCAGGAGTAGCTCGTGTTATCTTTGAAAGAAATTAATACTTACAAACCATGTTTGCCCTCTGACAGTTCAGGAGCTAGTACAGACAGAGGGGAATTAATCAGGTTTCCCACTGTTGTCCCTCATCTACCCCCACCTCTGCAACTCATCTAGAGCTCAGACCTTCCTCATTCAGTGCCAGCTCAAGCAGACGAAGTGCCCATCCACACTGGCCAATAATGATCCTCCATGCTACTGGAACCCAGAAGAGACACAGGGCCAGGGCTTCATTATGATATAGGGAATGATAGACTCGTCAGAGGGAAATGGATTGGGATATCAAGATGGAAGAAGGTTTTAAAGACTGGAAAACGGAAGGAATGAATAAATAAGGAGGAACTGAGGAGAAAATGTGGAATAAAGAAATGAGGAGTATTTGAATATGATGCTCTTCTAGTGCCTAAACAGCAAGGCTGTAAGCTCCTTTGGTGGTACGAGGGTAGTCAAATTGTGATCAATGAACTGCCTTGCTTCCTTGGATTTTTTCTGAAGAAATACTTAGATCCCTACTGATATTGTGCCTGAGGAGTCAGTGAATCTGGAGACAGCAGGTGAAGGAAGTGGACAGCAGACTGTTCTCTAGCTTTTGGCCCCGCTCTTCCATGCGGATAACTAAGAGGACAGAGGGTACCTTCCCAGCCCGAAGCACTAAAAGCCTGTCTCCTGATCTCCATGCCAGAAGAGTCCCCAAACCCCAAGATAAGAGGGGCACTTTCTGTGGGTAGGAGAGGAGGGGACAGAATCCAAGTATTTGAAGGTGGTGGTGGAATGAGATCTCTGAGGGAGAGAATATGTAGCAAAAGAACGGGCTGGGGAAGGAGAGAGAAAGCATTAGAAGGCACAGGATCTCTAATGAGATACATTTGTTGGTGGAAAGTCACGGTTTGGAAGAAGCAATATGGAACTGGAAGAATGCCGGGACTTTTGTGGCCCTGGGTTATGGGGACCCTCTACTTGAAAGGGCCCCAGCATTCATGTTCTTAGGGCAGAGCCAGTCTCTGTGGAGGAAGGAGGTGAAGACAGCCTTCCGGGTAGTGACCAAGGGTGTATGCTGGCTGGCCATGGAACCGGGATTCCAGAGAGCTCAGGGGGAATGGCTGAGTGGAATGGCATCAGTGGTAAGCTTGGGGCTGGGTCTGGTACAAACTAGTATGGGGATGAGTACAGAGAAGCCTAGAGGGGCTTAGTTTTGGGAAGTTACAAAAGAAAACAGAGATGAGAGGCATGGTGGTTTCCAACTGGAGCTTTGGAAGAAAAGACTTGTCTGTGTTGATACAGTTAGAGACACAGAGACCAAAGCCAAATGACATTTGCCATTTGTGATCAGTCTGTTCTCTGGGACCTATTCTTAGGGCATCAAACAGAATGCTAATGACACATTGTTTGAGGAAGCTCAGGCAGAGGCGAGAAGGTTGTGAGGGTCAGAGATGACAGACGTCACTAAATAGTCTGTCACCACACTAGGAATCAAAGAACAAGAAAATCAAACATCAGTGTGATTTCTTGCTTTTGTCTGTATCATCAGTAAAGTCTTCCTTTTCTTTTTTTTAATGCAGTACACAATGTTGTGAATGTGGGAGAAAAGATGACTTTCACATGCTGGTGGAAGTTAAGTGAAGACAAATGTCCTGGACGGCAGTGAGTGTCAAGAGCTGTAGATTTTGCATAGGTTATGGTTCAACAATCTCATTTCTGGGAATTTATTTTAAGAAATAAATGTGGATGTTCATAATGATGGAATTATAAGGATTTTAACAGCAGCACTGTTTACAGTAGCAAAAACTAGAGAAATTCAAATGACCAACAACAGGACGATACTTAAGCATGTGACAGTTTTTCCATAATGGTATGCAACTATTGGAAATAGTGACGAGGAAGTGTATTTAATTATGTGACAGATGTTAAGAAAATATTAAGAGCTTTGTACACCGAGGATGCCATTTTTGTAAACAATATATAAAAGATCAAAGGAAATGTGCTGAAACGTTACCCAGTGATCTCAGTTGATGGGATTATAGGTCATTTTTCTTCTGCCAAGTTTTTATTTAAATTCCAGTTGGTTAACATACAGTGTAATATTAGTTTCAGGTGTAGGGTTTACTGATTCATCACAGACATGCAACACCCTGTGCTCATCACAACATCTGCCCTCCTTAATCCCCATCAACCATTTAACCCACCCCCCTCTCCTGCCCCACCCACCTCCTCTCCATAACCCTTTGCATTATCTATAGTTTCTCCCCCCCCCCCCGATCTCTAGTCTGAATTATGTTACTTTAAGGGAAAACAAATCCCATCAATTATGAAAGGCAATGCATGCAAACACCTTGTAGAGATCATGGGCTTGATTGCGGGCAATGAGTACGGTGAGCCTCTGTTGCTTCCTGGTCCCCTCTGCCCCTCGCCTCCTCTGACCTAGGGCTTCCGCCAGCCCAAGCTGCTCTGCATATCTTGTGGTCTCTCTCCAGTCCGTGGTTCTGCAAATGCTCTTGCTGTTGCCTAGAATGTTTTCCTTGCCAATGCCTGGCCCCAAACCCCACTTGCTCTATGAGCCCGAGCCCAGAAGAGGGGAGCCCTCCCTAGCTGTCTGGGAGGAGGTAGGTCCCATCTTAGCCCTGGGCTCCCACAACACTGTACTCCTGATACAGCACTTCCTTCCTCTGCCATTTTGCATTTATGTGGGTACATATCCAGCTCCCTCCTTGCTCTGAAAACACTGAGACTGTTTTATGCATCTGTATATCCCCAGGGCTCGAGATATTACAGATCCTCAATATATGCTCGCTGGAAGGATGAATTAATTATCAATGAGGACACCCACATTTGGAAGTGATTGGTCCTGGGATGAACCCAAGAGGTGAGGAGGATCCGAGCCACCTGTCACCCCCTTTCCAAGTGCTCCTCACCTTGACAGAGAGGAATGGCCTCGCTCCACAGGTAGTAGCCCTGGGGGTGCCGGGTACAAATGGCCATGCTGTGTCCCACCAAGCGGTAGCCGGCGTTGCATCCGAAGTGGACGGAGCCTCCGGGCTGGGTGCTGGGCTGGCCCAGAAGGAAGCCATGGAGTGGAGCCCTGGGCAGGCTGCAGTAGGGAGCTGGAGGACAGGATGAGGCTCAGGGGACCAAAGGCAAGCAGGAAGATGTGCGATTTCCTGCATGGCCCCCTCCCCCACCCCATTGCCTTGTCTCTGCCACTGTTGGGTCCACTGTTATTTAGAGAGGTCTGAGTGGTTGATGTTGAAAAACAGCTGATCAGTGTAGTAAAAGCCAAAGAAAAGAGGAGAAAAGCCGTGAAACACTGGATCCCCTCCGTGGCCCAGACGCAGTGCTGCTCAAGCTGCTGCGCTCAGGCTCTTGAAACCTGTCAGCTCCCAAAGAGGCGCAGGAACCAAACCCCGCCGGGGGCGTGGGGTGGTGGCTGGCTCCACAAAAGTGTGCCTGCAGGGGTGTGGACTCTGGGGTCCTGGATCTGACCTTTCCATGTCTGTGACATGGGACACATCCCTGAAGTTCTTTGAGGTCCCCTTTCCTCCCCTGTGTATCGGGATTGGAAACGCCCACCTCATAGGTTTTTGGACAATTTAAATGGGATTGTGTTTGGAAAGCCCCCCAGCCTCGTGCAGGACACCTGGTGCTCAATAAATGGCCCTTTTCCTTTCTGTTGTAGGGGGTTGGGGGAGAGGGAGCATGGCAATGCAGGACACACATCCACACTCCTATTTCCCCCTCCGTGTATGGCTTCAACTGATTTCATTCGTTTATGCGACAAATAGACATGGAGGGTCTATTATGTGCCAGGAGGTGTTCTAAGTGCTGGGAATACCAGTGAAGAACACAGGCAAAAATCTCAGCCTCAGGGGGCTGACCCTAAAGACTCCTGCCAGGGATCCCCAGGGGATGCTCTGTGAGGCCGGGAATGGGGGTGACTGGAGGAACACTCTGAACATGTACTTCTGTTCGCTCGAAGAATCCCCGGCTCAGTCTGCCAGGCAGGCATGTGACAGGGGAGGATGAAGACCCCAAGGTCAGGTCCTCTGGCCTCCTATTTGGTGATCACATCCCTCTGCTGGTGAACGGTGTTTTAAAGACCTCCCTTCCATGCCAGATGTGTTTCCTGGCTCCTGCTTTGCCCCTTGCATTGATCTACCTCTGTGTTTACCTCAGTCAGAACAAGAGTCTCAGTTATAAAATATCCTGAGTCATAGTGACAGCTGCGTGGGCAAAGTACACAAGTCTACTGTATTTTCATTAAGTTCTAATGATTTCACCATGTAATGTATCAACTTTCTGTGAATAGGTATTCCAGTTATGACTGACTCATTACCCCCAAACGTAATCAGTCTTTCAAAACATCAAGGAAAGGGCAACTCCTGGTGGTTTCTAGTTCCTCGTGTAGCGACCATCACACTGTTGTATCTCCCTCATGAGAGCAGCTGCCAGGAACCCCCCAGAAGCTGCCGGAACCTCCCCGACAGCTGGTGTAACGTTTCTCTTTCATCCCAAGGACACTGAAGCCTGGAGAGGGTGAGTGACTTGTCTAATAATCATTCAGCTAGTTTGTGACAGAGCTGATCACTGCCCCTGGGGGTCGTGAAGCCACCCTTCCCCTTGTGTGCATGGGGGAAAGGGATTTCGGGTTCAGTTTGCAGAGAACGTGGACTCTGAGGTAGTAAAGGTCTTCTTTCCAGGCTCCCCTCATCCTCATCTCCCAGAACGCCTCACAGTCTTCAGTAATTCCTCTCCGCCTCCATGCTTGCAGAGCCCAGCTGGTTTGCGGACCTACTCCCCTTCAAAATGGGCACCAGGCTGCTTATCAAGTTTTCTTTACAACCACAGACAGTAATCCCCATGATGGGAGTTCAGATAAATGCCATTTTTTCCCATCTCCTTACATTTCCAGGCATCTTTCTGTGTTTCTTGTAGACTGCGGCCCTGGTCAGCCGCCTGCCTGGCATGGCCCTGGGTCTGCCTCTGCCCGGGAGTTATGGCGGGCAGAGCAATAGAGAGGCCCCTGGACTTAAAATATAGGCCATCCTTTGCTGCCTATCCAACACTTCCCACCTGGAGACCCATGTCTTAGGGCTCCTCAGGTTTAAGGAACTTGTATTAACATTTCAACAGTGTTGGGGATGGGATCACCTTAGAGGCATTATCAGATGATATATAATAAACTTATCCAAAAGACAGGATAGGCTGGCAGTAGGAGCAGAGGAGAGGGAAGAGCTTAAAGCGGGGAAAGGAGCAGAAGGGGGGAGGTAGAGACCGTCAGGGACACTCGTGCCACTGTAGTGAGAGAGGTTCTGTGAGAGAGAGGTTCAGAGGAGAGAGGCTGCCAGTCGTCATGGAGGGCCTCCGCCACTGATGGGGATATGGCCCATGGCTTACTTGGGTGTTTGGGGTAAGCAAATTCAGAGGCTCAGGGGCTGTGGCCCTTCTCATGTGTCTTTATGTTTTACTCACCTGAATACCGAATCTTAAAGCCCTTCCGGTTGTAGGCGTGGTCAGACGACCAGCGCAGGTACACAGAGTTGCTCGAGCTGGTGACAATCAGGGGGGCTGAGTAATTCCCACTGAGGGCTTTCAGCAGGGGACTCTGTCCAGAGGGACCTGGGCAAGAGTATAGGACACAGGGTTACAGACTCGCACAGCTGCAAGAGATTAGGTTCCTTGGTTCGATACCTCGAATGTAACCACCTCCCACTTCTCCTCCTCAAGAGATGACACTAGGCTGAGATGGTCAGGGTCAGCGCAATGGTCTGTAATTCTGTCCTTTCTCTGCATCTCTAGGCACTGCGCTGGGTGTTCTTTCCTCTGGAGCCCTAAAGCAATGCTCCTGGATGTCACTGCCAACCTACAGGAGTTGTCAGATGAGATGAAATCTATTTGCCATCTTGGGACTTGCCAAGGCCAAACAGCTGGTTAATGAGAGAGCTGGTTTGCAAACTGGGAACTTCTACCTTGCCACCTACTTCTCACATGCATACTAAAAATAGCTCAGTGCTTGTCATATAGAAAAACTATGTACTGAATGAATATATAGCAATAAAGCTATAGTCAAACATCATATCTCAATGTCATACATAACACAGTTCCTCAATATTCCTTTCCAAGTTTCTTCCAGAAAGCCCTCCCTCTTCTTTTTTCCTACCTTTAACGCCTGGGAGTGCATCCTAAGGTGGCTGGTTCAAGGGAAGCAGAGTATAAAGCTCGATAATCCATAACAGGATTTATTACCTTGGAAATAGCCCTGAGTGATGGTTCTGATATCTACTGAGACAGATCGTGGAAGCTTGGCAAAGGTAATGGACCACATTAAACGAAATAGAACCATCAGAACTGCTGTGACAAACTATGAAGGAAGGGGTCAAAAGGCTCAGGGAAGTGGCATGCCAGAATAGGTCTACCACATCAGACCAGGATGCCCACTAGCTGACCATGTCCCTCAGGAGGACCTGGGGGACACTCCATTTCCTAAAGCAACAAGGAACACACTGGTGGAGGGGGTGAGCACCAGCATCATTGAACCTGAGTAATAGCTGTCCTCTGAAGCCTAAACTGATAGAAGGAGATACTCTCAGAGAACTCGGCTTCCTAGTGTTGATGGGGATGAGAAGATTCTAGAATACAGGGGCCAGGTGGAGGCGCTTAACAATCAGAAGTAAGACTAGCATAACTACTAACATGGGCAGCAAGGTTGGAATGGTAGCTGGGAGAGCCTAACCTGTAGGATCTATGGCGATGTCTCACAGAACATGATATTCTTAAGGGCAAGATAGATGGGAAGCCCCCCAATGTATGAATATATGAAAAAAAAATCATGAACATATAGTCAAAACAGTGAGGAAAGCTGACCCCAATGGAAAGTTGCAACCCCTCACCCAGTTTGGAGACTTGAGCCAGGTTCCATCTTATTCTAGAACACTTTGGCTGAAGGAGAGACTGGGTCCCCATGAAAAAGGACCCAACAAAATGACATCAATTGTATATAGTAGTGATTCTCCCAGTCCTTGCCCAAAAAACCTACTGCTATTTCCTCAGGCAACTGAATAGTGGAAAAAAGGGAATGTCCAGGTATTCCCAAGATTTTGGATACATAGTGTGAATTGATGCTGATACCTGGGTACCCAAAGCGTTATCATGGCCCCTCTGTTAGAACAGAAGTGTCTGAGGGTTGGAGCGGGCAATGAATGGAGTCCTGGCCCAGGTCCATCTCACGGTACCAACTTAACCAAGTGGTAGCCCTCGATTGCAGTAGCTATGCCAGATGTAGTATCTTCATTAGAGCAGATTAACACAGCCTTGGTTGCATGAAATGCAGTTATTGATCTAGCAACGTGCTCTTTCCAGACCCACCAGAAAGGAGGATCATAAGCAATTTGCATTCACGTGAGATAGACAACAGTATACATTCATGGTCTTGCCCCAGAGCTATGTTAATTCTCCTGCTCACTGTCAGAATATAGTATGAAAAGATGTGGACCATCTGGACATCCTGCAGAATATAGCATATTGGTTCTCTCTATGAGGACATCGTATTAATTGCCTCTGAGGAGCCAGAAGGGACAATTAGTGTAGAAGCTTTTGTAAGACAAACATGGCTCCAGAGGGTAAAATTAAGTCCTACAAAGAGGCAGGTGAAATTTCCCCAGTGACTTGAGGACACGCTGAAACATTCTCTCCAAATTAAAGAGGAAGTTAGTGTGCCTTTTCCCTTCTACTACAAAGAAAGAAGCGCAACGTTTGGTAGACCCCTTTGAGTTTCAGTGGCATACTCTTCACGTGGGAATACTGCTCTGATCGATTTACTGGGTGACATTCAAGGTGCCAGCTTTGAGTGGGCGCTGGAGTAAGAAAGGATTCTGTAGCAGGACTAGGCGGAGCGGAAACACAAGAATCCCTGCCCCGTGGGCCATACAATCCACCAGCTCCCGTGGTATTGGGGTTTCTGTGGTAGAGAAAGATGTTGCATGGAGCCTCTGGAAAGCTCTAATGGGAGAAGTAATAGCACAGATCCCTAGGGTTTTGAAGCAAATCTGTGCCATCTGCAAGCAGGCAACTATTCAACATTTGACTGACTTACCATCAAAGATCTCAAACTCATCATACTGCTTCTCACTGAGAAAGTATTCCACTGTGAGGGAGATGTTGTAGTCTGGCTGCACTCTCACTAGCCAAGAGCAGGTCTGGAACTGGGGATAGCTTCCTGGGTAGCTCTGACTCAGGATCACACCTGTGGAATCTGTCAGAAGCTCATTCGTTGGGCAGTGCACTTGGGAGAAAGAAAGAGAAATACCAGGTACATGGGATGGAGATGAAATCAGGGCCAACACATTTCCCTGGTACAAAAGACAACCACTGGAACACGAGTATTTGAGCACATTCAAACAAGACCCCAACGCCCATCATTACACTGCTCCATGGCATGAGGTGACCTCAGCTTCTGTGTCAATGTTACTATATTGCCAGGATTCAGGCCTGGCCAGTTGGTTGGCATCGCTTCCTGGCTCAGATATAGGCTTTGGAGTAGCTGAAGATGATAGATACAGACAGACAAGAGAAGGCATCCCCAAATTCAAGAGTTATTCTATTAAACAGGGTTGATTTGTACAAAGAGAGTATTGGGCAGAGGTAAGTACATGGAGTTTTGAGTCAAACACACCTGGATTTATAGCCCACCTCTGTCCCTTACTAGCTGTGTGGTCTTGAACAAATTATTTCCTCTCTGTGCAATGGCTTCTCCACCTCCGATGCAGAAAGATAACACCTGCCTTACAAGGCTATTGTATTATAGAACGTATTATATCACTGTATATTAATAAAAACATTATAATATCTATAATATTATAGGGAATAATATATATAAAGCATGCAACATAGTGCCTTCATAAACTGTAGAGATGATAATGATAATGATGGTAATTATACCAGGAACAGAAGGAACTAGCAGAACTTGGCTGTGGCCTGATTAGTAGTATTAAGATAACTAAAGAAAAACATGTCACCCTAAGGAAGACAGTCAATGTAGAACTTGGAAAAGGAGTTGCTGGAGGGGCTAGATTGGGTTTCCTGTGTCCGTCACCAGGGAGGTGAGAGAAGATACTGGTCCCAAGGGGCCCTGCACATCCTGGAGACCAGGGAGGTGCTCTCTCCTGGGGGTACAGGTACCTGTCACTACCTCCCATGTGAAACAAACTTCAGGATGATCCCCCTCCATTTGCTTGGGCTGAGGACGCCACAGTAAAGTTCTGAGGACTGAATCAACTTCTTCAGGACCTTGAAAGAGGCCTGTCCCCAGGCAGTAGTGGCAAGTATCCCAATCACTACAAATGGAGAAATTGGGATTTTGCTGTGTGTGCCTTTAGACAGGCTTCCTGAATGTACTGGATTCTAGGACACTGATAAAGGAGAGTTTCTGGAACTGCTAAGCCAAGGGCTAATCCCCGGATCATAATCTGAGATGTGGCTCTTCTGGGGAGGAGATTTAGCCATGCACTCTCCACCCATCTCCACTGCTTCCCTCAAACCTTCTGCCTTCACAGAAATGGGGCTTGCTGATCAGCACTAAGTCTGGGCTAACAGACAAAAATGCTTGCTGTGCCCCAAATTCACACAACTCATCTCGGATTCCTTTGAGTAGCTTTGCAACACACTATTTTTAAAAGTAATCTCTATGCCCAACATGGGGTTCAAACCCACAACCCTGAGATCAAGGGTCGCACGCTCTACCAACTGAGCCAGCCAGGTACCCCCTCTTTGAGTAGCTTTGAAAGGTACTAACTAGCTTCTCCAGAGAGTTAATTCTTTCTTTTTTTGTAAACGGGAAAGAAAAACAAATGGCTTCTTGGAGAAAAACAGCCTCGGTTTTGAAATGCTCCTGATTTCACTAAACTGATACCTACAGGTCCCTGAACTGTGGTGTGGTGATATTTACATTCCCCTAGGCTTCATGGTACACTCCAGCCCGTACCAGGTCTGCTCCTGAAGCTCTCCCCTTTCTACTTGAAACTCCCCCACTGAGGGGAAATAGGCATGCTTTCTCAAATGAGATTGGTCCACAGGTTTGCCTTTTTGTGAGCAACTTTACCAGATCTGGGCATTAGTGTTTACAAGTTTTTCTTTCCCATTATGCTCAAGACGTCTGACCTTTGAAAGTTTAGTAGTATTCTTCCATGAAACCATCTAGTCTTGATGTCTTTGATGGGGTTTCCTCTGATAACATTCTCTATTTCTTTTAAAGAATTAGGAAAGTATAAACTTTCTATCCGCTGGAGTCCATTTTATTAAATTATACCTTCCTAGAAAATCATTCATTCATATCATTAATTTTTTGGCCTAGGTTTGTACAAGATAGTTTCATAATTTAAAATTTTCTCTTGCTTCAATGGTTATGTCCCACTTTCCCTTTCTTATTTTTGTATATTCCTGCCTTCTCCCTTTGTTTAACTTATCTAATGGTTTGGTTATTTTGTGACTCTTTGTTCCAGGTACTTCTTTTTATTGATCAGTAAGGCTGTTTTTCTGTTTTATAACTCATTTAACTTCTTTTTAAAATTCAAAATTTTTGAGATATAATTTATGTACAATAAATGAACAGATTTTAGGTGTGCAGTTTAATGAATTTTAGCAAATGTGTATACCTGTGTAACCACTACCATAATCAGGATATAGATTATTTTCATCACTCCAGAAAGTTCTCTCATGCACCTCTGCAATTAGTATGACCTGTCCCATGCTCCAGGAAATCACTGATATTATTTCTATAACAACAGGTTGGTTTTGATTGTACTAGATTTCATGCAATTGGAATCAGACATGTTATTTTTGTGTCTAGTTTCTTTTGCTGAACATAATGTTTCTAAGAGTCAATCCATGGTATTTTGTGTATTACCACTTCATTTATTTTTATTGCTTTGTAGCAATCATAGCAATCTGTTTATTAATTCATTGTATTTATTATTAATGAACATTTAGGCTGGTTCCAGTTTGGGATTATTATGGAATTCATATACAAGTCTTTTTGTGGATATGGGTTTTCATTTCTCTTGGGAAAATAACTAGGAGTATAATTGCTGGGAGTTAGGGCAGGTGTATGTTTAACTTTGAAAGAAACTACCAGTCAGTTTTCCAAAGTGACTGTATAATTCTACATCCCAACTAGCAATGTATAAAAATTCCACTTGCTCCACATTGTTGTCAACACTTGGTATTTTCAGTGTTAACTTTTAGCTAATCTAGTGGGTATGCAGTAGTATTTTATTAAGGTTTTAACTTGCATTTTCCTGATGACTAATGACGTTTTAGCTTCTTTTCATATACTTATTGGCTATTCATACATCTTATTTTGTGAAGTGTCTAGTCAAGTCTTTTGTCCATATTTTTATTGGACTGTCTTATTATTGAGTTGTTATAGTTCTTTACATAGCCTAGATACAAGTCCTTTAAAAAATATATGTATGATGAATATCTTCTTTTATTCTGTAGTTTGCCTTTTCTTTTTCACATTTAGTTCTGTTTTTCCTTCATGTATTTTGAAGCTCTTTTATCATCTGCACATAACGTATATATCCTTTGTAATGGAGTTAACTCTTGTCATTTTAAAATCTATTTCTGGTAATACTCCTTGCTTGCAGTATTATCCAAAATTTCTTTATGTTTCTTATGTTTGCCATTTGTATGATATATCTTTTTCTTTCAATCTATCTGGTATTTATATTTAAACTGCATCTTTTGTAGGAAATAAGTGGTTACCATTTAAAACCTCTAAATTTTGGCATGGTTTTTATGCAGCAAAAATTTACTGACTGACATAACCATATCATTCAAATATTACATGTACCTACTTATTTTTGGTGTGTCATTGAAAGAGGTGTGTGGGAATCTCCAACTGTAATTATGAATTTGCTCTAAAATTCTGTCAATTTTCCTTTATATATTTCAAACCTATATTATTAGGTACATAGAAGTTTATGACTATTATATATTTTTGATGGATTTTTGCTACACCAGATTTTAGAGGTCAGTACTTACTACTTTTTCAAAGTTTTGTTTCATACCAGGGATGAGTGATACCTTTCTAGCTATGTCTTTAGGGAAGCAGATGAAGATATTCAAGTCTAAGTTTATAGAAAGCCTGTAATTAAACTTTTTTTTTACTTAAATAATATGAAAGTCTCTTTCCTTTGATGAGCAGTTTTATTCAGTTATATTTACTATGGTTACACATATATTTGCCCTTAGATTTGCTACCTTATTTTGTGTTTTCTGTTTACCATGATTTTTTTTCTCCTTCAATGTTTCTATTGGATTAATTGAGTTCTCTTTATCTTTATTTTTGATTATGGATTTAGAACTTAAACATACTGTGGTTATCCATAATTTCAAAAAACTATCCATAAATTTAAGCTTTATTTTTAATTTATATATTTAACTAACATAGAGGGTTAATCAATATCTATGCTTCTCCTCAACAAGCAAGGGTCCTGAGCTCATTTTTTCTTTCTTCCAATGCCATTTATTTGTCTAGTTGTGTGTGTATATTTTTAAATTTACTATGGTCAGTATTGTTTAGATTTACTACCCTATTTTACTGATTTCTTAGCTCATTGTTACTTTTTGCATCTGAACCATTCTACCTGTATTCATTTTTTTCTTAATGAATGGGGTAGATATTTTAATTCTTTACCAATATTAGATTTTATTTTTATTTCCTGAGCATACAAAAAAATTCTTGTGGGATTCTATTTATACGAAATATCCAGAACAGTCAATTTCATAGAGACATGAACTAGATTGGTGGTTGCCTAGAACTGTGTGTTGGGGGGAGGGGCTGAAAGAAATGGAAGCTGACTGCTAATGGGTAAAGTGTTTCATTTTGAGGTGTCAAAAATCTTCTAAAATTGTCTAATGGCTGCAACACTTTGAATATACTAGAAATCACTGAAGTGATTTAAATGGATGAGTTGCATGGTACATAAATTCTATCCCAATAAAGCTGTTATTATAAAAAAGCCAGCAAAGGGTCACATCTTGAGAAGACAAGTACAACACCAAGTCCTAGAGGGAAGCATGAGGCTAAGGATAGGAGTAAAGTCAAGAAGGCTGGAGCCATGTAGACACAGAAACAGCCAGAGATGAGAAACTAAGGCTGGAGCAAAGCAGGGAAGTTCTGGAGCAGGATCAAAGCTAAAGTCCACTTTTATAGGGGGCTGGTTGTTTGGTGTGTGGGTAGGTCAGCTCAACTCATAGATAATGAATTTCTCAATGTATCGGGGCAGCTAATTCTAGGGCTGCAGCTTCTTTCTTTCTCACTAACAATCCATATTGTGGATTCTCTACCCTCACCTTACGAGAAGTGGGGGAGAAGCTGACCTTTTCTCCATAGACTACTAAATATTTGTTGGTAGCACTAGTACCAGAAGCAGTAGTAGTACTAGTAGTACTAGTAAAAATAGTAGTAGTACTAGTAGTACTAGTAAAAATAATAACCCACATTGGGCAGTTACTATGTGCCAGGCATAGTTCTAAAGTGCTTTACATTATTAATCCGTTTAATTCCTCACAATAAGTCCATAGCATAAGTAATATTATTATCTTTATTTTACAGATGAGAAAATTGAGGCATGGGACAGTTAAATATCTTGTCCTAGGTCAGATGCTTTTTGAGTGGAGAGTTTGTTTTTGGTCTTAGTAAGGATCACTTGGTGAAGCCAATTCCCATTTTCTGTCAAGGTGTCACACTGGAATGAAGTTCAGCACACAGGACCTTGAGCACATCTGCACTCCAGTAGGGCTAGGTTGGTGTGCAAGCCCACCTCTCCCTGAGGTCCCAGAACTTCCTCCTTCTAATGATCAGTGTGCCACTTCCAGACAATACCAGTTAGAAAAAAGGAAGACAACGATACAAGTGGTTACCATGGCAATTTGTAGCCCAGACCTAAGAGTAGGACAGAGAATTTCTCTAGAGCAATCATTCATTCATATAAACAAACATTCACCAAATGACCTCTTACTTTATGGGCAGGGACTGGGAAGATAGGGAGGCATAAGATAAAGGCTACGTTTTGGAGGAACTTCAGACCCATAAAGGCATGGCTCTGTGCAATTACCTTCACATATTGGGGGTGGTCCTTCAAACTGCAGGTAAGTTCCAAGTTTGCAGGTCAGGATTTCATTACCTACTAAGGTAAAGCCAGGGAGGCACCTGTAGCGAACGATGTCACCTGCCAAAGAGAGACCAACATGGGGATTCCCTGGAGAAGTCTGGAGGGGGCTCCCCTTAGTCCTTAAACCTACTTCCAGGCAAGTCAATCAGTGGTGGGTTGTGTTCTTTTCAGACTTAAATAATCAGGTCAGCTCCAATCAAATGACCCAGAAAGCTGCTACCTGCTTCTCACAGCTCAGCCTTGAGCTTCCACATTCCAGGAACTTTTTATAATGCCTTGCGTGGATTTATTTCTCAAAAACATACTGACTTGAATCACAGAAGAAAACTGCCTTCCTGTCTCCTCTGCCTAGTGATGGCTAAAAGGAAGTGTTTGTATTTTTGGAGCAGACTCAGTTGACAGAACATCAGCCATCTTGCACTGGGCCTACTGTTTCTCTCCATGGACGGGAGAGAGAGATGCACTTTGCTGGCCAGCCCCACCCTGACCTGGCCCCTCCTCGCCTGCCCAGTCCTTGCTGGTTTGGGAGGGGGTACCTATGTTGAATTCTTCATTCTCTGTGACAACTTCGGCGTTGGGGAGGATGGTGGGAGGAGGGCATTTGGTGAGTGGATAAGCTGAAAAGACAGAAGCAGACAAATTGGTGTAAGAGCATCATTCTCTGGGCATGTTGTCATTCACCTGTTCAATACTTCACCTTCTCATTCCTCATTCACTCACACAGATACTAGTGACTTGATCTGCACACAGGGCAAGTTTAGCCAAGTACTATTTTGCTTATCTGCTGTCATCCTTTTTCTTTTTGTTGGTTTTTGATGCAAAAGCCAGGAGCCATATAGTAACACCAACGATAAAGGAGAGAGACTCTAAGAAGTCAGTAATAGTCACTAGCATTGAAGGGAATGGGAGAGAAGCATTTCCCAAGCACCTACTATATGTGAGGCACTTTCACACGCTGTCACCTTTAATTCTCATGATGGCTGATCCCCCTGCGAGGTGTTCTTACTTTCTTTATGAGAAAGCTGAGATTCGGAAAGCTTCACTTACTTCTCCAAAGTCACACAGGAAGTGAGTGCCATAGGACTTGAATCCAGGTCTGGCTGCTCTCAAGTCCCATATTCTTTCCAGTGCTTGGCATCTAAGTACCAAGTGTAGCTCATGTGAGTGCCCACTAAAGCCAGCTAGTTTCCCTTTTGACCCTTGGCCAAACATCTCTGGCTTCAGTGGATTTTCTACACTGGAAAACATTCCTCTGGGCAGAGACTGGACTGTGTATGGATGGTGTTACCAAGACAAAGCTCAGTGTGGGCTCATAGCTTGGTTTCCATTCACTACTTGGCACGTACTATGTAAGTGCAAGCTGCTGTTGCCATTGCTACTGCTGTTATTAGTGATATAACACTTCCATACATCATCCCAAACCCCACTATGTTTGTTTTTTTTTTTACAAAGAACATTCTCTCAAAGAAAGTTACAAATGTAATGCACTGTCATTAGAGAAAATATGAGATTTTCTACAAAAACAGTAGGAAGAAAATTAAACTCATCTACCAGCCTTTTGGAGATAACCACTGTTAACCCTGTACTGTGAATTCTTAGAGTATACACGCTCTGCATATCTATTTTTCTCTTACAAACTTTACGTTGATCCTTGTGCACTTACTATTATACTGCAAGAATTTTCTGATGTAATTAAATTTCTAAAAAAATGATTGAAATGACTTCATTAGGATTGTCATGATTGACTAGAATTTAATAGATGCTCTATTATTAACTGTAAAGGTTTCCAAAGTTTTGCAATTTAAAATAAAACTATGATAAACATCTTTCTCTATATATGCATCTTTTATGAATTTTTTCTTCCTTTTTTAAAACTAGGAATGATTGCTGGATCATAGGGTAGTTCTATTTTTAACTTTTTCTGGAACCTCCATGCTGTTCTCCAGACTGGCTGCACCAGTTTGCATTCCCACCAACAGTGCAAGAGGGTTCCCCTTTCCCTGCATCCTCACCAACACCTGTTGTTTCCTTTGTTGCTGATTTTAGCCATTCTGACAAGTGTGAGGTGGTATCTCATTGTAGCTTTTTTTTTCTTTACCAGTCGATTTTTTTAAATTTAATTTTATTTTGTTATATTAATCACCATACAATACATCATTAGTTTAATGTGGTGATCCACGATTCATTGTTTTTGTGTAACACCCAGTGCTCCATGCAGTATGTGCCCTCCTTAATACCCATCACCAGGCTAACCCCTCCCCCCACCCCCTCCCCTCTAAAGCCCTCAGTTTGTTTCTCAGAGTCCATAGTCTCTCATGGTTCATCTCTCCCTCCAATTCCCCTGCTTCATTTTTCCATTCCTTCTCCTAATGTCCTCCATGCTATTCCTTATGTTCCACAAATAAGTGAAACCATATGATAATTGACTTTCTCTGCTTGACTTATTTCACTTAGCATAATCTCCTTCAGTCCCATCCATGTTGATGTAAAAGCTGGGTATTGATTTGTATTTCCCTGATGATGAGTGATGCTGAGCATCTTTTCATGTGTCTGTTGGTTATCTGGATGTCTCCTTTGGAAAAATGTCTTTTCATGTCTTCTTCCCATTTTTTAACTGGATTATTTGTTTTCTATGTATTGAGTTTTATAAGTTCTTTGTATATTTTTCGATCTAGAAATAGCACTACTAAGTATTTACCCAAAGGATACAAAAATACTAATTTGAAGGGATATATGCACCCCAATGTTTATAGCAGCATTATCAACAATAGCCAAATTATGGATATAGCCCAAATGTCCATCGACTGATGAATAGATAAAGATGTGGTATATATATATATATATATGGTGTGTGTGTGTATACATATATATATATATATATACACTATATATACACACTATATAGTGTATATATATATTGTGTATATAGTGTATATATATATATACATATATATATACTATATAAAGTATATATATGTGGTATATATAATATTCCACCACAGTGGAATATTACCCAGCCATCAAAAAGAATGAAATCTTGCCATTTGCAATGACATGGATGGAGGTAGAGAGTATTATGCTAAGCAAAATAAATCAGATAAAGGCAAACACCATATGATTTCACTCATATATGGAATTTAAGAAACAAGACAAATGAACATAGGTTTAAAAAAAGAGCAAAACTAAGAAACAGACTCCTAAGTATAGAGAACAAACTGATGGTTACCAGAGGGGAGGTGGGTGGGGGGAATGGGTTAAATAGGTGATGGGGATTAAGGTATACACTTGTGATGAGCACCAGGTGATGTATGGAAGTGCTGTATCACTAAATTCTACACTTGAAACTAATATTACACTGCATGTTAACTAACTGTAATTTAAATAAAAAATTGAAAAAAGTAAGAATGATTAAATTGTATGACCTTTGTAAAGTACAAGCATCTCCTACTGAACATCAGTAACCCACTTCCAGAAATCAGAAACTCCGTGTAAAGATGTTAACTAGGAGCCTATTTCCCAGGACTTCAAGTGGGAAAAAATTACAGTGGGTAATCCCAAACCCAGAAAGTATTTAAAATAATGAGATACATATATATATGCAACAAACCATAATGCTAGAAGTTAAATACTTGAAACATTACTGCTTGACCACCCAAGAATGACTATGGCTGTAACAAAACAGCGGCTCTACGCATTGTAGCACATGCACTTTGCATACCGTAGCACACCATGCGAGTCTTCTCAGCGTGATGCATCGAGAAACCCTAGCCAGAAAACAAGGGTAATGTGGGCATGTGTTCAGGATGGCACTGTGGGGGGTACAGTATGGTTCACAATGAACATCACATTATCATAACCTCTCAGAACCAGCAGCAATGCAGATACGCATTCCAAATGTTCACGTGGGATCCTGACATTTTACCAACTGCAGTTGGAATGTAACCTGAGAATTTTCCTGCATATAGTTTTATTAAAAATGTTGTATTATATTTTGATGATTTAACCAATTTTTTTCTATAGATGTGTTGTCTGAAAAATGTTGTATTGAGAGACACAGAAGCTTCAGGAAATGTAGGTATTAAAACCAAGAGGCACTCTTGAGGTAACCACGAAGTTTTAACTGTGATTTAACATAAACCAGGGAGGACCATGCCTGCATTGGATGTATGCTTCCATTTTTCTCTCCAGGAAAATGGCTATAACTGATATCAGCAACAGAGTGGCAGTGTTTCCAACACTGGGTACTATCATTCTTCCATCCAATTCATTTAATGATTGTGGAGGCCTTAGCCTGGGTCAGGCACTGTGTTAGGCACTGAGGATGCAAGAGGAAACAAAACACAGTCCTTGCCCTCATGGAACTCAGAGCCAATTGGGGGAAGCAGTCATCAATTCTAATCGTTGTCAACTTGATAAACAACAAAAAAGGTAGCATTTCTTTTTTCTTAAATTGACATTTGATAACAAGTTAGGTTAAACATTTTTTTTTCATAGATTAATAGACTATTTGGATTTTTCTTCTTAATCTTCTATTAGTCCTTTGCCCCTATTTTTCTTACAAATTTGAAGAACCTGGTGCATATTTAAGATTGATTTCTGGGGGCGCCTGGGTGGCTCAGTCACTTAAGCATCTGATTCTTGATTTTGGCTCAGGTCATGGTCTCAGGGTTGTGAGGTAGGGCCCAGCACTGGGCATGGAGCCTGCTTAAGATTCTCTCTCTCTTCCTCTGCCCCTACCCACCTCTCCCTCTCTTAAAAAGAAAAGACTGACTTCTGCTTGTTAAATATATTTTCACAGTTTATCCTCTGCTTATATTTATCTAGGGCACTCTTTGGATTTGTAGATGCATGAAGTTTCTGCTCATTCTGCTTAGCCAATTCTTTTTTTAAAAAAAGATTTTATTTATTTGTGAGAGAGAGTGAGCATGAGTTGGGGATGGGGCAGAGGGAAAGGGAGAAGCAGACTCCCCGCTGAGCAGGGAGCTTGACACAGGGCTCGATCCAGGGATCCTGGGATCATGACCTGAGCCGAAGGAAGATGCTTAACTGACTAAGCCACCCAGGCATCCCTCTGCCTAGCCAATTCTTAACGTTTTCCTTTATAAAGTTTTTTTTTTAATTTGATATCTTTCAATCTCGGCCACGTGCATATCTTTAAAGTATATTTTCCAGGTAGGGAATTGAATAAAGGGTACAAACTTCCAGTTATAAGATGAATAAGTACGGGGGATATCATGTGTTACATGATGTTAACACTGTTGTTTGGTATATTTGAATGTTGTTAAGAGAGAGCAGATCCTAAGAGTTCTCATCACAAGGGAAAAATTCCCTTTTTTGGGGTATCTATATGAGATGATGGCTGTTAACTGAATTTACTGTGGTGATTTTTTCGCAATATATGTAAGTCATGTCATTATGTTGTATCCCTAGACTTACACAGTGCTGTATGCCAATTGTATCTCAATAAAACTGAAAAAAATAAAGTGTCTCAAATTCTGAAAAAAATATCCTCTCAGACACACTTAACTTTCAGGAAAAAAAAATCAGTAAAAAGAAATCTCCACTTCAACACAGCCTGAGTGTTTAATATATTGTGGTTGCTAGTTTGATTGGGGTAGATTTCCCATTATATTTTTTAAAAAACTACAATTTCTGCTCAATGCAGAGAGCTGGTGGAATACTAAAAAACAATAAAATGGAAACTCTCCAAGTCCCACCAGCACCCAGGCACAACTATTGCTAGTCTTTCGGTGCATGAACTTCGGTGTTTATTTATAGACAATCCCTCCCTCCTCCCCCCAGAGCACGCACTGTATCTACCATGTTATTGCTAAAGAACTCGAGGGCGGGGGGACATTTGGGACTCCTCCACTTCACTTTGTCCCTACTCCCCTTGCTCCCCTTGGTGGTGAGGCCCTGATGCAGCGTAGGCAGACTCCAGTACTGGTTAACAAGTTAACTGGTGGGGCGGGCTTGTTGCGCTATGTCAAGTGGCAGCCAACTGGGCAACAGCCATTGTCGGTCACGGTTTTACCGTTTCATTCTGGGCTGCCCGTATTTTTGTTCCTATAGTTTCCTTTTCTTTAAGGAGTTCTGGTCTGTTTTAGTGGAAAATGGTATTTGAAACCAGTATCTGGAGCTAGGTGTGTTCATTGCTATCAAGAAGTCATTGCTTCCAAGCCCTCTTAGTGGAAAGAGCTAAGGAATACATGTACGTGTGCACACCCATGTTTATACCCAGATCTCCTTCTGTATCTATGTGTACATATTGAAAACCATAGTTCAAACTCAGACCTCCAATTCCAATCCAATTCCCTGGGTATATTCTAATTTTTGCTCTTGCCACATTTCTAACCCTCTTCTCTTAGTGAGACACCTACCTTTGATTGTCCTTAATCTATTAACTTACTTGATCAGTCGCCCATAGGGAACCAAGTCCCCATCTCTACTGCCACTCCTCCCTTACGTGAATTCCCTGCTCTCCCACCTTGGAGTCTGATGGATCCTCTGTGTGGATGTCTTCTCACTCTGCTGGGGCTCTTACCCTACATGGATGTTCCGTCAGTTTGCTCAGAGCCTTGATACTCCAGACCAGCCCAGTCTCTGTACAGACGTCGCCCCTCAGTGTGGACCGCCCCCCTCCTCTTTGCTTCTCTCCTCTTTGCTTTTCCCACTTTGCTTCATCCCATTTAACAGCTTTGGGACTGAATTTTTCAGGAAGGGAAGAGAAGACATTTAGATCCCCTTTTAGTTATCTCTTATTTGGAGTCCATGTTGTCTAGACTTTTATGCTGGAAGCAGATGCTTTCCAAAATTTATTTCTATTTCCTAAACTCCATGTTTCCAAGGACATTTTTCTCTGTAATTCAAGTCTGATTATCTCATTAAGAAAATACTGTAGAATCTTGTTCACAGCTCTCCTTAAGGTACTTTTCATTTCTACTTACTAGTCCTTATATGAGAAGAAATTTATTTAAAGCTAATGTTTGCCTACAGAATGCCAGACATTCTTTCTCGCATACCAGTCCCTACTCCCCAGTCTCCACAAATCTACCTCCTTCTTTTTCTTTAGTTCTTATTGCAAATATTGCCTTTTGACACGTTTTCCACAATTATTCTACATGAAGCAGAGTTCCTCACCTTTTTGTCTATCTTATTTGTTTCCTTCATAGCAACTTATTACAAATTGCAAAGATTTCATTTGTCTCTTTGTTACCTTTCTCTCCTCAGAGGAAGAAAGCTCTATGGGGAGCAGATATTTCACAGAGCAAGAAAGCATGAATAGTTAATGAAGATATGAAAGGATGCTCACCTCATCATTAACATAAGAGTGAAATGCTATTTCATGCATCCACCATATTGGCAAAAATTTAAAAATCTGATAAAATCCAGTGTCCGTAAGATGGAGCCCGGAATAAAGTCAAGCTCCAGTTCAAATACATGTAATGCTCTGCAAACTGTAACATGGAGGATTACTCTATAGATGGACACAAGCCCACAGAGAACTTTCTTTAAGTTTTTCAATGCTGTTTCCACTGTAACAAAAATGAGGAAGTATCCAGATCCATAACTTTGGACTTTTAGAAGAAAACTGGCTGGCTGTCGAGAAGGACAAGCCCACCCTGAATTGTTCATGCTCCTCCTGCTTGAATCCTCCATGACTTCACTTGTGCACAGTACTTCCTGTGAGGTCAGCAGAGACCCTGGATTCTTTTGGAGTGGGACAACCCTCTAGAAGGTGCTAAGGGACAAGCTGGGGAACAAGTGAGTGGGTTAACCAGCCAGTGAGTTGATGTAAATGAGTGGAATGAGAAGCCTCATCCTGCTGCCTCTAAGCTTGGACTTGGCACCAAGATCAGTGCCATGTACCTCTCTACCCTAGTAGTGTGGAGGTCTGGGCTGGGGGATTTCACGTAGGTTAACACATTCAATATAACTCTGAGGACACTGAGGCTGAGAAGCTATGTAACTCATTCAGAATCACGACACTGGGAATGGTGGAACCAGGGATCAAGCGCGGCCTTGACTTGAGAGCATGGTGCTTCCCTCCCCTGCTAGGCTTCCATACTGACCAGAGAAGGCGATGGCGAAGATCCCACCCATGGCTGCATCATGGTGGAACTTAAGTAGGACCTGGTTGGACGAGCTGTGCAATGTTTTCTTGGCCAAGCTCCGGCTGAAGACTCCAAGCTGTGGAGCTGTCTGCTGGGCCCCATCCCTGCACGTAGGAAAGAATGTTCTGGTATGTCGCAAGTCACCATGGCTGCTTGCTTTGCCTCTACCATCAGTGGCCTTAACAGCGACCTGGAGTGGGAGGCTATGACTCTACTTGTGCGCAACACTGTCTTTCTCCAATGCCCTGTGCACCTCCATCTAATCTCTCCCAATTCAGTCTGCCAACAGAGCTGATAGAGTTGGCAAAGCACCCACTGACTCCTCGTTCACCTGATTCTTCACCAGCCTCTGTAATGGGCTCCTGGGGGCAACAGTCTCAGCTGAGAAGCAGGAGCCACTGGGCAGGTTCTCTCTGAGCAGAAGGAGGATGCGGCTGAGGAAGAGCGCATGCTGCTATCCATGCCAGCCCCACTTCCTTGTCTCCAAGCAGAGACACACCCATGTTGCCTTTCTAGGCAAAGGATTTCTTCCCTGGAAACGTATCTAGTCCCTCCTATCTGTTCTTAATCATTGCCTGGAAAGGCAACTGGGAATTAACCCAGGGTAGTCTGACTACAGTTATCCAGCCCTGGGAATTTTGGGAAGAGGCTCTCACTATCCCCTGCTGATTCCCAGAATGGCAGTGACCCCTCAACAAAAGAATCCTTAAATTATATATTTGTCCAAAGGTCCAGTGGTTTGGGAAGAACTATCTAAGAGACTACACTTATGGCTCATAACTCATACTCCCATTTTAAAGTCACTTCAAGATATTCTAACTCTATCACTCAGAGTGGAACTGTCAATTTGGTAACCACTAGGCCCCATGTGGCTTTTTATATTTAAATTAATCAAAATTAAATAAAGTTTAAAAATCAGTTCCTCAGTCACTCTAGTCACATTTAAGTACTCATGGCCACCTGTAGCTGCTGGCTACTGTACTGGCCAGCACAGATATAGAATGTTTCCATTACTGCACAACGTTGTATTGGACAATACTGTTTAGCATGAGATGACCAGTGGGACTTTATGGAATTCCACCCCAAAACTGGGTAGCTTATCCTAGGTAAATGTAGAATTTTGGTTTGGACTCTGGAAAAAATGAGAAAAGTCTGTGTATCTGCGACCATTCCTATTCACACACCCACCCATTGGTACTCTGACCCCTAGGAGCACTCTGGGTTGGAAACCACTGTCCTCCCATTCCTCTCCCTTCAAGGAGTCACAGAGGGTAATTGAAACTGAGCCCTCATTTACTATGTTTATTTGAAAGCCAGGAAGCTGACCACCATTGAAAACCATTCAGCTCTTGGTTTCCTGAACCAAAAGCTGAGTAACCCAGTTTAAAGCCCAGCTAATGCCCCTTTCTAATTGGCTGTCGACATGGCAGCTGGCCCTACCAGACAGTGATGAAGTCTCCGGAGGGCTCCGTCTGCAGCAGGCTGAGGTTGAGGCGGATGCCATGACCAATGGGCACGGTGATCAGCCAGACACAGTCCTGGGAGCTGGAGTATGGACTGGGGAAGCCAGGAGAGTACACAGTGCCATTGGAAGAGGTGATGTTCCCACCACAGGGGACTGCCAGGGAGGGGACATAAACACAGATGAGTGTGGGAGATCACCCCCCACCTGAAAATTCCCTTATGACTCCCTAATGAAGTGCCAGCACCCAGCACAAATTATTCTGCTCCAGGAGGTCAGGCAGGATGGGGAGAGGTGATGCGGCGGAGGATGACTGTGCGTGGTTTCCCCCACCAACCCGGGCACACCACTCCCCATCAGCCCCTGATCTTCAGTGCAGGTGCCTCTGTGGGCCAGCCTCAGTCCCCAGCCCCCTCTTCTTCCTGTGGATAAGACCTGCCCAGAAAGAAGGACACACTAAAGCACTCCTCTCTCCTTTCCTAGGAATGGAGTGGAGGACAGATGTCAGGATCAGGGCTGTAGTACTTTTGCTGGGATGAGCTAAGAAAATAGGAAACTATCTCTTTCTCTCTTCTTATTTGCTCTGAGATTCTTACAGTGGTACTTTTTTTTTAAACTTTCTTTTTTTTCTTAAGATTTTTTTTTTAAAAAATTATTTATTTGAGAGAGAACAAGAGCGCGAGAAAGAGAGCACAAGCAGGTGGGGGGAGAGGGAGAAGCAGACTCCCAACTGAGCAGGGAGCCTGATGTGGGACTCAATCCCAGCACCCTGGGATCATGACCTGAGCTGAAGGCAGACACTTAACTGACTGAGACACTCAGGTGCCCAGAGTGGTACTTTTGGTCTTGACCTAAGAGATAAGGATTCTTGTGGTGAAGCTAAGGTTGGGTTCAAATCATGGCTAAACCTTAACTAGATGACCTTAGACAGTAGTTTACTCTCTTTCTTCACCTGTAAAATGGAAATAAGAGCACCCACCTTGTAGGACTGTGGTGGCCGTTAGGTGAACTGATGGATGTAAAATGTCCAACCTGGCATTTAGCTCACAGAGAAAACATTTGCTGCCTAGATATGATCCTCTCTCCCTATTTTCCTGTCCCCCAAAAGTGACACCCAATTTTAGGCTCATTCTCATCTAGGCTTTGGGTAGGGGGATGGAGAGGCCTTGAAATCTCCATAATGTTCCAATTTAGTCATCAGGGAGGAGAAACAAGGGCAAACAAACAAACCCTGGTCCAGAATAATGAGTGTATTTGGCTGGCACGGGGAAATAAGCAGACGTCTGGATGCGGGCAGACCAGAGGGAAGAGAAAGAATCCCAATGCCTCCAGGCAGAAGATATGCATCCTGAAAGGGGTATGCATGGACATACCATCCCTCCTACACACACTGCACATCCACTCAGTGTCAGGGTCAGGCACAGCCTGGGGAGACCAAGGGGAGCAAAGATACCAAGCACGTGGTTTTGTTCTGTAGCACTCAGAGCCCACTGGGATACAGCTAAGTAAACCGATCTCTGTAGATGCCAGCCCGGGGGCGGGAGGGACACATCAACATGGAATCCTGCAGGAGCAACAGGGGGCACCCCTCACCCAGTCTTGTGAGGGTAGGGAAGGATTCTTGGTATTGTTCCCATTTAGACAAGGCTAAGTAGACAAGGCAAGAGAGAAGAGCGATGTTCCATGAGGGAGGGACAGCATGTGCTAAGAACCAGAGGCAAGGGAACATGGCACACTGGGACCACTAAAGCACTTCAGCTTAGCTGGACATAAAATCTGTGAGAGTGGAGAATACTGGGAGGTATGCAGGGACCAGGCCCAGAGGGACATGGTGTGCTACACAAAGGGGTTTGGAATTTACCCCAATAGAGATGGGGATGCCCTGTTGGCTTCTGAGCAGGGCAGGGTCTGGAGTGTGTTGATGGTTTGGAAGGCTCACACTGGCTATGCTGTGAAAAATGGTTTGAGTAATGCAGGACCAAAGACTGGGAGACCAGCGAGGAGCCTCATCCAAGTGGTGGCAGGATAAAAGCAGAGGCAGTGCATAGAGAGAAGTGGATGCATTTGGAAGGTAATCAGGATGTAGAATTATCAAGACTCAGTGAATTAAGTCAGATAGGCAAGAGGGAGGCGCCAAATAAGGGCAGAGTAACCAGGTGACTAGAGGTGCCCTTCACTAATGAGGACTTCCGTTGAATGGCAGAAAGATGATGACTTTAATTTTGAATATATTAGAATTTAGATGCCTCTGGTAAGTGAAGCTCTTTAGTAAGGAATTGGATATACAGGTGTAGGTCTCAGGAAAGAGATAAAATTACAGTCTTCCCTTCTGACGGGGTTGGATCTTCCCAAGGGCTGAGTAGGTATTCCCTTGGCTGTGGCCTACATCTCTTCCAGGTCCCCCCAAGCTTGGCCCAGAGGCTGCCCCAAGACTCTTTCCCTGGATAGGCTGGGTCTCTTCCATATGAAAACAGGATGGACAGGGTTTGCCTGGACTCCCCATCATGGGTGATTCCATGGAGCATGGGAGTACTCTGAATCAGTCTCCTTAGGAAGAATCACCAAGGATGAGGGAGGGACATACCTTCACACCTGGGCAGGGGGTGGTCCCAGTTCCGGTTGGTGCCATGTTGACATGTGAGGACGGGGTGGCCAATCAGTTGATATCCTGGGAGGCACTCGAAGGTCACTGATTGGCCAACATTGTAGCCAGCTCCCCTCACAATGCCATTGGCAAAGGGCTCTGGGTCTGGGCACTCTTGAAGTTCATAGGCTGGAAAAGATCAGGAGAGAAGGTCACTTTATTCTCTCTGGACATTTTCTCCTCAACCAGAGTATAGGAGCAGCAGAGAGTTAACATAGTGTGAAGCACCAAGACTTGGACTCAGATGGACCCTTGTCATTTACCAGTTGTTGGCTTTGGGCTAGACATTAAACTTTTCTATGCCTCAGGTTTCTTATATAGAAAACCATTATTGTGAGGATTAAGTGGGTTAATATATGCATAGCTCTTTGCATAGTCCTGGCACAAAGTAAGAGCTCAATAAATGTTATCTGTTGTTACTGTCTCCATGGGAAAAGGAGTCTCAAGGAAGACAAGGCTAGACGGAAGCCTTATTTGCTGAGCACCTGCTTGGGGCTGGGCACTGACCTCAGTTCTTTCATGTGGATCGTCTCATTTAACCATGACAACCATGTTCTAGATCACAAATACAGAAAGCAGTCAGGGGAGGACTTGAGTGGGGTCTTTCTGACTCTGAGAAACTACAACCTTTCAAGATGGAGGAACTTGGTGGGAGTAAGCCAAGTCTGTGGCTGGGAGAGAAACTTTTCAGAGGGAATCACTGGATGAAAAAAGGAATGTGTATGACTGTAAGATAAGGAAGCCTCTCCAAAGAGAAAGAAAGCTGCTTCCCTGAGAATGGTGAGCCCAACTCAAAAAGGAGACACCTTAATGGAAGGACCAGAGACCTGACAGGGAGAGGTCGCCGCCGGGTTTGCTGAGTACGTGTACAGAGCACAGACTCTGATTAATTGGATCCACAGGAAAAAGAACAGCTGCTGTGGCCAGAGTCGGGCCCTTCCTACACAGGAAATTGGCAGTGGGGTAGACAGAGCGTTCTGACAGTGGAAATTCTCAGTGGGAGTTGAGATCAAATGAATGCTCCATGGAAGTGGATGCATTCATTACATGTAATAACAATATAAATAACAATGATCATGAAGCTGACATTTCTGAAGACCTCCCTCTGGGATGGCACCTGTGCTGTGTATTTCCATTCACTGTCTCACTGACGGAGGCCTCAGTGGAAGGAACTGGGCAGGTTTCACTGGGAAATCATCAGGGTCACTGGGTGTGTCAAAAAAACCAAGCAGCTATTGTGGGAGCGGGTAGGCTGGTCAGCCAAAAGAGACACGTGGCCCTGTCAGCAGCAGGGGGTTTGGGTGATTTGGCAAATAAAGGCCTTAGTGTAAGAGAGGGGAGCTACTGCCCAGGGAGCTGACTGAATGGATGGGCTGGGCCTCTAACGAGAAGCCTCAGGGGGAAGCCGTGGACCCCGTGATGGTGAAGAACCAGAAGAGAGTGGCTGCACGTCAGAAGCCAGGAGCAGCCTGAGGGAGAGTCTCTCTCTCTTTTGAAGATTTTATTTATTATTTGACAGAGAGAGACACAGAGAGAGAAGGAACATAAGCAGGGGCAGTGGGAGAGGGAGAAGCAGGCTTCCCGCTGAGCAGGGAGCCCGATGCGGGGCTCGATCCCAGGACCCCGGGATCATGACCCGAGCCGAAGGCAGATGCTTAATGACGGAGCCACCCAGGCATCCCTGAGGGAGTCTCTTATAGGAATTGTCTCACGCAGAAGGAGCTGGGCTTTTTAGAAAAAAGAGACACTTAAGTGAGAGAACCTGGACTGCTTTCAAACTGAGAAAAATCTCAGAGCCTGTTTACCAGAAGAAGCTTCAAAGGGAGAGGTTGGGCACTACAGGCAGAAATTAACCCTAAAGGTCAGAATCATTAGTTTTCCTAACGAAGCGCTCCTGGGTTTGTCCCAAATGGAGACGCTACAGTGGGAATAGATAAAATTTTTAATAAAGTACCACAACTGCAAATATTAATATTAAAATGATTAAAATATTCAAAATATGAAAAATGATGCCTAACATTTTGGAACAATTACGTGTCTTGTCATTTTGCTAAGTTCTTTATAAACATGATCTCCCGAAAAGTTTTAATGATATAAGTTAAGCCTGTCCAACTGAGAGGCCCGGTAAGAGTGGCTTAAGCTGTTAGTAACAATTTTATGGGAATATTTACCTGAGAGGAGAAAGGAAAACTCCAGCCTAGGAAGTTCAGAGTGTCTAACAGGAGGGATTTTGAGAAAAAGTAAGGAGTTGGATTTCCTCAGAGAAAGTCGTGGGACTACAGGGAGATGGGCCTGCTCCATACAAAATGCCTCAGTGGGGACAGGTGGCCCTTTCGGAAACAGGTCTTCTCATAAGGGAAAAACTGGGGTGAGTGGTCAGAGCTTGTGTATAAGGTACAGCTCCATGGGGCTAAGGAAGGTGTAAGTAGAGAATGTGGGCCTGTTGGGCAGGGAGAACTATTCGGGCCTGACATAAATTAGGAGGCCTTGGCAGGAGGACCTGGGCCTCTGGCACTAGAGACAACCCCTTCCCAGAGGGTGGGACCACCACAGACGAGAAGCCTAATGGAAGCTGAGGTCAAGTCTGAAGGGGAGCAACTGCCCTGATACCAAGAGTGGGCTCACAGGCATCATTAGGTCTGTGGAGCTCAGGCAGGCACTGAGGGAGTAGCTGGGCCTGAGGGAAGCCTCAAGGGGAACATCCACCAAGTCATGAAGGTAAAATGTGAGTGGGAGGAGGTGGGCCCACCAGAGAGTAGACACCTCTGGGCCTGTCATTCAGTTGGACCAGTGGAGGTGTTGGGCCTTCAAAGGCATACTTAGAAACCTGTTGCCCTTGTGCCTTGCTTCCCCCTAACAAGGGAAAATCCTCGGAGGAGGAGGGGGACTCTGCACATGTGAAGCTCCAGTGTGAGTAATGGGCATATCACAGAGAGAACGGCTGGCCCAGGGTGTTGGCCTGTGTCTTGGAAGCCTCAGTGAGTGTGAGAGGGGCTGCGCTTGAGACCAGGGCTCTGTGGAAGTAGGTAGGTCTCTTCTATGGGGAGAAGTCAGCGAAGTCCAAGGGACTCGGGGACAACTCTTATCGGGACAAGTGGGCTTATCACATGGGGAACACAGTGAGTGTCTGGTCCCACCGTGTGGACTCAGTGGGCAGGCCTCCATCATAGGGGTGAAGGCACAATGTGTATGGGTAGGCCCCTGAGAAGCTGTCCCTGTCACAATGGTGGTGTCATCAGTACTTGCATTTAACCAACCTGAGGAGCCCTGGGGAGAGCATGTGGGCCTGTCAGAGGTGTTATGGGTTGAATTATGTCCCCTGCCCAAATCCATATGTTGAAGTCCTAACCTCTAGTACCTCAGAATATGACCTTATTTGGAGAGAGGATCTTTGCCATTTTACCTAAATTGAAATGAGGTCATTAGAGAGGGCCTTAATCCAATTTGACTGGTGTCCTTACAAAAAGGGGAAACTTGGAGACATACAAGGATTTGAAGCCAGAGATGGGGGTGATGTTTCTATAAGCCAAGGAATTCCAGACTGCCAGCAAACCGCCAGAAGCAAGGACAGAGGCCTGGAAGAGACTCTCCCTCACAGCCCTCAGAAGGAACCAACCCTGCTCACACCCTGATTTTGGGACTTCAGCCTTCAGAACAGAGGAATTCTTAATCTTAGGAAACAAACTGAGGGTTGCTGGAGTGGGGGTGGGGTGGGAGGGATGGGGTGCCTGGGTGATAGACATTGGGGAGGTATGTGCTATGGTGAGTGCTGTGAATTGTGCAAGACTGTTGAATCACAGATCTGTACCTCTGAAACAAATAATGCAATATATGTTAAGGAAAAAAAAACGAAGAAGATAGCAGGAGTGGAAGAATGAAGGGGGGGAAATCGGAGGGGGAGACGAACTATGAGAGATGATGGACTCTAAAAAACAAACTGAGGGTTCTAGAGGGGAGGGGGGTGGGGGGATGGGTTAGCCTGGTGATGGGTATTAAAGAGGGCACGTTCTGCATGGAGCACTGGGTGTTATACACAAACAATGAATCATGGAACACTACACCAAAAACTAATGATGTAATGTATGGTGATTAACATAACAATAAAAAAATTTAAAGAAAAAAATGTGAGAGAAGAAATGTGTGTTGTTTAAGCCCTCCAGGCTTTGGTAACAAAGTACCTTCCCTCCCCCTCTCTCTTTCTTTTTAACAAAGTGTGTTTGTGAACTGTTAATATAATTAAAAATTAACTTTAAAAAAGAAAAGTGCAAAAGCAGTATTTATAGTATTATCCAATTTCGGTTAATGTATAATAATATAGTTACATCAACATATGCACAGAAAAAATGGGGAAAACAAACTTAAAAAAAGTTGGTTCTCTCTGCATAAGGTGGGGTAGGAGATGGGATTATGGGAAAATTTTGACTTTCTATGATGTACTCACAAAAACATCTGTAATGCTTTAATCTTTTATAAGCATGTATTAGATTGGAGAAAAGTCCAAAATTATGAAAAAAAAAAAGTCAGTGGAAGAATCTTGAAAAAGAGGTTAGCACAAATGGTTCAGTCAGTCACTAGGGAGGCATCCAAGGGAAACGTTGGGCCTACCTAGGGCCACTGTGTATAGCGGCACAGATCAGGTACAAGTGGCCCAGACACAGGTGACAGCCCCTCACACAGGGAAAGGGAGTGGATAGGGCTGTTTCCAGGGGAAGTGTGCCAGGAGGAGTGGGGCCTATCACAGGATTTCACCTCAGTAATGCAGAGTCCCACTAAGCATAGTCAGGAAACCCTCAGTGGGAGTTAATGGGCTTGTCTCATTGCGAAGGCTCAGTGGGCGCTCCAGGGTTGTTACCAGAATCCTCCATCATGTGATAGGAGGATCTTCGCCGTGGGTGATTGGGCTTGACACACAGGGGAGGACTCAGAGGGACTAAGTAAGCCCATCAAGGCTGTGGGGAAGTGGCCGACTGGCCACTCAGGGATGCCCGATGGGAACGCTCAGGGAAAACTGCTGGCGGTTGGGCCTGGACAGAAGGGAGCCTTCAGCAGTGCTGTTGGGTCTTAGCCCTGGAAAAGACTTGTCAAAGGGGGTTAGATATCTTCATGGGGCCAGAAAGACATGCCACCAAAGGGGAGCCTGCATCGATAGGCCTGCCCCCGACCCCTCAAAGCCCTCCCAGTGTTCTCTCTTTCCCTACGTGGAAGGCTGGGAAGATGGTGGTTGTATGTAAGAGAAGGGGATGGGCAGGAGCCAAAGGGGAATCCTGGTCCTTACCCTGGTACTCCAGTTTGAATCCTGGCCGGTTCTGGGAGTGGTCGCTGTGGAAATACACAGTGGTCTCATGGGACGTGGACAGCAGGGAGCCTGGAAGCTCACTGCCACTGAATCTGCCCATCATGCGGCTGGTCTCGTAGGGGCCATTCCGGATTTCTATGAAGTCATGGTTGGGCTCGGTGGAGAAGTTCAGGAACTGGATGTGAGCTCCTGGGAGCAAGACAGAGGCAGACAGTGCCCAAAGCAATAGAGTCCTGCTTCAAACGTGCGGCCCCATGGAAGCTTTTCCTGCCAGACCTCACACGTCCCTACTACTGGCTTCCCACTCAACCGAGATTCCCAGAACACCATTCGGGGAGACACCATCCAGTCCAGTTGTCTTAGGAGGATTGAACTTAAAAATGTATTATTCATTCAGAATGAAGGGCATCAATCATTCCAGAGCTCCATCCCGTGTCCATTTTATTTTACTGAAAACAAAGCTCAGGGCTAACATTTGATTTGTAGTTCCTAGGCCTACTATCAATACAAAGATAGCTTTGCTAAAATAAACTTTTTACTTGAAAATATTACCACTTAAAAATAACTATACCCAATTGAAAGACATGAACTTCAATACTGGTATCTTCTAGAACACTTAGGATAATTCAGAAATTAGAAAAATACATTGTCGGTGAAGTTTATACTTTGGGATCCTACTGGATTAATCAAGATCTCCTAACAACCCAACAGGTTAAACAGATCTGATTAAGCCCTTAACTTACATATTGATACACTCTGCAGAATGGAGGTGGGAAGATTGATATTTGTTTACTGTGAGATTTCTCAAAATTAGATTAAAAATGATATTGAAGAAATGTATTTACTGTGCATAAGAAAATGTCCATTATGTTAATTGTGAAAATCTGATTTCAAAGTGGTATGTGCTATATAATTCTAATTTTGGTATTAAAAAACTAGAAGAATATTCACTGATTTACTAATAATATTTACTGAGCATTTGCCATGCATCAGGGCTGTGCTAGGCACTGCACAAGGATGAACAAGATCTCCCAGGTCCTTGTCTTCATGGGGGTTATGTTTGAATGGTGAGGACTAAGCTGTTAGTGATTATCTCTGCATGGTGGGGTTACAGATGGATTTTAATCTTTAAAAATTTCTCACCTGTAGTTTCTAATTTGCACAGAATGGGGACATATGTGTGATTATTTTTTGCATCTAATTATTTAAATAATTTTTTATTTAATAATTTAATTTAAAGTTATTAAAAAATAAAGATTTGACTTACAACGTTGAAGACCCTTCGTATTTCCTGCTCTCTCCCATTCAAGGGTCACTCATGGATTGGGAAGATATCTTTCCAGTTCATGGTTTTAGATTCTTAAATATGTGTCTGATTTATACGCCTTAAACGTTTACATGCATGTTGTTATACTGCACATATAGTTTTATAAACATTTTTATTTAATATTGTGCTTTTCAAGGTCTATAATTTTATTTTATGAATTACCCAACCATACTATTCGCTACCCTATTAATGAACATGCAGATTGTTTCCAAATTGCCGACAGTTTTGCAGTGAGCACTTTGGGACACGTCTGCAGCGCATGCATCATCCCAACACTGTTGGCAGCATGTTCATCAAAGGGGCTTTTCCAGGATTCCAACGGGTGTGGAAAGAACTGGGTATGACCACTGCCATCTAGTGGTAACAGCTTGTAAATGCAGAGGTTCTTTACACACTGAAACCAGGTGCCGGCCATATTCCGGTCCTCGCTGGAGTCCAACATTCACTTGAAAGCAAGATCTTTCTTCTGTGATTGCACCCTGCAGGGGGCTTATTCTCCAAAGGCTGAATAAGCACCCAGGCCTTAGAGTTAGAGAGCTCTGGTGACTGAACATCAGGACTTACAAGAAGAGTGAGGTACCTTCCACTTAAACGTCTGTTTTCCTTTGGATGTTGTGCTCCCTCCATCTCTCTATCATCTGAGATTCTTGCGGCCCATACGTGGATGCAGAGCTCCCCTTCCCTCAATCTCTAAAATCTGGAGTTTCCCAAGGCTGCCAAAGTCCTCATCATTTTGTACCCTGATCATCTGTCCCCAGGTTCCTCCAGAAGATGGTACTAAGTATAAGACTCCATCCTTTGAAGGGTCACCAATGTCTCTCCTCCCCTCAGAACAGATTTAAAGCAGGCCAGTTGGATCCCTTTCTCCTGAAAGCCCCTTCTCCCATCAGAAGACCCAGTCCAGGCTGGACAGTACAGAATAAAAAGAGGTGGCTTTCATTCCTGAGGTCACAGATTGGGAGATCACAGGCTTGTGCAGGAGCGATCCCCTCAGGACATCCTGTCCCTGGGAGCAGGGCAGTGACTCAGGCAAGATGATCCATCAGGTCCACGTCACCACAAATCTTTTATCTCTTCAACAGAGATGTTGGGGTTAAATTATTTTCCCAGTCAGGAATGAATCATCAGCAATTAAATTTTGTGCCCAGACCGATGTCCTCCACACCCCATCAACCCCTGTGCCTGGCATACTCCATCTCCACAAAAAAAATCTCCCACTCTTTAAGACCAGCCAGAATGTGTGTATAAAGAATGCAAACTCTATATCATATTGACCTTGGCTATATAATTTAATTAGGATGAGAAACTGGATATTGAAGTTAAAAGCACAACTTGAGGTCCAGTCTCTGTAAAAGACTTTTTTTTTCTTTTTCAACCACCCCTGAGTAATTTCTCATTCCACAATCCTGAATTTTAGCTTACTACTCAGATAATAATAATGGCAATCCCTAAGATTATTTTCCCTATATTTTATGTTACCAAAGCGTTCATTCCTAGCATTCTTAACTGATCTTCACAATTGTATGAGAGGTCAACAGATGAGGAAGTAGAGACGGACCTGCCTCCGTCAAAAGGTTGGGCTGAAGGGTCATCTGGGGCCTGGGCGTGCAGACTTACCAAAGCCCACGGGCAGCGCTATCTTCCAGGAGCAGTCCATGTTGCTGGGGTAGTTGCCAGGGAAGCCGGGGCTCAGGATCACCCCCTCCATCTCTTCCACTGTGCCCCCACACTGCGCTGTGACAATGAGACCAGACAGAGGGTTAGGACAGCATGGAGGAGAGCAGGGGGCCATGGCAGCATTTGGATGCTCCCTTAGAGCAGCAGTTTCTGATCCCTTCCCAAGTCATTAACCCCTTTGAGAATCCAAAGGAACCAGCAGTTCATCTCCCCTAAACGACTGCACACATGGGCGAAACTGAGTATGGATGTAAGTTCAGGAAGGGCTGCTCGGCATCCTGGCACTGCCCAGCCGGCCACAAACCCGAGTTATGACTCTTGACCTTGAGCATGCCCTTCGCAGGTCAGTTCCCTTAGCGAGGTCATGCAGCAGAAGTGGTCTGCTCCAAGAGGAGTGTGACTGTTTCTTATGCTATGCCTCAAATCTCCCTCTATCACTGTCCAATCAACTCTCCCAAGACTGAAGAGAAAGGATGAAAGAAGGAGACTGGCATGTACTGAGTCCCCACTCTGTGCCCGGCACCACACCGGACTCTTTGCAAATATACATCCCATAGGGTTGGGTGGTCAGCAGATGAGCCCTACCGGGGCCCACCCTCAGTCTCTGACCTTTACCCTCAGCCAAAATGATGGTGATTAGCGTTCCGTGGGGAGCCAACCATGAGGGGCTGGGGCATCTGACACTACAGCTGAGGTGACTTCAGAGTCACCTAAGATGCAGGGCTGGAGGGTGAATACAGCCTGGTCAGTGGACATCAATTCTTTTCTTTCACAGCTTCCAGGAAACAGTCGTGTGAGCTACAAGGGATTAGCTGGGAGAAAGAGGCGGAGGGGAGGGATCTGCAGGGTCCAAGTGAAGGCCTTTGGGGAGAGGGCGACAAACAGAACTGTGCCCGGGTTCAGAGTGGGGGGAGCTCTGGAACTGACTGCTGGGGTCACCATTCCAACGCTTTCACTTCCTGTGTGACTTTGGGTGAATCTAAACCCCTCCAAACCTCAGTTTCCCTCACTTATAAAATGGAGCCGACTACAGCACCTATGTCACGGGATGGTTCTTACATTACAGCAGGAAGGCCTGCGCGTCACTTAGAACAGGGGCCGATGCACACAGTAACCGGGTGACAGGCAGTCTATCAGCATTAGCTGCTCCTAACATGAGTGGTTTCCCCAGCAGGAACTTTGTAATATGGAGTTGGAATGAGGGGAGTGCCTTGGCCTGCCCAGCCACATTTCTGACTGCAGGGCAGGCGACCAAACCCTAGTCCCTGGTGAAATCCCAGAAGGGAAATGCCACTATGCCCAAGGGATGCTCCCTCCACTCACTTCGCTTCTTATCCCAAGGTCAGCCTTGATTTGTACTTTATAGTTGGCGAGGCATCAGAGAAAAGTAGGTTTCCGTCCCTGATGGTGCCAATCACTTTTTAATCCTAAAAAGCCTTAGTTTTCCCATTTGCAAACATGAGGGCAATACCTCTCCTGAAGCGCTGCTGTGAGCAAACAGGTAGCAATGTAACGCGTATAGTAGACGCTCAATAAATGTTGCATCCCCCTCCCCCAACCCAACCGAGCTAAGCCCTTGTTTCACCTGTAGCCACCCGCCCCGCCGCCGCACCATTTCTCTAGTGGTGGATTTTACCCGTCTGTCCCATGAAAAGTCACAGGGGAAGGCCTCAATTGCCCAGAGGTTCCACCTGGGCTTTGGTCAATTATCTGCGCTCAGGATGGTCGTTGCAATGTTTTCAAACGGCCAAGCCCCCTGTGATCCCTCATTTGGTGGCGAAGGTCTGCAGAAGTCATGTCGAGCTTGTGTGAGAGCAGCACGCCAGCCTACAGGGACTCCCTTCGGACAGACCCGGGATGCCAAACTGTCCTTTGATTTGAACTCGATCCCCGTGAGATGTCACTGAGCCCCAGTCTCTGGCAGGAGTGGGTGTGAATGGACTGAGAAGGTCGGGGCTCTCTTACCAATACAGAGCGGCGGAGGGTAGTTCCAGCGGCGCACGGTTCCAGGCATGCAGGAGATGTGCGCGTGGCCCTGGAGGGATCAGGAACAGGAGTGGGCTCAGTGCCCCCGGGGGCCCAACTGCATGTACAACCCAGGGCAGGGGGCTTGTTCAGGGGCCTTGTGTTGAGCAACAAGATACACAAAGATCCACGAGCCCTCTGTGGGGTGGGATGAGGCAGAGGGAGAGAGACTTTGGGGAAGGATGCTTATTAACAACCATTACTAAAGAATTCTCATTACTAAAGTTTCCTGTGAGACTCGTTTAATTACTAGATTCCCTCATGGCCTTCAAAGGAAGATTAAATTTCCCTGAAGTCTAATCAAACCGAAACTTTGCAGGGACACATTCTGAGGCTGGCTGGTGCTAAATCGCCAAAGTCAGCAAAGCTTGACGGTGGTCCCCGGGGGACCCGAGGGGCTTCTCCCTGTTCTTTAGTGACTGTGGCTCGGCTGGCTCGAGGCTGGCCAAGCCCATCTCAGGGGACACCTGTTTCTTGCCCGGGGTGTCGAGGGGAGGTACCTGGAGGGCGTATCCCGGCTCGCACTGGAAAGAGACCACGTCATTCACCAGGTAGCGCTCGCCAGTCTTCACCCCGTTACTGGGCACGGCGGGTTCTGGACAGCTGCTCAGGCCCACGGCTAGACGAGACAGAGACAAAGAGAAAGGAGGAGGGACAAGCCCAGCAGGTCAGTGCACTGGTAGGCAGAGGGTGCTGCTGGCAGCGGGAAGGAGAAGGGGCTCCAATCTGTGCTTTCTCCACCCTTCACTTCGAGGCCAGTGCTTCCTAACTCTCTTGCCCTCTGAGCACACAGAGAAAGTCAGAACATTTATACAGCATAGAAGCTCAACAGACCGACGCTCCCTGGGGTGGGTGGGCATTACGCAGGGCATGTGGCTGCCCCCTGGGGCTCAGCGGAAGGACTCTGGAGCTAGGGAGAAGCCCAGCCTTGGCTACAAACCCCCAGACCTCTCCACCCGGCTTCTCCTGCACCACTCCCAGACCCTCAACTTCCCTCCATTTTCCTTGCCTTAAGAAGACAATTCCTGGGGGCAAGGAAGTTGGGAGAGGGGAAAGAGAGGCAAGAAGGAAGGACAGCAGTTATCAGAGAGAGGCCCCTCAGTGTCACTCGGGAGGCTCAGAGAGTCCCACTCTCTGGGACAGGCTGTCCAGAAAAAAATTTGCCAGCGGGTGAGATTCTCTGCTGCCTTATTTCTCCTGTTGTGTTTTTAAGGTGAGGCCAGTTCCTTTCTGGGAGTAATACTGGGTGTTCCTCATGCTTAGCCCCCTCCTGTCAACTCTGGTCCTTGCTCACTGCCGGACGCCTCACAGCCTCCCTCTCCTTCCCAACCCTAGGACCACCCTGCATTCAGAGGCAGCTGACATTTCTGAATCTCTCTCCTTGAATCATGGGCAGCCTTACTCAGCAATTCAAAGTGGGTCTCCGCCCAGTGTTATTCAGAATCTCATCCTCTCACTGGACATTCTAGGACTTGGCCCAATCCCTTTCCAAGATCCCCTCTAAGGGCTCTCAAGCACTCCTTCATTCTCCTTTCTTGAGTTTCCAAGTTCATCTGCATTGATTTGACCCTTATTCTATACCCAGCATTGTACGCCGTCTTCGACAGGACATCCATCCTAATCTTCCTCCTCGTGTCTTCCTCCTCGCTGCCCGCCCACTGGCTGAGACTTCCCACGAGCGGGGCTGGGGCATATGTGTCCCATGCATCGTCTCAGCCCCTTGAAGGTCTTCACATCCTGTTTCACAGGTGAGGATGCGTGCCAAGAGGCAGAGACATGCCCTTAGCAAGCCACAGAGCTGGGATTCAGACCAAGCCCAGTCTAACTCTGGAGGCCAAACCTACAGGCCGCATGAGCTCACAGGCGACAGAGCCCTGCTCTCCCCACCTCCTCTCCCGAAATCATCTCCATCCAGCTTTGAATTCCCTCTTGGTGGAAACTTGCAGCAAGTGGGAGTGGAGTATCTCCTGACTGGTGGGATGCACTCCACAGGGGCCCCTCTGCAGGTGCAGGCACTTAAGATGCACTAACTAACTAAGATGAAATAAGATGTGCTAAAGAAATCCCTGTGTATGGATGCATGGGACCAGTGGTGCAGTCTTCCAGGGACAAGAGCGAACAGACTTTATGGTTGGGTCTGATCCTAGGCACCTGTACAGCTCAGAGTGTTTGGGAGGGGGCAGCCTCAGCCCTCCTGGTCCATTCCTGGTGGATACCTGCTGATAGCCCTGATAGTAGGGCTATCTGATAGCCCTCCTAGTAGATCCCAGATCCCTTGGGAGATACAGGTTCCCTGAGGAAGCCACATGTATGCAGTGCCTGCACGGAGCCAGGCGTGTGCAGAAAAGGAATGGGAAGGGCCGGCCATCGTAGACCACCAACGCCACCCCAGCTCCTGGTGTACAGCTGAGGAGCCCTCATTCCACATTCCGAGCTGACAGTTGGCATGTGCATTAGATAACTGCATGTGCTTTTTTTCTTCAGAGGAAAATTCACATATAACAAAATGCATACATCTTACGTGTACATTTGCTGAGTTTTGACAAATGCCTGCACCTGTATAACTCAAACCCCTATCAAGACTACAGAACATTGCTAACTCTAGAAAGTTCCTTTGTCCCAGGCAATTCCTGTCCTACATGTGCCTTAATTAATTAATTAATTAATTAATTTTAGAGAGAGAGAGAGAGAGTACGTGCAAGTGGGGGCAGGGAGGGGCAGAGGGAGTGAGAATCTTAAGCAGGCTCCACACTCAGTGCGAAGCCCGAGGCAGGGTTCGATCTCAAGTCCCTGAGATTAAGATCTGAGCCGAAATGGAGTTACTTAACCAGTTGAGCCACCCAGGCGCCCCCTGCAGGTGCTTTTAAGAAGTGCATGGGATTCTTGGAAATGAAAGCTGTTTGGGTCTATGTCCATCCACAGATCTCAGCAGCTAGGCAAGAGACCCCAAGGACAGGATTAAAACAACCATCAAGCTGAATTTGAAGTACTACATCTTGGCTGTCATCTTGTCTTTTTCTCCCCACTCCTCCTGGCACTCTAAGTAAAACGCAAAGCTACTCAACTTGGTATTTAGTGGCGTGACCACAGCTTAGTAACCTGAAACCTACCTAACCACTGGGCAGTGATAGAATAAGGAGGGGCAGAGAGAAAGAGAGGGAAAGCAAAAGCAAAAGAATGTGGTAGGAGAAAAAAATGGAATGGGGAGGAACGTGAAATCCAAGAGAAAGAAAGACAGAGGAAAGTCCATTCTCATTTCTCCTACAGCGCACAGCTTGACTTTATTTAAGCCATGCATACAACAAAGGAAGAATTTTTTTTATCATATGCAATCGATTGCTTTCAAAAGCATATTGTTCCATTTCCATTCCAATTAAATCAACATTAAGTGAGTCATAGCCGCAGCTATGACTTTTCAGTACCCTTCAAAACCATTTGCTTCTACAGTTAATTCTTCCCCTCTGCACCCTCTTTGTAGATTATCAAATATTAAGAGAACAGTAGGTTCACAAAACAAAAATGGTTTTGGCTCCTAGGAGTTTCAGTCGCTTCTGTTTTCCCTCAGCCCTTCCTGCCATGAGAGGACAGTGCTTGATAAACATTAGCTACAAAGAAAACTACCAGTTCCCTTGAACAACAACAACAAGAAATTGAGGAGAGGTAAATTTTTTCTGAGAATGAGGCAGCAGAATGAAAAGAGATTTAGGAAGGAAGTGTATCTTTGGAAGAGGAAAGAAAAGAAAAGATTCGAGGGAACCTTTAAGGACTCCAGTGGAAACAGTGGATAAGAAAACAAAATTGGATAGAAAAGAGCAAAAGAGTAAAAAGAAAAATGGGAAATATTCAAGAAACCCGGCATACTTGACTCCACCAGGAGAGTGAAGCCTTTGAGGTCTGCAGGAGTGGTGGGGGGGCACCAGAGGTCCCTGTCCTATCCTCTGCCCCTCAGGGTCTTTGCTTCAAGCTGTCCTCCCAGGTCTTTCCTGCCAGGTGCACACTTCTGTTCTTTCAGGCCACGAGCATCCCGGGATCCAACCAACCCTCTCCCAACCATCTGGATAAAGCTCATTTGTTTGGAGACCAGCTGAGCATCTGCATAATATCCAATGCTGACCTTATCAGGCCTCTAGCACCAAAGGGGGCTCCCATCTGCAAAGGCCCACGCTGACCAAGATGGTCAAGTCAACTCTACCTTCCTGTATTTCTTACTTCTCAATCCAAACCCCTTCTGTAAGGTCTCACCTGACCAGGTTTAGCTCCCCTCTTCTGTACTTCCTTAGTGTATTAGGTTGCACTAAAATTATTGCTCCCTTGTTCCTCTATCTCCCTGGACTTTGTGCGTGTGAGGGCAGGAATGATCTCTTACTCATCTTTGTTCTGTGGGCATCCAGCACAGGGCTTGCCACATTGGGTACACTCAGTGTTTGTTCATGACATCAACCTCTCCACCTGCCCCAGGGAGGAGTGACCATGCTCTCTTTTGAACTACTGCCCTACCATCTGGGGACATCCATGAGAGCACCTGGAATCTTGTAATGCACTTCTCTGTCCATGTGTCTGCCTCTCTTTAATGGACTCGGAGGGGACTTACTGATCTTACCTAGTCCTAGCAAACCCCAGCACAGCACCTGGCACATTGTAAACACTCAATAACTATTTGCTAGATGAATGTATAATAGATGCCTCTGTCTACCCATTCTTTCCTCTACCCAGAGGGGAAGGAGAATGGCAGGCTGTCCCAGGATGAAAACAGTCTCCCCAGCAGCCTCTGTCTTTGTTGCCCCACCAGGCACGTCCACAAGCCTTTTTCTTTTAAGAGTTTTTCGTTGTGATCACTTCGGGACACTGGAAGCCAAGATGGAAGTTTCCGAGAGGGGAGGGAGAAATCTGGTGCAAGAGGAGTGAAGTTTCTCATGAGGACAAGAACTTCAAAGATGGCTGCATCACAGAACCCGGGCTTGGAGAGGACAGGTTTCAGGAGCAGAGGAGGGCACCTGCATTTTCATACATCCCAGATTCTATACTGGACCTAAGTCAATGACGGGGCTCCCTTCCGATCCCGGTGGGGAAACAGGGGAAGTGTACAGGTGTCTGAGTAACAGACACTGGGGTGAGAATCCCGGCTCCGCCACTTACTGGTTGTGCAGTCTTGAGGAGTTTCAGACCTTCTTTGAGCTTTAGCATCTTCATCTAGGTCTGTGGTAAGGTTTATGTGGGATGGAGAATATACAGCCCCAGTATGCTCCCTGCTCATTGTGGGTCCTTGGTACCTGTCAGTTCCCACCCCGAGCCCTGTACACAGCTGAGACTTTGGATCCTCACTTTTGTACTCCAAGTGGAAGCCGGCTGCTGACACACTGATATCTGAGTAGAAATGAAGGTAGAGCTGGTTGGAGGTGCTGTTCAGAAGGGCAGGCACGGTTGTTCCTAGGGCAAGGACACAGAGACTGTTCACACTTAGCCTCCCCCAGCCCCCGAGCTCCTTCCCATCTCTCTTGCTTTTGCTACCTGCTGACATTCTTCTCCCAAGACCCTCAAATGTCCCCAGTTATCATACTTGTTACATGACAAATTAGCACCCCCCTCCCCCCACAGAGTGCTAGCTCTTCTTCAGTGGCTGAGGAACAGGAGACCTCAAACTTTCTGCAAAATGAGCAGTGGCAGAGCCACATGCCAGAAGGAGGGAGAGTTCCACAGGCAGACCAAGAGTTTGGTCCCCTTCCCAGCCATCTTCAAAAAACTCTGACAGGTATAATTCTCTGGGCAATCCAGGCAGTGTAGACTGTATATATGGTGCACATGACTCCTTTTTATATCTTGGCAACATGGAATTCTGGAGCCCGAAGGACCCAGATGATTGCCCTGGCCATTGGGCAAAAGCACACACCACACTCAGTGAAAAGTCTGCCATTGGAATGGAAAACAGTATAGCCACTTTGGAAAACAGTTTGTCAGTTCCTCAAAAAATTTAAATATAGAGTTATCATATGACCCAGAAATTCCGCTGCGAGGTATATACTCAAGAGAATTGAAATCATGTCCCACAGGAACTTCTCCATGAATGTTTATAGTAGCATTATTCATAATGAACCAACAAGTGGAAACAACCAAATGTCCATCAACTGACGGATGGGTAAGTGAAATCTGGTCTATCCACATGGTGAAATGCTGGCTCATGTTACAACACGGTAAGCCTTGAAAAATGATGCTGAGTGAAAGAAGCCAGGCCCAGAAGGCCACATATTGTAGGAATCCATTTATATGAAGTTTCCAGAACAAGCAAATCTATAAAGATGGCAAGTAGGTTGTCAAGTTGTGGTTGCCAAGGGATGGGGGAGGGGGAGCAATGGGGAGCACATACAAATGAGTACCTGGTTTCTTTTTGGGGTAATGCAAATGTTCTGGGGTTGGATAGCAGTGATAGTTTTAGAATCTTGTGAATATAATAAAAGTCACTGAATTGTACACTCTTTTTTCACTGTAGCATTATTATTATTGTTTTATTATTGAGCTCTAATTGACATATAACATTATATTAGTTTTGGATGTGTGACATAATGATTCAATATTTGTATATATCACCACACGATCACCAAAATGAGTCTAGTTAACATCTGTAAATTATACACTTTAGAATGGTGAATTTTACAGCATGTGAACTACATGTCAGTAATAATAATGATGGTGATGATAATGATGAAGTCCACCACTGCCCTCCGAGTTGAGGTCCCTGGAAGCCCCACCTCACCTGAGAAGCTCCCCAGCATGGTTACGGTGTTGTCCGCACCATCAAACACCTCCAGAGAGTCCCAGTTCTGCTCTGTGACAAAACTGATGACTTGAATCTAGGAAGGCAGAGTAATTGAACTGTTGGTTAGGCAGCCTGTGTCCGTCTGTCTGTTTCTCCCTCCCCTCTTCTCCATTCGTGTAGTTAATTCCAGTACTGAGCACCCACTCTGGGGCTGACATTGTGCTAGGTCCTTCTGATAAAAGTGAGATGCTCTCTCTACCCATCCCCGCCCCCCAGGACCTCATTTGCCCAGTGGGGGAAACAGATGTAAAACGAAGGGTTGTAAGACAGTGGGGTACTTTGTCAGTCAGAGAATGGGGAAAGGGAATTTCAGGAAGTGGGACTACTTCAGTCTGAATGGCCCTGTCTTCATCTCTCACACGTTCCTCAGGTTCCCTACTTTCCTGTATGGATGACATCAGACATCCTTCAGTGATGGTCCAGGAAGACACTCCTGGCCAGACCTGCCCACCTCGAGTCCCTGCTGGCTGCCACTCTGGTGGCCTTGCTGCCATAACCAGTTCTGAGGGCTTCTCCACTTGACTTTTACCACTGGGGACCAGTTTGGCCCCCATTCTGCTCCTATAGCTTGGGCTCCATGTGTGACACCAAGGTGTGTGCCTGGGGCTTCTCCATGCCTCATTTGTTTGCTCTTTCCCCTCTCCTGCAATGTGCCCTCTTCCATCCCCCATCATCTTGATAAAAGAACCCTTCAAACCATCAGAAAAACATCTTCTATGAATCTTCCCCAATCTCTGTATTTCTTTCAGTCCAGGCCCATTTCCTCTTCCGGCCTTCCCCAATGGCCCAAGCTGGTGCCACCCCTTCTCTTTCCTGAGGTACCCAGCTCTCTCTCTCCACACCCCCTGAAGCTTCTGGGCCTCGAGCTGGTGTGTTTTTCTGCTTGTGGACCTCACCTCCACATCTGGCCCGAGGGGCAGGGACAGGGCTGAAATGTCTTCTCCAGGCCACCTGCTGGACTGAGGCCTCCCCTAGCACCTACCTGGATACCAGCGCCTTCAGGGACCATGATCTTCCACACACAGTTGAGGCTGTTGAGGTAGGGCTCTGGGAAGCCAGGGGACAAGATGGTGCCCCTGCGCTCCGTGAGGTTGCCTCCACATGGCACTGGGAAGGAGGCAGTTCTGGTCAGAGGTTTCTCCTGCTTATCTTTGGGTTCCCTATGGGAGCCTCCCCAAACACTCCTCTCAGGGTCCCCCAGCCTCCCTTGCTGGCTGTTGGCTTCTCCCATAGGCCCTCATCCCTGCTGCTTCCATGGCTCCTATCCCTATAACCCTCCTTCCCACGCACCCCTCCCCCAGCAACCCCAGCTCCTCCTCCTTGCTGTCTTCACACCCAACCCACAGGATTAGTGATTTGTCCTGAGTGGGACACCCTACTTAAGTTATGCTGGTGAGCAAGGACTGCTGTTGGGTCTCACTGGCCACCCCTTCCCCAGAGTCCCGGTTGTCCAGGTACTCACCCACACAGGTGGGCGCTGATACGTTCCACTGGGCCAAGGCCCCGGGAACAGGGAGGCACTCGATTTCTGGGGACCCCTGCAGGGCATAGCCGGAGTTGCAATCGAAGCGGATGATGGCCCCCACCGAGAAGTCACTTCCCAGCCTCTTGCCGTAGCGGGGTTCCGGCACAGAGCTGCACTGTGTGGCGCTGGTTCGGGGTACCGCTGCAGGGGACAAGGGCACTGAGGGGTAGGCCTCACCCTTCTGGAAACTGGCCCAGGGATGGACACACAATGGTACTAGAGCTGAGCCCGTCTGGATGGGACCCTGAGAGGCTCTGTGCGCTTTCTCTCAGGGCAGGGGTAGGGGTTTTCCAGAACAAGGCCCATTTTACTGAAATATAGTTGCAGCAAAGCTTCTGGAAACCTTGGGAGGCAGACTTTAGGCTCAGTTGTTTTCAGTGGCTTCTCCATGATGCCCTTCAACTATCAGGGTCCCACGTCCCCTTAGAATGGCCCTTCTTCTTCCCTTTGCCTTGCCTTTGGCCTCTTTCCCCAGGTGCCTTAAGACTCTGCCCAGGGTTGGGGCACCTGAGTGGCTCAGTCGTTAAGCATTTGCCTTCGACTCAGGTCATGATCCCAGGTTCCTGGGATCGAGCCCCGTATCAGGCTCCCTGCTCAGCGGGAAGCCTGCTTCTCCCTCTCCCACTCCCCCTGCTTGTGTTCCTTCTCTCGCTTTGTCTCTGTCAAATAAATAAATAAAATCTTAAAAAAAAAAAAAAACTCTGCCCAGGGGTCTACTCTCATGACCTGAATCTGAACCTCCCCTCCCCCTGCCCAACTGGCACATAGTATGCTTTAACCCAGGCCCCAGATACGGCGTGCCCTTGTGGCAGGGGAATTCAGCTCCTCCTGGGCAGTGGGATGAATGGGACATGTCTAGAATGGGCCGTAAAGAAGTGGGCATGCTTCTGGACAAGGAGAGGTTGGGGCCTGCAGGTGAAAGCCAGGGAACTCCAAGATTTTGCCTTTCAAGGCCAGTGAGGAAGGGAACAGACATTGATCACCTGCTTGGTGCCAATTACTCTGTGAATTCTCTTAACTCCATCAGTGAGGTAATATGCTTACTCTCATCTCACAGGTGAGCAAACTGGGGCTCTGAGGGGTGGAGCAGCTGGTGCCCAGTTAGAAAGTGGCAGAGCTCGGATTCAAAGCCATGTCCACCTTAATTCCAAATCTGTGTTTTTCCACACCTTTACTGTGCTTTGCAGAGAAAACCAAACTCCATGGGAGAGAGCCTAGGTATGAGGCCTGGGCTGGTCGTCCCAATACCACTGGTACTGTGCCAGCCAATGGGGGAGGGGGAGGGCAGGAGTCAGCCTCCCGTGTCTGATTTCTTCCCTCATTTGACATGGAGTTTGGCCCAAGAATTGTCTGTTGGGCAAATGGATGTCTAAATTCAACTGAATTTCAAGGAACTGCACTACAAATCAGTAACTGCCCTCCAGCACCCTAAGACTGAGGCCCAGACTAGGGGTCAAAAGTCCCTGTTCCTTTGGTCAGGAAGTCACTACAGAGCTGAGATTGCTCTCACACCTCTCACACCCACTTCCTGCATACCTTGGTAGACAAAGTGGAAACCTCTGGCTGGTGCTTGGCCCTTGGCACTGAACTTAATGAGAACTTGATTGGAGGTGGCCAGGGGCAGCGATTCTCCTGCCGAGGTAAGGGGTGAGGAGGAGAGGAAGACAGTGAGTCCAGCAGTCGGCCCAGCAGAGAAGATCCTGGCCAGGAAGGAGAGGCTGCCCATACCCCCCACAGCAGTTCCTTCCATATCCCAGGTCTTCCTGAAATACAACCTCCCATTTTTACTGCACTTTATAGTTTAAGGTTTGCAGAAGGCTTTAGCATCCATGGTCTTACCTTGACCCATGTTCATTGCGAGGTTGGCATGACAAGAGTTCAGTGCCCCATTTAATAGATCAAGAAAGAGAGGATCAGAAAGATTAAATGACCTTCCCAGAAAGGAGAAAGCATCTAGACATATGTTGACTCACAAGGATGGGGAGAATGGCCGTTACCAACCTGACTGGTGGTTTACTTGGAAAATGGACATTAAAAAGAAAAATGGCACCAGCTTCTGGGAAGGAGGGTGATGTGAATATCTGAGAGTAACTGGCCCTTCCCAGATGCTGTAAAATGATCGATAACCACAGCAATTGTGTGATTTATTGCTCACACTAGAACACTTGTGAGAGCCAAAGGGCGTGTTATTAATAATTATGTTGGGACAACCAAGTGAAAGCTGGGACTGTCACAAGCAAAGCAAGATGTATTGCCACCCAACTGATAGCACACAAATTGGGGAAAACCTGTATGGGCATAGGATGCCTTTATATCAGAAGATAAATTTCCATCTTCTCCTTGATGTGGTACAAATGGACTAGAGTAAAGACAACACTAACTGGACCGATAGTTGTGAAGTGCAGTCCTGTTTATCGTCACTCTCTTGAGACAGCTGAGGGAATATGGCTTGGCAGGCAGTGGCACGGCCACTCTACATGTTGCCCCTCCACAGCCTTAGGGATCCCTGAGATAGCCACTGCCCACACCTCACCCCCACCCCCCGCCACCATCAGAAGGGAAGTTGGGGTTGCAGACAGCCAGGCTAAGTCTCCACTGCAGTGAAGGCTGGAGTTGGGACCAGCCGAGGAGCCACTGGGAAGCACTTCTGGGGTCCACCAGTGCTTCCAGAAAGCCCATGTGATGCTACTGGCCATAGGGAGTAGAGAGTTTTATATAGCACACTATTTACATGTGACCCAGATGGCTGAGCCTGCCTAGGAGTCATTGCCCCAGATAATTTCTGGCTGCCAAAGCAAAAAGAAAACTCATGAAGCAAAAGCCTTTCTTTTTAACAGATGTGAGCAGAATAAAACTGTACTTTTCCATCCTCCATTCCTCTGGCCTGATATGTGGATTAGGACCCCTGTGATCTCTCACAAACCCATTTCAACTTCCAACCCTGGATGTACACAAACCTCCCTCTCCATGGACAAGCACATAGTAAAATCCCTGGAGAAAAGACAAGCTCCCAAAGTTTTAAGGGTAAAGATCACTCAGAAATCAAAGCAAACATTTTTATGTGAACTACAAAAAAGAACAGGGAAAAATCTCAGAAGATTTTCAATTGTGGTTGTCACGAGATTAGATCTAGTATTGCATCTATAAAGTCAGAGAGGGCAGGCGTGCCAAAGAAAGTTCTGAGATCAATAAAGCCTTCAAAACTGAGAAGCACTAGTACATGGTGGCTGGATTCTGTAGAAATTGAACAGAGAAGTGGAGATTAAATTTGGGACATTCTTCCAGAATCCACAGGAAAAGGATAAAGAGATGAAAATAATGAGAGACACCACAAGCGACATGGAAGATAGATCAAAGGAACTCCAATACGCACACATCAAGAATTCTAGAGAGAGAGAGAGAGAAGACAGGAGAAATTGAAGGAGAAGAAATAGTTTACAAAAGAAGATAACTTTCCTAAGCTTTAGAAAGACTTGAGGCTCAGACTAAAATTGTTCTCAAAGTGCCAGATGTAATTAACAAAAAGAGATTTCCACTGCAACATATCCTAGTGGGCTTTTACATTTTAAATGTAAAACACAAACATACGAGAGGCATCCAGAGAGAAAAGAAGGGGTTACCTACAAGGATAAAGAATCAGGTTGGAGTCCACTTGGCTTTGATATTAATGGTTGGAATGAAGTAGAACAGCAGCTGCAGTTTTGAAAGAAGTTTGTGACCCGTAATTTGATTTACAATCAAGTTGTCATTTATATGATACGTCAAAGGAAAGACGTACTCATACTTGCGAGGTGACAGAAAGTACTGCAGTGATGAGCCTGCTAAAAAAAAATGATTGGAAGTAGGGAAATCAGAAACTCTCAGGGATAAAGACAACCAGGAAAATAATAGTTAAACCCAAATAATTATTATCAATGAGATAGCAAAACTAAATGCAAATGTAAACACTTGTTCTTGGGGAAAAAGTCCATAATTTACAAATAATTAATAATAACATTCATATGAAAGTCTAAATATATATAAGAAAAACCTTGGAAGTTAGAGATGGGTCAGATATGAATAGAAAAGCAAGAAAGCAAAAGCAAAACAAAAGAAACAAAAACCCACAAAGAACAAAACCAGATGACAGTTATCAGACCAAATGTAAAATAATAAGTAAACGTCCTCTTTCTCTGAGAGAAATCAAAGCAAACATTTTCTCTGAGAGAAAATGAGGAAAGATCTATCAGGTGAAACACAGATACAAAAATAGTTGGAAACACAAGAAGACAACAAAATATCACAGTTGTAGTGGGATCTTTAAATCTGCAACATTCTCAATCAGTGATGTAACAAATAGAAAAACAAAACGAAGATTGTTGAGTAGTGGTCCTCAAGCTTCTTTTCCCCCCATCAACACACCTCAGGGACAAGGGCGTACCACTCCCATCACCTCATCGGTGTTTCTCCAAATGAGGAATAACGGAGGATTTGAGAATATTGATATTTCTACCTATTGGTTCTATCATCTATCTATCTATCTATCTATCTATCTATCTATCTATCTATCTATCTTTCTATCTACCTACCTCTCTATCCATCCACCCATCTATACCCATTTCTTTCTACCCATTGGTCCTTTACATCTATATCTGTACCTGCATCTATATCCACATTTGCATATACAGGTCCTAACTGTCTCTCTCTCTGCCTATGTCTACACTTCTATACCTATAGCTAAACTGATACCTCCATCTATCTTGAAAATCATGAGATTTTGAAAAAGCATCCTACCCCCCAGGAGATCCTGAATTACACTCCTGGCTGGGTGTGCGTATGTGGGGTATTGATATCAAAAACTCATTCCATTGAGAACCACTGATAGAATGGAATTGAATAATAAAATTGAGTAAGATTGGTCTAATGGCTATTACAAAGCTAATTTAATCCTAACAATAGCTCTAGGAGGCAAAGGTTTTCCTCTCTTCATTTTACGCTGAGGGAACTGCAGCTCAGAGGGGTCAAGCTCCAGCCCCCGCAGGCACCTAGCTGGCGGGGGGGGGGCTGAGATCAGGGGCCAGGCAGTGAGTGCTGGGCCTGAGCTCCCCATCTCTCCGTGGCCTCTCAATCCTGCAGAGCACACACTCTCTTCTGAGATACTTAAGGAATTAAAAAAAAAGTCTTCGGCTACTGAGCAGACCTCATTTCATCCCCAGAGTGGAAATGGTACAGGTTATATTCTCTCACCATGTGGCAATAAAATGAGAAATTAACACAAATGTTTAAATGTAACAAGAACAAAATCCAAGTTCCTGGAGGAAAAGAAGAGGCAGCCTTAAAGGACTCAGGCAAAAAGACGAAAACATGATGACAGATTATCTAGAAAGTAATAAGGAGGACAATAGTACACATCAATGCTCATAGCATGAAGCCCAAACTGCTTAGAGGGGAGTGTACTACTATCCACATGCTTTTCATTACACAGGGAAAATAATGAACAAAGCTCTTAGTTCAAGGAGTTAGCACAAGAAGAACAACATAAACTGAAGAAAAACAGGAGGAGAGACATTATGAAATAAACCCATAAGTTAATTAATTGAAAAATAACAAAGTCCACAGAAGAATTGAGAAGTAGAAGCATAAGAAATGCAACAAAACAACACCAAACCTCTGGTCCCTATGGGAAAAGAGGGGCACTAGGAATACAGCCCTCAGCGTGCAAAGGCAGGGGCTATAACTGCTAACACAGAGGAGATTCAACAGCATTAGAGTCGATGATATAACCTATGCTGCTGAATTTAAAATAATTACAAAATGGGCTTTTTACTAAAATATAAAGTATTCACATTGATATTGAGATAAGGTGCTTGAATAGACCAATAACCATGGAAGAAAATAAAAGAAAAAACACTAAAAAGGAAGAGATAAAATAATGAGACAAATTTATTTGCAGAAGATATTGCTTCTTGCCTTAAGGGCCTGGGAGAAATCAGTCGGCAGCGTCGGCTTTATTACAGAGGGTTCATTGACTTTACAAAATGACTATACCAAAAATGCCAGTCTTCTGCTATAGTAGCAGAGACCAGCTAGAAAATATAATGGAGGGAAGGGGAGACCCGTTCACAGCAGCAACAAAAACAACAAAAGTTGCCATGAAATATCTAGGAGGGAAGTTAACAAAAAACGAATACAGCCGAAGTGAAAATTAGAGCCCCGTCCCCAAGGTTACAAAAGATAGGTCAGTGGAGAGGCATACCATGTTCCTGGAAGGGAAGAAGGGTGACTATCATAAAGATGTGAGTTCTCCTTCAGTGAATCAATAAGTTTAATGGAAGTTCAATGAAAACTCTGATGCAAATTTTTTTAACTTGACAAGGTATTTCTAAGAAGTTATTTGGAGGCAAAAATCAACAAGAACAGCCAATAAAAAATTCAAAAGAAAGAATGAGTTTGGGGACTTATAGCACACTATGTTTAAAATTATCATAATATTAAACATTTTCATAATCTTACATTATGAAAAAAGTAAAAAACTTTTTGACACTGATACAAAAATAAACAGACACTTAAAGACATGGATAAAAACTCTAGAAACATATCCTTAACTTCATAAAAATTTAATAGATGTAAATCTGGCATTTTGAAAATTCTGTTAGGACAACTGACTAACTAAATTTGAAAGAATATGGTTAGATTTCCTAAAACAAATAACAACTCAAAATAAATTCCAAAGGTATTAAAGCAAAACAAACTGAAAAGAAGTGAAAGAAAACACAGAATATTTACTTAATCAGCATAAAAGTAAAGGAGAAAACTATAAAAGAAAGCATTGATAGATCTGATATCATGGGAAATTTAAATTTTCTGACATTAAAACACACCCTGAAGAGAATTAAATGGCAAATGATAAACTGTAAGGGAAGGCTTTTTATAGCATATAATATGGACATGAAGTTTTTATGGTACATGGTATGTATAGCTTGTAATAATATGGAGCTCTCCTAAGTCAATAAGAAGATAAATGCTGATAGAAAAATCAACAGCAATTCACAATTAAATTCAGAGATAAAAAATGCATGGGCCAAAAATTACATTATGAAAAGGTTAACTCAACTAGTAATTAAAAAAAAGGCAAATTAAGAAATGAGATACCATTTTCACTTTTCAAACTGATGATGTTTTGTTTCCTTAATTAGCTAGTTTTTGTGAGAATAAAACATGCCCTCTTATTAATTGGTGGTGAACAAAGTGGCAAGAACTTTCTAGAGGGATGACTAGTATTTTGGCATATCTTAAAATCTGGGATTTTGAGAATTCTGTTTGAAACAGCTGATTAAGTAAATTTGAAAGAATATAGTTATGTTCCCATAAAAAGCCTTAATAAAGATCACACATATTCTTTAACTTGGCAATTCTACTTCTAGATAATCTAAGGTAATAGTCAGAAATGTATATAAAGACATATGCATAATACAGAGTTACTACTATTTGTAAGAGTGAAAAATTAGAAACAACCTCAATGTTCAATAATAAGGAATTCATTACATAAATTTTTTACATAAATTTTAAGTAACTACATGATAGACTATTTTGCATCATTTAAAAATCCTATTATAGACGAAAATGACAGAAATGCTCACAATGAATGTTTTAATAAAAAATATGTATATTGTTTTATTCAATAAAGTATGCTAAAGATTGAGTCTAAGTAGAAATAAAGCCTGGGGGGGGGATACACTCCATCTTTCAGTGGTTCTTTCTGGGTGGTTTTTATTTTAATTCTCCATACAATTATTTTGCCTTGCCTCTAAGTTTTCTACATTGAAAACACAGTATGCTTATAATTAGAAAAACATGGGCCAAGAATAAACCAAAAGGGGAATATTACACCACTTGGGGGCAGCGGTGTGTAGATACAGCTTGTGGAGAGGGTAGCTTCTGAAGCCCCCTTCTATGTCTGGGCTACCAGGAGCTGACTGTTGCGTTGTAGAGACAGCACCAGCGCAGATAGACACAAAACTGTGTGATTCCACCTGTGGCCAGGCTTATAGGGCCTCTTTCCTTTCAGCTGGCCCACCATGCCCTCAGCCCACCACCATTCCCAACGCCAGCTGAGCCCTGGGTACCTGTATGGGAACCCGAGAGGGAGCTGAGGAGCCGGGAGTGCTGGCTGTGGCCATCATGCACCTCCACCACGTCGTTGAGGGCCGTGTGGAAGAAGGCGAACTGTCCAAACACCACTGTGGAGGAGACATGGAGACCTCAGCATGGAATATTGGCCGCCATGCCGGGGGCAAGGACTGGAGGTGTGGGGGCTGCAGGCTGGAAGCAGGGAAGCCTTGGAAGAAGTTGTTGGTTCCTGGGGCTAACTGCTTGCTGAGGCTTTCTACCTGCTGATCAGCACATTGGCCAGACACCAGGCACAGGGTTGTGGGGAGGTGGAGAGGGCTGGCTGGCATTCTCCCTCACCCGTCAAGGTAACATTGCAGACTGAACTCAATGGTCAGGGTTGGTGGAAGTGGAGCTGAGCTAAGCCTATTCCTTTCTCAGCAGTGGCAGCAGCTACTCATGGACATGGGAGGGCTTTTGGCAACATCCCCCATTTTCCATGTGATCTCAGGACCCTGTATTTTCCTTTATTTTTTCTTCAAAAATTCAGCTGACCAGGATAGCTCTGATACAAGATCCCCCACGGTTAAGAGGAATAAGGGTGGTGAGCAGCAGCTGCTCCTGCAGGGGGAAGGAACAACTGTCTAAGGAATGGGCAAACATCTTTAGCTCATTTCCCTCTGGCCAAGCCAAAGGAAGAGGCAAAATGGCATTTATTAAGCACCTGCTGTGTGCCAGGTACCCACTAGAATGCACACCCTGTGAAAGCAGGAATGTTTCCTATCCTGTTCACCTAACTCAGCACCCATTTTCAGGGCTCCAAAATGTGCTCTCCCCCCTGCTCCTCCTCCCACCCCTCTGACTTCTGCTCCTTTCTCTCCTCCCCCAGTTCTTGCCCTCAGATGCACCTGACAAACTGGGAGGCCGGTGCAGGCAGACTGAACCAAGGTCTTGCAGATAGCTGAATTGGAGCTGTGCCCGCCGTGGGGTCAGTCACACAGCCCCTCTAGCAGTGACTGGCAGAGAGGGGGTGGCTGAGGAAAGCCCCTGTGATTCGTAAGTCAATAAAGGGGAAAAAAAACCCACTTAAGCAAAGAGATAAGCAAGATAATTTCAGATATTGTTAAAATTAAGCCCTGGAGGTAATGGGAATACATGATAGGATGAGGCAGGTCACTTTAGGTAGGGGATCAAAGGAAGATCTATTGGAAGAGGATGTCAGAGCTGAGACTTGAGCTAGAGGACAAATACTGCAGACCCAGAGGCAAAAATCTGCCCCTAATCCCGGGGTTCAGCGTCCTTGGCAAAGAGAAGATACTTGGGACAGATCACTGCCCTTCCTCCAACCAGCTCTCTGCATGCAGGTTTCAGCCCAGTGAAACTGACCAGCCTTGGGGTTGGTTCTTTTAAAGGCCCCAGCTCTTTATGAGGGAGGAATCCAAGCACAAACTGCACACCACTTATCGAGGACTCTCCTCTGTGTGGCAGATTGGATTGGACAACCTCTTAGGACTTTGCTAACAGTGACCCTGCAGGTCAAAAATTCCTGCCACTTAAGTATGTTGGGGAGCGTGTGCCCACACACCTAAGTGTACAGGGGCTGGGGTGGGAGTGGTTCAAGATGGCTGGAGCTGTAGGTTAAGATGAGAGTGGGAGTTCACAGAGGGCAGGGAGCATGTCAAGCTCATGTCTGCAGCAGAGCGCGTGGTCCCTGAGAGATGCTTCATAAATGTCTGGTGACATCAGGCCTTGCCCTACACCCATGCCATCCTATCTCAGGAATCAGCGGCCAGCTTTCTGCAGGCTGCCCCATCCGTCCCTCTCCCAGATGGTCAGGATGTATCGGTGCCCTTTACCCCACCCAACACCAATCCTGCTTAGAAATAGTTGTTACTCCTCCTACAAAGAGGAGATCCAGGGGGAAAGCATCCAGGTGGGTCACCTGATTGACTGCCCAGGTACAACCAGCCTGGTTGCCCCTTAGAACTTCCTGAATCCTCCAGGGATGGCAGGACTCCTCGATGTCCCCACTGCCAACCAGGTGACAAGCCTGGCTTCTTTTTGGCTGCGTTTCTTAGAATCTGGAGGTTTTTCTGCTGTCTCAGGACACTGGCCTGCTCCTCACTTTTGTTGGCCCTACCTATAGTTGCTGGACCAGGCTCCCAGTCTCAGATGGAATACTGGACCTTGGTGGTTCCCAGCTCTGTCCCACTCCTTCCTTCTTCCCGCCCTCTGGCTGCCCTCTCCGGGGCTCCCAATCAGCCTGGAACTGCAGCCCCTCTACTGAGGCTCAGGCTGTGCTGGCTAGCCTCCGGTGTCCCTGCCTTCCCTCTGTCCTGGTTAGTTCCTCCCCAGCTGCATCCCCTGGTTCTGTTGGCCTCACCAGGGACCCTCCTCCCACATGCGTCGGGAGCGTGCCTACAGTGTACCCTACTTCCACTTCATGGCATCTGCCCCCAGGTGTCCTGTATAGAAGACTCCCTGTTCCTACAGTGGGAGTGCATACAACTGAGAGTAGGATTGGGACACAACCGAGAAGGGCCAGAGGTCCTGGAAGAGGTCACAAAACATACAAACAGACATGCAACACCTCCATACCATAGTCCTTGGGCACGGTGACAAAATAGAGGCAGATCTGTCCACTGGTGTAATTCTGGGGGTAGTTGGGGGACAAGACCACTCCATCTGAACCCACATACTGTCCCCCACAGGGGGCTGAAAGAGAAATCAGAGAGAGGGCCAGGTGACCTTGTAGACCTCTCATCAACAGTCATCCTCTGTTCTGCCCACCCCCAGCCTGAACCACTGGCCCTGGTGGGGCTGCCCTGAGGTTTGCAGCCACTAGCGTGGAGGAGGGGAGTTCTGAGGACATGCCTGGCCTGGCATGTGGCCCGAAACCCACCCTGATGCCATCCAAGGCCCTCCAGGCCACAGGTCAGATCTTGCCCTCTAACTAATAACACTAGCATCCGTCCCTAGAGGCACAGGGGCCTAGGAATGATCTTCTGCCCCATGGCTGAAGTCTCCCCGAGGTTTGACCTTGACTCTCACTCATGAGAGCTGAAGGCCCCAGAGTAGCCCCACTGGAAGCGGCTGGCCCAGGCAACCCAGTCCCTCTCCCTTGAGCAAAGGGGCCTCCTTGCTTTCCAACTTGGATGGCCACCATGCTCTTGAAGTTCTGACACTCTATCCCATGCCTCTTGCCAGGGCCCCACGGCTGAGCCAGACCCCGCTGGCCTTAGTTTTACACACCTGACCTCTCAGTGACTTCCTAGGCTCAGGAATAAGCCCAGGTCACCTTGAAACTCCCATCTCCCTCATACGAGCTGGTGGCATGTGTGCAGGCCTCTGCAGAGGACCTCTATCTGAGTGGGGGTGGGAACACTATGTGATCTGAGAGCGAGGACACGTTGATAGGGACAGTACATCTGGTGAATTTCCAGACTCTCTCATTCACAGTGAACACAAGGAGCCCGCTTGGAGGGCCATGTCCCGCCCCCCAGCCAATAGCCCCCTCCGTTGCTGGCATGCCCTCACTCCCTTATGCCCCTTCCTGTCCCTGCTCCGCCACCTGTGCACACTGGTCGGGGGTTGTTCCACGCGGGCTTCCCATCAGGCCCCAGGACGCAGCTGAGGGTAGAGACGCCCTCAACCTCATAGCCCCCGTGGCAGTAGTAGGTGATGGAGGAGCCCAGCTTCAGGTCGGACCCCACTCGCGTGCCGTTCTTGATGGAACCAGGATCAAAACATGACTCCCGTGGGTTTTCTGGAAAAAAGAAACACACACACACACACACACCACATATGCAGAGGACTCATTAGTGGCTCAAGTCCATGGTGCAGCACCCAGGAGAAGACCCTGACTCGAATTAGCCACAGAGCATATGGGGATTTGGGATTGGTGGTCCTTCTCCCTTCAGGTCTGAAAACTTCTCTAAATCTAGGGTTGGAGGTCATCTTGGAGGATGAAATTTTCCTTCTTCTCCCACATTCTTGCCCTGACCCACAAAGGAGCAAGTTGCAGCTAAATGTTGGGGGCCCTTTGTCATGCCTTGACTCACTCCTCTCCCAGGGAGGCTGCCTGCTGTCATATCCATACCTGGCAGGTACTTCTGAGCGCATGGGTACCAATACTTAGATTTAGGAAGGAAGTGGGAAACCCCACTTCAAGCCCTGGACTTTCTAGTGTTAAACAGTTTTCCAGGGCTGTGCACTGGGCTTGCTAGTTTATTAAAACAGTAGTATTTTTCCACTTGATTTTCATTGCATATATGTCTTCCCAATTAGGCATCCCATAAGGTACCTAACAGGCACCCACTCTGTCCCTCTGTGCTGGACGAGAGCGAACTTGGTGCTGCCTGAGCAACTGAGAGCACTAGTCGGGGCCTCACATCTCTGGAGAAGGGCACTCGCAGCCTCCCTCACCATTATCTGGAAATCCTGAGCAGCTCTGGGAGCCAATGTTCACTTGCACCCATTGCTGCTTTTCCTCATCCTCCTGTCCAAAGACCACTGGTGTTGTCATGGCTGGGCAGTGTCAGAACACAGCTGAGGCTGGGCAGGGTCAGGGACATGCCACTGTGTATCAGGGTTCCATTGGTCTCCTGGAGGCTACACTACAGGGAGGTCTGGAGATCAGGGCTCACAAAAAAGTGCTGGCAGTCCTTGCAGGAGGACTCAGAAGTTCAAATAGCAGATTTAAGGCAGAAAGAGCCGGAATAGAAGGGATCAGAGTTCAGGGATGAATAGCCGAGGAATTTTGCTGAGGCTGTCCTTGTCACCTGGGCATCTTTTAGGCTACCTATCTGAGACAGCTGCTGTTTCGGGGCGGGGGGTGTTTCTCAGCTGCCAGTCAGCCCAGTGACTGATGGGATGGGCTCTGAGAGTCCATGGTCCTGCCAAGTCTGGCCACTCTTGCATTGGAGCCCTTATGATGGCCCTGCTCTTTGTCTATGTCTATAGCTAAGGGTGCAGTAGTCCCGGATATGCTATTGCATTTAAACTCAGGTGGGACCCAGAAAATGGTCCCTCATCTAGCAGAAGACACCTCAGTGGTTTCCTTGTGTGCTCTGTGGTGTGTTGCCTTCACCCCCTCATCAAATCTGTCTTTTCCTGAAGCCCACTGGCTCTGGCCAGAATACAACTGGCCATTGGGTGACCCATCTGAGAATAACAGAGACACATGGAACTGTCACCATCTTATATTTCATCTGTTCTTTTTACAAATGACAGCAGGTCAAACCTAATTTGACGTTCCGAGAAATTAGGTAACTTAGGACTAAGTTGACATAGCTCATAAGGGGCAGAACTAGCTGTGGCCCCCAGTAACCATTTCCCCTCTTCATCCTTAAATAATAGAAACCAGATTTTATCCAGAGTACCAAGGCACCAGCTAAAATCCATACCTTCCAGCGTCTAAGCAGCTATATCTGGCCAAAGAGATGTAAACAGTCAGGTGAGAGAGTCTCCTGTCTCAGAGTAAAAGCCCAAGTCCTTACAGGCCTACAGGCCCTGCACCTTCTATCCCCAATCCTCACCCCTCCACGATCTTGATCTCAACTCCCATCATTCCTTTGCTAACTTTGCTCCAACCACATTGGCCTCTGTGCATGGAATGTTCCTCTATATGCATGGCTCTCTCTCTCATCCCTTTCAGGATTTAACGCAGTGTCTCCTTCTTAGAGACACTTCCTTGACCAGCTATTTAAATTTTTGATATTCCTCTCCCCAGCACTCCCGGTCACCTTTCTCTGCTTTGTTTCTCTGCACTGGCATCAATATTATCTCATGTACTATATATCTACCCAGTTTTTTTATATCTCCCTCCACTAGAATGTGGGTTCCATGAGACAGTTATCCAGTTTTATCTACTGCTCTAGTCTAGTGCCTGGTACATGGTAGGCACTCAATAAATGTCTCTTAAATGGATAAATGTGGGACTTCTAGAAAGGCTGCTTAAAAGAAAGTGACTCAGCTGAGAGGATGCTCATTGGCCTTTTATTCCTCTTTCCTCCTTCCCCCAGTCTGAACTTAGACATGATGGCTGGAACTCCAGTCGCCATTTTGGATCCTGAGATAGCCATGATGATGGGAGCCATGTCTTAGCATGGTATAGCAGAAAGACAAGAGGAGCAGGGATGGGGTTGGGGGTGACCTCATCATCTCTGGATGACAATCTCTAGATTTCTCTTACAGGAAGGAGGATAAACGTCTACCTCATGTAAGAAGCTATCTTTTAGGTAACAGCTGGGCACATCTGTCCCAGAACTTTACACTGTCAGAAAGCCCTTTCTTCCCTTCCCCATATGGCAAAAACTCCTACACTTTTTAATGCCACCTTCTCTTGAGCGAGTTTCCTGAACTGTGCCTCCTGTCTGGCAGAATTGTTTTTATTTCCTGAATTATAGCATGTGTGGCATTATCTTGGTAGGATGGATAAGTGTATTTCTTTCCAGTGGATTCTGGACTCCTAAAGGACAGGGACCATCACCTATTCTCTTCATAACCCTGGCAATTAGCACAGAACCTGGTATTAGAGCTGGCTCTGTTTGGCACATAATGGCTGCTTAATAAATGAATGCTGAATTGTTTGGCTGAACACCTCAGGGCTTGGCAAATCCACCATCACATCAGCGATTCCAACTACAGACTGTATTTTACAGTTACTCACATGTGAGAGCAAGAAGAGCTCATCATTCCAAGCATTATCACATTAATGAAAATGACAAAGGTAATGATAATGATGATAGCCCCTTACAGAGGAGTATCACGTTATGATTTTCAAAGTACCTTCCAATCTGTTATCTCATTTGTGCCTCACGATGGCCTCTGCAGCAGACAGGGCCAGGTGTGCTCCTGTTCAGGTTACAGATGAGAAATGTGGTGATCAGAGAGGCTAAATGAGTTTCCCAAGCCATTCAGCTGGTAAGAAGAATTAAGACCAAAATCAGGTCTTTAGTCAGCCAGACAAGAGCTCAGCTGCGAATGATAAAACTATAATGTCCGAAACATCATTGGGATAATAATAAAAAAAAATAAAAAAAAAAAACAAAAAAAAAAACCCCTCCAAAACAGGGGCAGTAAAATAACCAACTTCTTTTTGTCCTAATAGATAAGGAACATTTCTAAACATTGTAATAGCAAGACATTGAAAATAGCAATCTGCACACCCAACCAGTAAGGAACTGGTTAAAAAGGCTGGATTACAGCCAACCACCAAAACACAAGCAGGCTTTAAAAAGAATTGCAGAAGTCTTTGACTACCGATATGGAAAGATGACCAAGATCTATCATCAGACAAAAACCAAAACAAAGTAAAAACAAACCCCTATGACAGATTAGTACATATGGTGTGATCTCTATTCACATAGAACAGAGATCAGCAAACTATAGCCCATAGTCTCACTGCCTGTCTTTGTATAAAGTTTTAATAAAGTTTTGTTGGAACACAGCCATGCCTATTTGTTTAAATACTGCCCATGGCTGTTTTAGCATTACAACAGCAATGCTGAGCAGATGTAACAGAGATCGTCGGGCCTGCCAACCCTAACTATTTATTGATTGGTCCCTCACAGAAAAAGTTTGCTAACCCTTGTTCTAGAATTTACACTACTTTATATTTACATAAAATATCTGGAATGAGATAACAAACCATTAATAATGGTACTTCAGGGGATGGTAGTAATGGGAGGTGTTACGTTTTTAGAGTACATCTTATATGCTTCTATATTATTTGAATTTTTCCAACAAACAGGTGCTACTTTTAAAAGAGGCAACCATGAACGTGTTTCCATTTTGAATTTACAGAAGAAAGACCCATGGCAGTGGTGGGTGGTGGTAGTGGTAGCAGGAGTGGAAATCTGGTTGTAACTCCTTGGCCCATAGTGTCACGTCCAAGGGCTTGAAAGAGAAAACAGGTACTTTTTAGTACGTCTGGTAGAAGCTGACCTTGGCCTTTCCTGAGTTATTTCAGATTCTCTAATGCAGGCTTCAAACTCTTCTTCTGAACTTCTTCAAACTCCCTCTGTCTGCAACACTCGCCCAGCCCCGTTCTTTCACAGTGGGCTTCTTCTCAACCTTTAGGCCTCTGTTTAAATATCACCCGCTGGGCGAGGTCCTCACCTTCACCAACTGCCATTCTGTAGTTGACTGCCCATTTTTCTTTCTCACAGCAGCTTTCTCTTTCCTAACTTCTGCTTCTTACTCCTTGTTGGTCTCCTTATGTATTGTCTGTTTCCCTCACTCACCTTTATGTTACCTTAGGGTGGGGGCCATGACCACTGTGCTCACCGCAGTAGCATCCATATTCAGCATAGGGCACGGCAGGAAGTGGGAGCTCAATAAGCATTTGTTGAATGAATGAATGGTCTCTACACTCATGCATGGGCGTCCTAGCCTGTCCCTGCCCAGGAGGAGACCACCACACCTGCTGGAAGAGGACAACAAAAGTCCCCTCCACCATGCACCCATTCTTCTGATGTTTTTGGCTTGGAGAAAGACACTAAGTCTCTCTGAGTCTCATTTTTAGTAACTGCATCCCAAAACCAGGATCCTTCTTATCCCCTCTGTTTCCTTCTAGCAAAGGATAAAGCTACTCAGGTGGCTGAATTCAGATGAGAATGCCTCAGAGCATGGTCTTACAGAAGACCACAAATGACATGACTGCATTCAGAATCATCTAGAAGACCTGGCTAGAATGACTTAGACACCACAACCACCTTCCAGGAGCAACTGGATAGAGACACCTACAAACTCGCCGATCACTGCCTTATAAGTAGGTGAGCCTCCAAGATCTCATTGGTGGCAGAAATGTCTATCCATCTGGTTGTCAGGAGGATGTGAAGTCCATGGAGGCAGGAATTTTGTTTTGCTCCCTGCTTTGTTCTCAGCCCCTATAACAGTGTCGGGCATATAGAAGGTGCTAAATAAATATTTACTGAATGAACAAAAGAGTAAAACTGCATGATCTGCCCTTGGCCCTAATGAAAAAGTCTAATTCCATGACATTGTTCACTGGATGCTTGCCTTAAGCCTGGTCAGTCTGAAGGTCCTTTGGATCTGGAATTGGGACCCAGACTGGGAAGTGATTCAGAGTCAAGAGTGAGACGGCCATACTTGTCCTGGGGTAAGCAATGAACATGCATCTGCAGAGAGAGGAGAATGTAGCAGATCCTCAGGAAGAAGCAGGGAGGAGACCAAGTGGCCCTGGAGACAGGAGGTAATCCCAACCTTCGATTCTTCCTTCCTGATTTCAGTCCCTTGGAAGTTTATGCTTCTTGCCCTTGAGCTCTTATATTTTAAAAATATGTTCCCTTTCTGTGTTAAGTGAGAGGGAGTTTTTATTATGTGTACTATGTATATTAAGATATAGAACCCCTTTTAGCTTAAATTAGTTTGGCCATTAATTTTCTTATAAGAAAGTTTTTGTCTCAAGTTGGTTTGAACATGTTTTGTTTTTTTGCATTTTTATAATAAATTACCCCCTTTTTTGTTGAAGTTGGTCTGAGTGGGTCTCTTGATTTGAAACTAAATGACCCCTGACTCAGCTGTGACCACATCGTTTTTGCTTCCCACTTGGGAATTTGGCAGGATGTGGGGAAAGGCCCCTGGTCTATGTGCCTGTGGTCAGAGGAGGGATTGACCTCAGAGAGTGGTTTTCACTGGACTAAGCCCAGCGAAGTCTGGCAACATCTCTCTACATCACTCCCCTCACCTCCCAAACCAGGACCCTTGAAGCCACAGCTCCCAGGAGACCCAGATACTCAGCCTTAGAGGAGCCCTGGATCTCTGTAAAAGACAAGACAGCATTCTGCCCTGGACACAGGATGGCATCTACATGAATGCGGCCAATTCTTCTCTTCCTAAGGATCCAGACCTGCCTCAGTGTGCTGGTCCTTAGTGGGCTACCTCTCAATGTATGGTGTTCTACGGACTCGCGGAGCACAGTGTCTCAATTCTTTGCCGTGGATCGGAGACATAAATAGGACACATATACACACACACCACAAATATTCATGTTATAAATATTTCACACTCACGTGTGTGCAAAACATCATCTCACACTTTATATCTTCAGTAAACAGAAAAGAAAACTGTACTGCATTCGACGGGGCTAGCCCCATGAGGAGGGTTCCAAACTCTTCTCTCTTCCAAACGAGAGCAGAACACATGAAATATCCATTTCACAGGAAAGAAGGCAACAGATGGAGAAGGTGGATCAAAGCGTGCGCCAGGTAGCTCCTGGCGTTGGGCCCTGTGCTGGGGGCTGTGCCTCTTTCCTACCCCCACACCAGCTCTTTCATGCACTGCACTGTTCCTCTTTGATGGGTGAGGCAGGGATGCTCAGAGAATGTAAGGGACTTACTTAAGGTCATACAGTTAATAAGTGATGAAGGCCACCCCGTAAAGACATTGAGCATGGCGGGGATATCATTGAGGCCATGGGATTCAGTAGCAGAGTAGACCCATTCCAGGAATCCAGGGATCCTGGGATGGGGAGAAGGAGACCATGGGGGCAAGGCAGAGGGTCCCTGGATCCCACGAAATGGGCTGCCTGACCAGAGGCCGGGGCCATAGGAGAGGGATGACTGATATTAGGGAGTGTGCCATCTGAGAAGGAAGGAAGGAAGGAAGGCTGCCTCAGGCCTCACCAGGGACCTCCTGCCCCAAACGGGCACATTTATCTTAGTGCTTGAACCACAGACGCCAACAAGGTGGCGGAGAGTGCATGGGTGGGCCTCGCCTCCCCCCTCTCCCCAGTAATTGGCCTCCTTCAGCCACTCGGCTGGCTCAGATGGCTGCCGGGCAGGCCTTATTCCGTGGGGCTGTGTTTCGGAGCTGGGGACCCCTCCAGATGCGGTCTTGGACCAACAGCTGAAAGTGGGAAGGGCTTCTTTGGGAAAGAGGGCCTGTAAGTGTGGCTCTGGCCCGTGGCTTCAGTGGAAGGGACTCGGGGAGAGGTGGCTGTGGCCAGGATGCCGTGAACCCAGGAGCTTACTGTATCCAGGGACGATGAGCTGAAGTCCTCTTGTGAAGGAGCTGGAGGGGTGACCTCTGGGGTCACATTCTGGAATCTCCACCAGGGAGAAGACCCCAGCAGGGACAAGCTAGAGGTGGCTAAGGCAGTTGTTAATGCTCAGCCAGGGCTAAAAGCCATCACTTGTAGTGGCTCCAAGTGCCACGTTTGTGTGACTTTTTCTGGTCAAGCTCAGCCACTTGAGTGTGGGTGTGACACAGGGTGCCATTCTGCAAGGCTGCGACAGAAGGGCCCGGGGGCAGGGAACTTAGGGTACTTCTGTGGGTGTGATGGAAGAGGGGAACGGTAAGAAAAATGAAGATGGTAATATAGCAGTGGGGACGGCGGTGGTGGAGCGACAGTCCCGGGCTGAGTCTAAGTCCCAAGTCATGCTGCTCTTGAATTCCACGCTATGTGACCTTATTTGTTCTGATTCCAGCGCACGCAGTAGGGTTTGGGGACAGGAGGTTTATTGAGTGGCAGGTATCTGGAGGAGGAGAGGATGGCAAAATATCCATTATCCAGGCCAGCCCCATGGGGAGAGAAGACCATGGCAAAACCTTCTCTACTCTGTGCACTAAGTATCTTCTAGAATTGTATCTGACAACAGAGCAGGCGGTCGGCAATTTCGAGGATTTCGATGTGTTGATGGATGTGGAGTACTTAGGACTGTGCTGACAGGTGGTAGATGGTACGTTAGCTGTTGTTATGATTGGTATTATTTGCGAGTGTATGTGAGACATTCCCAGCAGTTGCCAGAAATATTTAATTAAGGAACCCTTTAAAAGGTTGCTGAGGTCCGACACTATGCAAGTGGGGGACGTGAGCCAGACACTTTTTAATTTTAACGGGTAATATGACCTCATTTGTCTACACAGGCTGATGAGGCTTGGGTGAACTTGGGTTAGAGCAACAATAACAAAATCAATCATCTCTAGAGTATCTGTAGAGTGTTTAGCACCTACTGGGCATTGTACTCCTACATATAATATGTATGTATAAAATATCTTTTAATTTTAACCTTCTGCAGCATAATTATTATTACCACCACTTTATAGATGGAGGAATGGGTTCCAAGAGATAGTAACTTGCCAAGCGCACAAATCAAGCAAGAAGTGGAGCTAGGATTTGGATGATGGTGTCTGGGATAATTAGGGAAGAAGAAAAGGTCACACAGAGAATAACAGGGTAGAAGTACTCGGAGTGGCTGGGAGCCTGGAGCCTCTCTTACTCTTGCTGTTGGAACATTATGGAGCACCTGCTATGTGCCAGGCGCCGGACTAAGGGCTTGGAAGCACAGGGTCACGGATCCTCACAACGTGTCTGTGAGGCAGGGATCAGTCTACCATCGTTTTATGATGAAGGAACGGATGAGAGGTTCAGTAACTCTCCCAAGGGCCACACAGCTGCGAAGTAGCAAACATGAGCCTGGGACGCAGTTAATCTGACAGTCTAGGCCCTCGACCGGGCAGGGAGCGAGGCCTGTTTGCTTGTAAGGAGATGTTTATGGCATCATGGCCGTACCCATTCCTCTGCGGTTTGTCCTGGGCCGCTGGAGTGCCGCAGGGGCAGCCCTGGGCGGTTGTGACACAGACCGAATGCCTCACGAGCCTAAAATGTGGACTCTCTGGGCCTTTAAGGAAAAACGTGCAGCGGCCTGCTTTGACCCCTCTGCTCGGGCTTGCAAGGACTGACCCTCACAGGGAAGGGACAGGAGAGGAGCAGGATGTGGGAATAGAAAGGAGGTGTGAGGACAGTGCCGGGGCACATGGGAGGGAAAGGCTAGGCCACCTGGAGGGCCACGGGGAGGGCAGGGGCTCCGCCGGCGACCCCTCCCCTCTGCCGGCTCGGGCCGGCTCTCGGCCGCCGGGGCCCTACCTGTGTAGTCGATGACGAAGCCCGCACTGCTCACGGACGCGTCACTGCGGAAGGCGAGGAAGAGGCTGTTGCTACTGCTCTCAATGCGGCCTGGGAGCTGGGAGCCATAGAAGCTTCCTATGAGAGGGCTAAGGGAGTCCCGTCCGTCGTAGATATGGAGGAAGTCATAGCCAGGCTCCAAGTTAAAGCTGGGGAACAAAAACATCCCACCCCCACCCCACTAAGGTCAAAACAGGCTCCACCGAGGGAGGGGGGCCTCCCACACAGTGAGCCCTCCACCCCACCGGCGCCCAACTCCTGACACTTCCCGGTGAGAGGGAGAGGGGGAAGCCCCGACGGCCTCCCAGTCGGGCCCGGAGACGGATAAGCCAGGCCTGGGGGCAGAGGAGACTGGCCCTACAGTCAGTGCCCAGAAAGCTAGAGCTCAAAACCCAATACCCTCTTTCTGGAAAAAACAACAAAAAATATATTTTTAATTGAAATACATTTGACATATAATGTTGTGTAAATTTAAGCTGTGCAACATGTTTGATTGGATACATTTTATACTGTAACATGATTGCCATAGTGGTGAAAACTAGCCCCCCTATCACGCTGCACACAGGTATCACGTCTTTCTAGTGGCTGGAATAACTAAGATCTAGTCTCTTAATAAGTTTGAGGATTATAGCACAGTATTGTTGTCTGTATTCACTATACTCTGCACAGAAGGGAAAACAAGTTGCCAATTCTATATATTGAGCTCTCTTAACTGCCTCCGATGGGCTTTAGATTGTGTTCTTCTGCACCTCCATTTCCAGGAGGCAAAGAGTCACCCAGGGGGCCATTCCTAGGCAGGGAGGGGTCTGATCTCATGAAGAACCTGGCTCCGTCCCCTCATCCCTGAGCCAGTTCCCAGCTCTTCTCAGATTCTGCTATCACCCCGCTCCTGGCACCCACGGGCGTGCCTCTTTCTCAGTTATCTTGACCCTCATGTGGGAAAAAAACTGAATTAAAAAAATTGGCAAATTGGATATTAGAGTTCTTGAATATCATCGATCCCACTGGATTGGCTAGAGTGAAAATGATGGAAAATGCCAAGACTGGCAAGAATGTGGAGCCCCTGGGATCTGGGGTGTGTGTGGGAGGAGCCAGATGTATACTGGCCTCCTTCTTCCACGGCACCCTCACACTGGGGTCACCTGCAAAGGCACACCACCACTGCTGGGTGGTGTGGTCTTCTTGCTCCTATAACTCTGCTTCCAACCACCTGCTCTTGCAAAAGTCACCAGGGAAGTGTCTTGGAGGGAGTCAGTCTTGGTCAGATTCCGGCTCCACCACTTTCTAACTGCCTTCTGTCTGTCCCTGTCTTCCTTCAGTCATCACATTTCGTCTGAGCACTCTCAATATGCCAGGCACTGTGCAAGGTGCTCAGGACAGAGGCATATGTCAGACGCCACACCTTCTTCAAGATGGCGATGGGGCTGAAGGAAGCGACGGATGTGAAGACAACAAAGCAAAGTATAAAGTCTGTACAGGCACGTGGGATCACAACACAAAGTTCCTCGGGGAGGAGGGAATGAAACTTTCATGGAGGCCAAGCTGGTGTCAAGTTTTGGGAGATGCAGAGACCCCCTGGTAGCTGGACAAGGAGGGAAAAGGAAGTCTCCATGAAGGGAGAAGCAGAGGTAAAGTCACAAGGGCAAGGAGTAGTGTTGAAGCTGTGAGCAGTTTAGTCTGGCTGGAGCTCAGGGGTTATGACGGGGTCAGGGGGACGGAGTGGAGAGGTAGGCAGGGGCCAGATTGCTTGGACTGAAAAACCAAAGTTCTGACTTTATAGGGAAGAGGAAGCCATGACAGGATTTTAAAATAAGAGATCTATTTGTGTGTTTGTTTTCAAACTGAGGTATAAGTTATACCCCATGAAATGATCAGCTCTTAAGTGTATCACCCTATGGGTTTTGACACATGCATAGCAAGACCCAGGACATTCCCACCATCCCCAAATGCTCCCCTTCCCAGTCAATCTTCACCACCCCCAGAAGCCATCACTGAACATATTTTTATCATCATAGATTCATTTCGCTGATCCTAAAATTTCGTATAAGTGGAATCATACATTATGGACTTTTTTGGGTCTGTTTTCTTTCGCTCAGTGTGGTATTTTTGAGATTCAGCCATGTTGCATGTATCAGTCATTCATTCCTTTTTATCGCTGAGTAGCACGTTATCATGTGTTCCAATGAAAGATGAGGTGGTTATTTTAGCATTTTCACATGACAAGATCACTTCCACGGCTAACTTAAGAAGAGGTTGGCATGGGAGGAAGATGGGGGCAGAGGAGCCAGTCAGGAGACTATGGTAGTAGTTTGGATGGGAAGTAACAAGAGTTTCTGCTGTTAAGGCAGCAGAGGTTCCACAGCTTGTTCGCTAATGGAAGCAGCAGGGCAGGTGCATGATGGCGGCACTCCTCAGGGGTCAGAAGAGTGCTCTTCTGGGGAGGGGAGGGAGTCATAGGCTTAGGTGTGTACATGCTGCATTTGAGGTGCCTGCAGGCACCAGACCCCCAACAGTTGGATAGGAGAGCTTGCAGCTCAGAAGGCAGTCTGGGCTGTGGTAGGGCGGTGGGGTCTCCAGTTTATGAGACGAAGGTGAAGCCATTGGAGCAGATGAGCTGGCCCGGGAAGGAAGTGCGGGTGAGAAGAGAAAAGGCGATAGAGCCTGGCCGAGCGAGGCGGGTATGATGAGGAAGCTGTGAAGTCACAGAAGAAGCTGGAGAAGGGGAGTGGAGTAACTTCACAGAAACCAAGGAGAAAAAGCAGGGTACGGATGGAGGGAAGGATCGAGAGGTGCAGCGGGATAAGACACGGCAAGTGTCATCTTGTGTGGCAACCAGGAGGTCGCTGGTGTCTTTTATCAGAGGACTTGCTGGCAGAACCACAGAGGCAGGACCCAGCTATCAGTGGTCTGAGAGCGAACAGGAGGCGAGGAAGTAGACACAAGCAGAGATGATTCTTTTGAAGAGTTTGCCTCTAAAGGGATAAAGGAGGCAATACAGGAGCTGGATGGGGGAGGACCTGAGAAAAACCTGAGCCTGTTCACACACTAGGGAGGATGAGGGAAGGAGCCCGGTGACAGCAAAGGGGGGAAACACAGGGGAGCCACGGGAAAAGGATCCAGCAAGGCCCTGCTTTCTGAATCTCAACATCTTCAGAGATAGAAAGAAAGAAATAAATAAATAAAGAAAGAAAGAAAGAAAGAAAGAAAGAAAGAGAAAGATAGACAGAAAGAAAGATAGAAAGAAAGAATAATAGCCACTTCATCAATTATAAGGATGAAATAAGATAATATGGGTGAAGCTGCTGAGTACAGTGCAGGGCACCCAGGAGACATCCAATAAATGCTCGTTTCCCTCCTTCGGGCTCCTTCATCGGCTCCCAGCAGACCTGTGTGCACTCACCTGGAGACCCCGGTCTAAAACCCCTAGTTGCTCTGAGCCCTTTGTCTCCCACCCGGGGGAAAGGTACATACATGTTAAATACCAGGGCGATGACGTAGTCTGGAGAGACGGTCACTTTCCAGTCACACTCCTTGCCTGGTGGATAAGGTTCTGGGTAATTTGGCGACAGAATGACTCCTGATGGTCCCGTCAGGTCTCCCCCGCAGGGCGCTGGGGAGAGAGAGGAAGACAAAGGTCAGCCCTGGGTGCTGGCGAGGCACAGTGGAGGAGGGCCTGGGTCTGGCAGACCTGAGTGAAAACCTGACTCTAGGGGCCAAGAGGGCGGGATGTAATGGATACAGAGTTTTACCTCAAAGTGATGGAGATGTTTTAGAACAGAGATGGTGGTTGCATAACATTGTGAGCGTAACAAATGCCACTGAATCATTCATTTTAAAAAGGTGAATTTTATGTTATGTGAATTTCACCTCAAGAAATTATTAGAAACAAAACCAAACTACCTGGCCCCACCACGTCCTAGCCGTGTGACCTTACGGAATTTACCTAACCTCTCTGGACCTCAGCATCCTCTCCCTATTGCAGGAAGAGGTACTATTTCTCTCAGGGATGGTAGTAAAGATGTTGGAGAGGTCTGTTAAAGCATTTGGCATATGGTAAATAGTCAATATTTGGAAATAGTTGACACTCCTTCATCTTTTAGACATTTGAACCACATGGTTTCCTTCCACTGCCTCACGTCCAGTTCCCAGGTGAGCTTTGTGGGTGTTGATCCCGAGTTCAGTGCGCCCGCCATCAGGAGGTGTGAAGAACACAGCCACGTTTACCTGCCAAGTGCAGCTGGCCTCCTTCCTGTCAATGTTCTCGGCATCTGCCTGGAGCTGCAGATACCTTCCAAGTTTCCAGAAGACCTTGTCTAAGACAGCGTGTGCACCTCACTTGGGTGGAGATATGACAGAGCTCCATTCGTCCATGGTGGTCCCCACCCCACCCCCCTGAGGACGGACCTTTTAACGGGCAGGGAGGGGGCAAGTGGCTGGTGATGCAGCAAGCGGCTTACCCAGAGCCTGCTGGGGCACTTCCCAGATCCCGAGTCAGGTTCTCCCCTAAATGGCTGGGCCACTGCCCTGTAGCAGTGGGGTCTGGTAAACCAGGGGCTGGAAAGTGTATGGGGTCGTCAACAGGAAAGATGTTAGAGACTATCAATATAGCGTGGTCTAAGAAACCCCACAGGGCGCCATTGGGGGTTGAAGTTGAGTAGGTCAGCAGGGAGCCCATAGGAGCAGGGAAAGCCATTCAAGGAGAGGCCAGGAAATCTGAGACTGGACACGGAGGTGGGAGCCAAGGGCGTATCCAAGACCCAAATCGAGAGCAGCCACTCGCTTGTCGCAGAGCTGAGCTTTATTGCCTCACGCTGTAGCTTTCACCCAGGGTAAGCCTCCGAGGGCTCGGTCAATGCCTCCCGGGTCTTTTTAAGAAACAGCAGGCTTCGGGCTGGGCCGTAAAAGCCCTAACATGGCTGAACATAAAGCCTGAGTGATCATAAGAGTAGTGAATTTGCCCCCTGCCCCGCAGAAAATATATCCCAAGTCTCAACTGGAACACCAGGAACACTCAAGGGGGCACTTGTTGTAGGTCCGACATGACACACAGCATTCTAGATACCTCATCTCATTTACGTCTCGTAACCACTCAGTGAGCTATGGATTCTTCTTCCTGGTTCAGAACTGAGGAGCCCGGGGTTCAGGGAGTTGAAAGACCTGCCCAGAGTCACTCTGAGACTCAACCTTCACCCGTCTGGCTCGAAAGGGCAGCACTTTTGCACTCTTCCATTTGGCTCGGAATTGCGGGCGGGGGAGCAGGGGAGCAGCCCCCGCTGGGAGAGCTTCAGTGAGCAAGGACGGTTCCCTGCACCAGGTCTGCTTAGTGTCTGGCTCGCTTCTCCCCCGCGCCCTCTTGTTGAAGAGGGTTACATGAATGCGACACGCTGGAGGCCTGTACGATCAGGATAAAACCTTGCCCTTTGCACAACAGGCCCCACTGTCCCGTGCTCCGAGAGTGGCCCGACCCTAGCAATTGTCTGAGGCAGCCGTGGTCATGTGGGCAGTCCCAGCTCCCTGGAAACCTTCCTAAGGGGACACAGTGCCGCCTCCACGAGGGCAAGGGCCACAGGGCGTGAGCTTCCTCTGTGGCTTAGGGGTTTCTTGCCTTAAGTTAGCCAGGGATGGGGGTGAGCCTGGCTGTTTCTGGAACTGCCCCCACCCCCAAAGTGCTTGTGGTTTGGGTTCTAGGCCTCTGTCCTGGAGCAGTTCCCTTCCAGATGGTTCCCTGGCATCGGACATTTGGGCATCTGCTTCCCACTCAGGACCCAACATGGGCTTCATCACCCTCTACCATTTGTGTGTCAAGGCCTGCCAGACTCCTAGCGACTTCGCCAGCAGGAGCGCTCCCGCTGCTCGGGGCTGATGGAGGGGTACACCTTCCCTTTCTAGGCCCCGGCACTAGCCAACAGGACAGCCGAGCTGCAGGAGACCAAATGAGGCCTTGGCAACATCCCAGCATCGCCTGGTCCTTTCAGCAGGTCGGGAAGCCAGGTGGGAACGGGAAGCCAGGTGGGAACTAGAAGCCAGGTGTCGCTCCCAATCCAGGGCGCTTGCCCCGCCCCTTAGCGTCACGCCCTGTCCCCTCCCTACTGTGAGTCAGAAACAGAGGGTGGGCTCTGCTCTGCAGGCCCAGGCTGGAGCTTACAAACCATGGAAGCCCAGGAGGGGGTGGCAGCAGGCAGCTGGTCACCCCAGATGGCCAAGCAGTGGCCGGGCAGACCCTAGGGACGAGAGGTGTGAGAAAGGCCATTGAACTCGAAGTTACATAGTCCTGGGTTCCAATTCTGACTATGCTGCTTACTAGCTGTGAGTTTGGGCAAGCTCTCCCATCTCCCTGAGCCTCCACTTCCCCATCTATAAAATAAATAATAATAAAAAGAGTAACAACAATAATAACTTCTAACACACACCGTGTTCACCGTGAGCCAGATGTGGTCTTAGGCACTTTACAGCATGAACTTCTTTCCTCCTAGCCCGGTGAGCTAGGTACTCCTAATGCCATTTTACAGGGGAGGAAAATGAGGCCCAGGGAGATTCAGTAATTTGCCTAAGGCTACACAGCTTGTTGTGGTGAAGCCACGAGACTTGGTCGGCAGTTGCAGTCCAGAACCTGAGCTCTAAACTTACCATCTGATGATTCCATTTGCGAGAATGCAGCTAAAATGTCTAGCCCAGTGCCTATCATGGGGATGACGCTCAATAAATACTTGTTTTCTCCCTTTGCTTCCTCCCTATAATGAAGGGATATCAAGGCCAGCCAGACCAGTCATGGCAGACTGCCAAGGGAGCTGGAAATTAGGGGCTTGTCACTGGAATTTCCAGACTGTTTGAGAGAAGAGACAAAGACATTCATTTTGTTGCCTGAGGAACGTTTCCCCAAGCTGAGAACAGAAGAATGGGTAATGAAAGCTGAATTAACCTCTTTGCCCTGTTCGCTGCACATTTATTGCTCTCAACAGCTTAACACCGTGCGCAACCCCCCTTCTCCACCTGGGCCAATCTTGTCTCAGGACCTGCTTTTCTGTAGGAGAAGCCTAAGGAATCACAGCCCTAGAGAATGTTAACTTTGGAAGGGGCCTCAGAGGTCGTCTGATTCCCTCCTGGGCCTCACTAGAATAATTCCACTACCCAGGTGGGATTTGGGTTCAGGGAAGGGAGGTGAGTCCAAAAACTTGAGAGAAGAAAACAAAGAAGGGAAAGAAAGGAGGGAGGGAGGGAGCGAGGAAGGAAGGAAGGAAAGAAGGAAAGAGAAAAGGAAGGAGGGAAATGAGTATTTCTTGAGATTTGGGTTAGTTGTGTCCTCACGCCATGATGCCATGAGTATATTTGTTCTCACTTAATAGAATAGGAAACTGAGGTTCAGAGAGATGGAGCAGTTCCCCTGAGGCCACTGAACTAGTCAATGGCAGAGCCAGGATCTGAACCCAGATCTGTCTACTTCAGTACCCCACACTCACATACTGCTCCATGTAGCTGAGATCCGGGCTGTTTCTGGAAGCCAGGTCTCAACTTCCTGTCAGCTGTATATTCACCATGCTCCTACCACATAACCCGGGTGACTCCTAATCACCTTCGAGAGACAGGGTTCAGTGTCTCACCTTCAGCATCAGGCCTGAGAGCTTGGCTGGCAAAGGCCAGTCCTTGGATGCCTGGACAGAGCCTCCCACTGAGCCTTTGTGGAAAGCCATGCAGGGCATCGCCAGGGTGAAGGCTGCTGGGCTGTGTCTTGGGAAGTCCCTGGAACCCATCCCCAGCACAGGAGCCAGTGTGGGAGGTAGGAAATTGAAAGGCTCTGCTTTCAGACTGATGTGGGTGTGAATCTTGGCACTGCTATATCCTAGCTTTGTGATTTGGGCAAGATATCCAAATGTGTCTAAGTTTCGGTTTCCTGAACTGTAAAATGAGGGAATGGTGCTCATTTCAGAGAGCTGTAGGGAAAGTTAAAGTTAAATGAGGCTGGGTAAGAAAATGTCCAGTGTGGGGCTAGCACACAGTAAGGGGACCCAGGGACTACTGCTTCTCTTCTAACACCCGTCATTGACACAGGAGATAAATGCATTCAGTAAAGTGCCTAAGAAAAAGGATCATGGGGCAATGAGCACCTGGAATGTTTCTCTCTATTTCTCTCTCCCTTCAAGTTCCTTCCTCCTCCCAGGCTCAAGGAGCTGGGGAGCAGGATTATTCACCCCCTAACCCTTACAAGCTACCTGACCTTGGGCAAGTCACAGAGCTTCCATTTCTGCATGGGTCAAATGGGGAGATTTTAAGAGTAAGGACAGATCTAGAGATCTAACACCCAGGTAACCAATAATTTCCTTGAGAAGAGAAAGGGCAAGGTTCTTCCCTTTACACCCAAGCCTGTGGATGCCCTTCTTGTGCTTTAGATATTAGAAGGGGCATTTTGGAACCTGCTGACCTTTCTACCCGAGCTCACCCATCGTCCTCCTTCCAACCTATATGGCCTGAGCCACAGAGAAAAGAGGCAGACATGCCTGGTTAGACATTTTGGGGACCACTTTGGAGAGTGAAGAATTTGTCACGTGTGAAGAGTATGAGTGTGTGAATGTGAGGGAGTGTGTGTGTGCACATATGCACGCAAAGCAACGTAAACTTCGGGTTTTCTGCAACTTTCAGCTGCTCCGAGGCTCCTGGCCAGCCTCCAGATGCAGCTACCACTTAGGCCACGGGGTCTGGAACACACAAGTGGGGGGCCCAGAGGGCAGGATTCACCCTGCAGCTGCTTTGTACCAATGCACGTTGGCGGGCTGGGCTGCCAGAAGAATCTGTTCTCGATCTTCACACAGCTGATCTCCGCGCTCCCCTGCAGCGCATAGCCAGGCTCACACTGGAACACCGTGGAATCTCCGGCTTCCCAACTGTCGCCACTCCGGCTCCCGTTCTGTGGGACCCCAGGGTCGTTGCAGGACGTGGCTGTGGACACTGGGACAAGGGAACAGAAGGACAAGTGCCAGACAATGAGGCTCTCAGCCCATCACCCTCACTGTCATCACCGTGCCCGCTGCCAGTGCCACGGCCATGATCTCTGTCACCTCCCACTGGCGGCATTGGCAACAGGGCCACTGTTTCTGTCCTCACCCCCGTTCCTGTCACTGCCTCCACCACCACTGGGGACCACCATCAGAGCCCTACCAGAACCTTCACCATCGCTGGCATCCACCTGTCACGAGATACCATGAGTTAGGTGTGACTGCAGAGCTGTGATTGTAGAAGAAGTGAGTTGGGTTCGATTTAACGATACCTGCCTTGCTGCATAGATAAGCAGAGACAAGCAGGGTCTGCCGGCGGGCTGGGAGCTGGTCTGCCTGCACGCCGAGCAGCGGCTGTGAAGGCACAGGGAGAACCGCAGTCAGGTGGAGACCGCGCCCTCTCTTGCGCGGCAAACGCCCAGCGACCCATCAGACTGAAACCGGAGCAAAGTCTGATGTTTGTAGCAGGTGACAAAGTGGAGTTCAAAACAAACACTCGTAGCCGAGATGTATGTAAACATTCAAAAACCTCAGGAATGTGGGAGATGTTCGCAGTCTGATACCTAACTTAGTGTAAGATGGACCGTGTGCTTTAAAAGTGAATGTCAAATGAATGATGGAGGGAAGGAGTAAATGAATAAAAGAACGAAAGAGCGAATGAATGAGCAGATGCATCGTGAGCAAAGGAAACGATAGAAGAGAAAGTCCAGAGAAAGAATCGGGGCAGCGGCAACCTATGTCATCCTCCGGACTGTCGTTGGCGGGCCCCGGGGACAGGAGGCACCGGACGCCACAGGATACGTAACATTCATTTGCTTGGAGGGTCAGATTCCCCCTGCCCCCAAATTTTGGGAAAAATAGCATGCACAAAACCAAATGAATTTATTGTGGAGTAGAATGTAAAATTCGCCCGAGTTCTTCAGCAAAAACATGAAGCCTAAAAGAGACTGTAGCCTCCTACAGCCTCCAGATTGGCAGGGGGAGATACATTTACTCTCTTCTGCTCTGAGGTGGACTTCAGTGGAAAAGCTTGAGAAGCCCCAGCCCAGGGCAACTGTACACACTAATATCACTAACTATAAGATCTAAGATTGTGTGAACAAGTCTGGAGTTACAACATCTGATACCTCATACCCAACAGCAATACACGCGATAAACTAGGGCCCACAGTCAGACCTGGCTCTATGCCGGTTCTTGTAAATAAAGTTTTACCAGAATACAGGCATGCTCATCTGTTTACGTATGCTATACTATCCTCCAGCCACAACTGTAAATTCTTCCAACACAGCAAGCTCAGGTCCCTCCCTGCGTCCCCCCCCAGGGCCTTTGCACCTGCTGGTCCTTCCGCCTGGAATGACGGTGCCACAGACCTTCCTAAGCCAGCTCCATATTGTCATTCAGTTTTCAGCTCCTGAATCACCTCCTCAGATGGGCCTCTTTGACCACCTTCTTCTGGGCTCATCCCTTGACCCCCTTCCACCAATTTGGTCACATTATCCTGTTTTGTTCTTTTCATTGCACAATCTGTAATACTCTTGCTAATTTGTTTGCCTCTTTATTGTACTATCACTTGTGTATCTCCGTGGGAACCAAGACCTCGGCTGTTTTGCTTCCAACTGTATCCCCAGGGCTTAGAACATTACCCAGCACACAGCCATGCTCAGTAAATATTTGTTGAATGAATAAATACATTGAACAAATCATCACCATCTGACACTTACTGAATTTATTTATAAAGTCAAATAAGAATCAATCTTCCTCCTTCCCAATTAAAAACAGACTTAGCTTTCATCTCTAGCTTTACAGTGACTGTACACATGTAAATGATTCCCTGAAAGAAAAACAGCTCCCTGTTCTGACCATACTCAGAAAGATTATTTATATAGGAGGCGACAGAGTGCAATGATGAAGAGCCTAGGTCTGGGAATCAGACATGGGGGTTTTGATCCAGTCTCTGCTGCTGATTAACTAGATGACCTTGTATGAGAAACCTCCCTGGGCCTCAGAGCCCCCGTCTGCAGCATGGATTAATAATGGCCACCATACTCTAAGGCTTCCTTGAAAATTAATAGCAGAGTGCTTAGCATGGTGCCGGCTCAAGGGGTAGCAGCGACTATGCTTCCCTCTCCTTCAGTGTCCCCCCCACTCTCTTTGTTCCCACTTTCCCTCTTTAATGCTCCTGAATTTGAGCTGCTTGGCAAAGCCCCAGGGACACGGTGGATCCACGTGTTTCAGACAGGACGTTAGATGTTACACAGTCATGTTTACTTAATAAAGCCAAGTCTGCACTAATCGTCTCTGGCATTTCTGCACAATCCCCTGTCAAACACACACTATAAAGTTAACATGGGGTGAGCCATTTGCCCTTCCCTAGAGGAGTCTTGGTATTTGCTAACTGATGACAGCCACAGGGCAAGGTGACCTTTCCTGAACCTCGGTTACACCCGGACCCCAGGCCAGGTCTTCGCAGCCTTTCTGGAGCCCAGGCTAGGTAGCTTAGCCCACTCCCCTCTCCATGGACCTAAGTGATGCTCAGGGCAGCTTGCCTCAGGACACCCATGCATTAGAGAAAACCATGTGTTCACGTGTGCATGTGTTCATGTGCCTGCTTATCCAGTAAGCAGTGAGTGAGCACTTGCTGCATGCATACGCCGTGGAGGGGTCTGATTGGCAGGACATGGTCCCGACTCTCTAAGAGCTGTCTGTGGAATGGAAAGGGGGTGGCCACCTCCAACACAAGGCAGAGTGTCTGGGACTGATAACGTGCTGAAGAAACTGAAGTAAAGTGCTCGGGGTGCCACAGGCCACAGCAATTTATTCTGAATGGGGAGATGAGGAGGAAGTGGCATCTGACACGAACCTTGAAGGATGAATAGTACTTCTACGGGCTGGGCAATGCGTGAGGAAGCAGCCTGAGCTGCTGGGCGAAGGCAAGGCTTGCGACAGTGCCCAGGGATGCTGTCCCACGTGGACACGCTAAAGGTGCATGGGAGGTCAGATAATGCAAATCCACGGGGGAATTTGTCAGAGCAATTAAGAGGTTTTGTTTTTTGTTTTTTGTTTTTTTTTTTTTTAAAGCCATAACCATTAGCTTGGGCACAGTCAGAGAAAATTCATGTCTGGTTTAATTATTCATAACACTCCTTTCCCCAGAGAGTGGACTGAGCTGTCTCTTCAGCATTCTACTCGCCTCACTGCTGGGGGATCCTTTATGGTTTATCCCAGCAATCTCTAAAGTCTGTCCCATAAAATGCTAGTCTCTTGAGATGGTCTAGGAAAAAGTCATCCATGGTCAAATATGTTTGGGAACTGTGACCTACTAGATAGACACCTTCTGAATTCACCTGCTAAATTAGCATACCAAAAGTTCTCAGAGGTCCCAAATTACAGATAACCTCTTAGGTTTGCCTTGACCTAAGCACCTTCTCAACATCATTTGATCGTGCAAAGTTCTTTCTTCAGCAACATCAGTTAACAGTTCGTGGAAATCCAGGGAACAGATGTGGGGAAATACTTATCAAAAATGATTCCCTTGTTGCCCCGTGGTGGGACCTAATCTTGGATGAGATCAGCATTACCCTGGATCCCCAGAGACTCTCCATGGGCGAATGGGTGCCAGAATTCCAAGTAAGAAGACTCCCAGTGAACCCTGCAAGGAACTTTTCCTCCGCCAGGCTAGAAGCTTGCATGAGTGTTAATCGGGCAAGTTAATGGGTATAAAGGAACATAATCCTGGAGGCCCTCATCTGCCCTATAGAATATTGAATGCTCATCTCCACGGAGAAGACAGATGTGTACAAGAGCTAGAAGCAGGGTCTGTAACACCATTCCAGTCCACCTGGTACCAGAAATATACCCAACCACCCTTAGTTAATACACCAACAAGGGGAGACTGCGGAGGCAAAGCCATGGCATGGGTGCCACATGGGCTTGCTCCGCAATCACCATGGCAATACCCGCCCCCCACAGTGGAGTAAGGACATGGTAATGAAGACAGCTGCTGTATAATAAACATAAGCATACACCGAGGCACAGTCACTTATGCAGGGAGATGAGTGATGGAAGAGGCACTTCAGAGGAGATGAGATGGTGCATCACAGGGGGAGGCAGGACCAACACATGAATTATCTAATACCGGGACTTGGATGTGTGAGCACTGCCCATTTTTGGTAGCTCTTCGTCATGCTCCTCCATAATTGGCTACTATAGTACATAATTAATCGAATTTAGATCATTCATGTTTGGCTCTCAGTCCTTCCTGAAACCCACACTAGATTAAGAACCAGAGTGTGCGGCATGTAGAGCAGCTTGTCCATAACCAAGCCCCATCCCACCATCACCGGGGGCCTGCATGCCTCCTTCCGTGCTCCCCGTGTTTCAGCTCGCATGTTCTGGATCCTCTCATCCTGCCTCTGCACTTGTGCACGTTCTTTGCACCTAGGGAGCCCTTTTCTCTCTTTTTCGTCTAACAGGGATCCACAGATGCCCCCCGAGTCCTACTCCGTGGCACCTCCCACTCCACAGCATCATCAACTACCCCCTGCTTGAAACATGGTCTTTCCTTCTGTAACTTCTACTACTCATCCCGCGGGTCTGAGCTTGGGCATTGTGTTTTCTGGAATATCTTTCTTCCTTGATGCTCCACGGTGAACATTATAGTTTATATTTCTCCCCCCAGATGCTCATCAATCTGCACGTTACTGTCTCTTAAGCTGCTTGTCTTCCCCTGTAGAGTGAGCTCAGCACATATATTTGAACAAGTGCTAACCAGGTACCAGGCACACAGCTGCTGCTCAGTGACTCTCTCTACAAGAGGAGAGGCCTGGAGGAAAGGAGGGACTGGAGGGAGCGGGGCTATGCCGCAGGACAGATGGACAGGGGTGGGCAGGAAGTGAGCACAGACCTGAGAAGTGAATGGCAAAGCCCTGCTTGCTGGTGAAGAAGTCGGTGCTGAACTGCAGAACGACCGAGTTGAAGGTGCTGTGCAGGTCCTTGGGCAGGGCCGCTCCGCTGAGCTCCTTCAGCAGGACCCCACTCTCCACGGGCCCATCCCAGATGCGCAGCACGTCGTGGACCTCCTCTGTGTCAAACACCAGGAAGTGGAGCCTGAACAGAGAGAAGAGGAAGGCTGTCACTGTGGGCTCAGTGCCTTCTTCCCAGGGGATTCCGGTCAGAGAAGGTGGGAAACCCAAGAAAGACTTGCCAGAAGGAAGGGACAGCAGTGTCCAGCAGCACCCTCGTGGCTTCCAGCCGGCCTGCTCCTCCCACTGGGGGTCCCCAGCAACAGGGAGGGGGTGAGGGGGGCAGGTTTTGTGCACCTTGTTGATTATCATGAGCTTCATGTTGCCACTGTCAAAGCCCCCCCCGCCCCGGTCTCTTCACTGTACACAACAGTCCCCAGACTTCTTCCTGAGTCCACATCCATATCATTCTAGATTGTGAGGGGGATGCTGAGAAGGCATACACCCAGTCAAAATCCCAGAAAGCCATTTAGTGTCTATCGACAAACTGATTCTAAAGTTCATTTCCAGAGAAGAAAGCCCCAGAACCACTACACGCTATCGAAGAAGGACGAGACTGGAGACTGACACTACCTGAGGTCAAGACTTAAGACAAAGCTGCAGTAATCAAGGCAGTGTGGTATCAGCAAAAAGAACAGGCAAAGAAATCAATGGAACAGAATAGAGAACTCAGAAACAGACCCACAGGAATACAGTCAATTGATCTTTGACCAGGGAGCGAAAACGGTCTTTTCAACAAAGGGCGCTGTAGCCACTGGACACCCACATGCAAAAAATGAATCTAGCTGTAGACTTGAGGCCCTTCATAAAAGTTAACTCACACTGGATCACAGACTTAAATGAAAACATAAAACTATAAACTCCTAGAAGACAACGTGGGAGAAACCCTACACGACCTTGGGTGTGGGGAAGACTTTTAGATATGACGCCAAAGGCATGATCTGTGAAAAAAACAACTGATCAGCTGGGCTTCACTGAGATTAAAGATTTCAGTTCTGCAAAAGGCAATGTCAAGAAAATGAGCAGATAAGCCATGGACTGGGAGGAAATATTTTCAAAAGACACAATTTGATAAAGGACTGTTACCCCAAATATATAAAGAATTCTTAAAACTCAACAAGAAGAAAACAAGTAAGTCTGATTAAAAAATGGGCCAGAGACCTTACCAGACCTCTCACCAAAGATAGACAAATGGGGAATAAGCACATGAAAAAATGCTCCACATCCTGTCATCAGGGAAATGCAAATGGAAACAGCAATGAGATACCACTACATGTCTAGGAGAATGGCCAAAATCCAGAACACTGACACTACCCAGCGCGGATGGGGGAGGGAAACAGGAACTCTCACACACCGCTGGTGGGAATGCAGTATGGTACGGCCACTTTGGAAGACAGTTTCGCCATTTCTGACAAAAGTAAACATACTCTCCTTACCATACCATCTGGCCCTCATGTTCCTTGGTATTTACCCAAAGGAGTCGAAAACTTAGGTCCACACAAAGACCTGCCCACAGATATTTATAGCAGTTGTATTCATAACTGCCAAAACTTGGAAGCAACCAAGATGTCCTTCAGTAGGTGAATGGATCAACTGTGGTACATCCAGACAATGGAATATTATTCAGTGCTAAAAGGAAATGAGCTAAAAAGGCATGAAAAGACATGGAGGAAACGTGAAAGCATACTACTAAGTGACAGAAGACATTCTGAAAAGGCCACATACTGTAGGATTCCACCTGTATGACATTTTGGAAAAAGCAAACTATGGAAATGGTATAAAAAAAATAAAACCCTGCTTGCCAGGAGCTGGATGGGTGGGAGGGATGAATAGTGGAACACAAAGGGTCTTTAGGGTGGATACATTCTTAGGATACTATAACGGTGGATGCATGTTATCATACATTTGTCCAGATCTATAGAATGTATGATATCAGAGTGAACCCTAATGGAAATTATGAACTTTGAGCAATAACGATGTGCCAGTGTAGGCTTGTAACAAATGTCCCACCCTGGTTGGGGATGTTGATAATGGGGAGGCTGTGCCTATGGTGGGGCAGGAGGCAAATGGGAAAGTTTTGCACCTTGGTCTCAATTTTACTCTGAACCTAAATCTGCTCTAAGAAACTCGGCCTTAGAAGAAGGGGTGTGGGGGTAAAGGTAAGGGGTGTGTTGTGGGGTTTGAGAGGCTGATCCAGTTGTGGTGGGGGGGAGGGGTGAGCCTACATCTTGGTTTCCAGGAGCAGAACTTGAGATACTGGCTACACACAGTCTTGGCTTAGATAATCCCTGGGGATCTGAGGAGGCCAGGCAGGGGTTTCCATGTGATGGGGGTGTGGGGGGGGTGGGGTGGTGCCTGCAGGCCACAGACAGAGCTCTCAGGGCAAGGTAGCTGGGTAGGAACCCTGAATTCTCCCAGGACAAAGAGGTTCTGGCTGCCAAAGCTATTGACTACCAGCCTCTCTCTCTTAATCAAATTTTTATTTTGGAACAATTTTAGACTTGCAGAAAAGTTGCAAAGTTAAAATGGAGAATTCCCATAGACCCCTCACCATTTCTCCCACTGCTTATGTCTTATGTTTCCCAGGTGCAATTTGTCAGAACTGAGGCACCGACATCGGTGCATTACTGTGAACTCAGCTCCATGCCTCATTTGGATCTCACCAGTTTATCTGCTGATGCCCTTTTTCTGTTCCAGAAGCCAACTCATTTACCACTATCTCCTTTTAAAAATATCTTTAGAGGGGCGCCTGAGTGGCTCAGTCGGTTGAGCACCTGACTCTTGGTTTCAGCTGAGGTCGTGATCTCTGGGTCCTGGGGTTGAGCCCCCCAGTGGCTGGCTTGGTGTGCTCAGTGGGGAGTCTGCTTCTCCTCTCCCTCTGCCCCTCCCCCCTCAAATAAATAAAATAAAATCCCTAAAAAATATCTTTTTAAATTATAAAAATAAGACATGCTCAAGGCAGAAAAAGACAAACAATATATAGCTGTACTGAATTTTTAAAAAATCCCTTTCTTACACAAACCAATCTGTTCTCTAAAGCTTTTTCTTTGATATTAGTCTTGGTGCATATCCTTCCAGACTTTCTTTCAGTGTGCACGCATTCCCCACCCCCTCTCCAAATGGGCCCATATTTTACATAATTTTAAGTCACTTTTTTTCACTTAAGATTGTTATGGACATAATACATATACTTCATTTTTTTTCCTACAAAAATGGACATTGTTATAAATTTCACTATCTTACACAAGACTGCAAAGAACATTCCCATCTTTACATTGCTTTGCAATTTCTGTTAATATTTCAGTTGACTGTTGGAAGAATTTTTGGGGGGGATGGGTATACACTTAAAAATCTTTTATAAATGCTGCTAAATTATTCTCTTAAGTGATTGCATCAATTTACATTCCCACTAAACAGTATCAATGTGACTCTTCTCTCTAAACTTCACCTCATCAACATCAGATATTACAATGTTGTAAATATATTCTATATTAAAATACTTGCCCATCTGCTAAACCAAAATGGAATCTCACTGGTGTTTTTAGATAATTTAATTACGTTGTATATATTTGCATATATTTATTGTCCACTTATATATCTTCATAACCTTTATCCATCTTAACTGAGTTCTTTGTCTTTTAAAATTCAATTTACAATTAATTATAATTCTATTATAATTTTTAATTATTATTTTTTATATATTTTGATTTCTCTCATATATTGCTAATATTTTCTCCTAGCATCTGCTGTCTTTTTGCCCTTTAAATTTTGTTTATGGTGTCTATTTTGGTTTTGGACTTATTTTTTAAAAAGATTTATTTGGGGCGCCTGGGTGGCTCAGTCGTTAAGCGTCTGCCTTCGGCTCAGGTCATGATCCCAGGGTCCTGGGATCGAGCCCCACATTGGGCTCCCTGCTCAGCAGGAAGCCTGCTTCTCCCTCTCCCACTCCCCCTGCTTGTGTTCCTGCTCTCGCTGTCTCTCTCTGTCAAATAAATAAATAAAATCTTAAAAAAAAAAAAAATATATTTATTTATCTTAGAGAGAGAGAGTGTGTGAGCATGTAAGCGGGGGAAAGGGGCAGAGGGAGAGGGAGAGAAATCCTCAAGCATATTCCTTGCTGAGCGCAGAGCCTGACATGGGTGGGGCTCGATCCCAGGACCCTGAGATCATGACCTGAGCTGAAATCAAGAGTCGGACACTTAACCGACAGAGCTACCCAGGCGCGCCTGGACTTACTCATTTCATGTAACAAATATGCTAATCTTTTCCCTTAAGGATACTGGTGTCGTAGCGCCTGGGTGGCTCAGTCGGTTAAGCGTCTGCCTTTGGCTCAGGTCAGGATCCTAGGGTCCTGGGATCGAGCCCCACATCGGGCTCCCTGCTCAGCGGGGAGCCTGCTTCTCCCTCTGCCTGCTGCTCCCCCTGCTTGTGCTCTCTCTCAAATAAATAAAATCTTTTTTTTTTTTAATTTAAAAAGATAACTTAGAAAAAAAGATACTGGGTGTCATGTTATGCTTAGGCAAACCCTTTTCTTCCCACAACGATTAAAAAACCAAACTTGAGTATTTCCCCAGAACTTGTTAGTTCTATTTTTTGAGGTATAGGTTCATTATGTTTCCAAATGGACACTCAACTCTCCCACCACCTGTCTAAAGTAGCCTCGTCCCTGTTTTGACTATCAAAGTACTGTTTACTTTCTCCTGAGCATTTACTGCAGTCCATACTTAGTTTATTCATTTACTACCCGTGTCCCCAACTAGAAGATAATTTTCATGAGTGGGGGCCCCAGTGCCTATGATGTGCCTGACACTTTGGATGGTGCTCACGAATGTCTGGGGGAATGAAGACATTTGTCACTGAATAATCCAGGCTCCCCTCATGGGTTTGAAATGTCATTTTCGTCATGACTCTGATTCCAGATGCCCTCCTTAGCTCCAGGGCTCCCTCCCTGGTCTCTATGGATGCTACTGGTGGTACCACAAACACACCTATGCAACTTACTTCTGTTTTCATATTTCATATTTTCATATTCTTCCAGGGCAACTCCCCCTTCATATTGTTTCCCCCAAATTTCTTAGCTATTTTCCCAAATTTATCCTTTGAGACGAACTTCATAGTTATCAAGTTCCAAAAAATTCCCATTGATATTTTGATTGGAATTGCACACATGCATCAATTCATTTGGGCAAACTGATACCTGTACATTATTTTTCCCAGCCAGGAACACTATAGATATCTTAACCTATTTAGGGCTTCGTTCAGGGACCTTGGTAAAGTGTCATGGTTTTCTTCTTTGTTATGTTTTTCTTTTTGCATACTTC